TTATCTCCTTAAAAATTTTATCATTGCCAAGATTAATCCTAAGTCCACATTTCAAGTTCTATTTTCTAATCCAAATTAAGTTTTTTATTTTTGTTTATGGCATCATATTGAACCAATTATCAAACCTCTCTATAGGACATCTTTTTGATTCAACATTGGATCCAGTTTAAATCTCGACATAACCATTATGTCGAAGAACAACCTAATTATTAAAATACAATCGATTTGGGCTAACATTAATCTTTATTAGCTATGAGACTTTGTTAATTTTTTCACCTAGCATTTTCTCTATTTTTCTCTTGGTCTTTTCCCTTTTTTTTTTTAATCACTTTTTCCCTTTTATCATTTTCATCATCATCATCATCATTCTTATCACTCTTATTATTATTATTATTTTATTTTATGTAATCAATTTTTACTTTTTTTTTTATCTATAAAATATTTTCTCTTTGTTTTTTGTTAGTGGAGAATCATCACCAATCCCTAAAAGTTAGAAGACTTGATGATTCGTTCACTCATTAATTATCTAAAGTAATCATTGAAATAAAACCTAAAAACTAAACATTGACTAAGTAAATAAATAAGCGTAGAAAACTTAATAATTCAAAATATTAAATATAAACTAAGCATAAAATAAAAGGCATGTTTAAAATTTCAGAACTGATTTTTCTAGGAAAATGACTAAAATTAGGAACTAATTTTTTCAAACATCGGGTAGTTTTAGCTTTGGTTATTATTATTATTATTATTATTTTAACTTGCACATCCACATATACATTTTATACATAAAATAAAATACCTCAATTTATTATGATATAATAAGATTATTCTATAATCTATTCTTATTTCTCATTTTTAATATTTTATGGAAAGATCTTCCTTCAATATATTATTTTGCTTAATTTTTCCATTTAAACTAATAGACAAATCACATAACTTGCATATTATATATTTTGACGTAAAAAATACCCTTCATTTTAAATAGATTTAATAGCACATTTATACTTATATCTATAAATAATCCGACATTTATAATTGCAACTATTATATACTTAACTAACTTTTTGTTAGATATCAAATAAATATTTATACGATGAGTATATTATTCAAATTTAAAAATATTTACATGATAACTTGGGCCTGGGGCGAGTATTTAAAATTGGAGTCCACCACCGAATTTCAAAGTTTATGAGTTTTTAGTCCAAAGTTTAAAATTTGAGCATTATTTACACATAAAATATAAAAAAATTTGTAGCAGTAGGTTTGTTTTGATGTTGACTATTGAATAAGTAATGAATAAAATTAGATTTTACAGTTCATATGCATATCACTGTCAAAAATTTAATAATAAAGCTATTATAAATCTCCAAATTCATTAAATTAATTGCTTTTAAGTTGTATAAATGAATATGTAATTTTTGAATTAATTCCTAATTTAAATTAATTGTTTCTATCTCCATTATATATTTTAAATCTTAATGACCTAGTTACTTTTTCTCTTTTTCTTTTTTTCCTTTTTAATTAATTTTTTTTCTTTGTTGCTACCTAACTTTCAAATCAAAAAAATTATGATTATTATTTATTTGTTGAAAATTTGTTTGCTTGGACATATGAATTATTAATAATTTCGAAGTCGCCATCTAGTATTAAGCATAACTACAAACTTAAAATGGACATTAACTCGGAGATTTTAGGTGTTCTTTGGTAATCAAGAATAAAGTAGTGAGAATGAGAATGAAAATGAAAGTTTTATTCCCATATGGTAACTCGTTTGGTTAAAAGGAATGAAATGAAAATGAAAATTACACATAACTTTATTCCCATTTAAGATGTGAGATAAAAATAAGGAACGAGAATGAATTTTTTTTTCAAAATAAAATATTATATTTATTTATTGTCTATTAACCACAACCATCACCACCCACCACAACAACCATAACCGCCACTACCACAACGACCATCACTTACACCACTAACCACCGCTGCCACAACTACAATCATCGCCACCGCCATTGCCATCACCATCATCACAAGCGCAACAACCATTACAAGCACCATTACCACCACCACCACCACCATTATCACCTTTATTATTTTTATAACCTTTATAATTTGATTAAAAAAAAATTTAATCATTATTTTTATTTGAATAATAAATAAGATATTTAAAAATTTAAATTGCATTTCGATTCCTCATTAGTATTCCAAACACGGTATGAGAATATAAATGCCATTTCGATTCCTTAATTTTCATTCCGATTCTCGCATTCTCATTCCGAACCTTTTATTCCGATTCTCGCATTTTCATTCCGGACCTTTCATTCCCGGTAACAAAACGACACCTTAAGATAAGAAGTTAGTTATGTCTTTACAAAGATATCAATCGTCCAAAAAAACACTATTTCCCAAGGAAAGTATCATGTCTAGTTTAATTATAAAGTTTATATCCTAATAATTCTATTATTGTCAAAATTTATCTTAAGTCAAAATTTCAAAATTGATTTCCTATATATATATATTTTTTTTCTTCCTTTTTTTTTATCATTTTTTTACCTAGAGTTTTCTCCTTTTTTTTTTTCCTTTTCCTTTTTCGTTTTTTTTTCCTTTTCTTTTCATCTCTCTCTCTCTTATCATTTTCTCTTCCTTTTTATTTTTATCCTTTTATCATTTTTTTTATATTTTGGTTGATGGGGAATCATCATCAACTACTAAAAATTAGGAGACTCGACGACTTGTCTACCTATTGATTATTTAATTTAATTTTCGAAAGAAAATTAAAAACTAAGTATGAACTAAATAAATAAATAGGTACAAAGAACTCAAAAATTCCAAAAATTAAACCTTAACTAGACATAAAAATAAAAGGCATGTATTGAAATTTCAAAATTGATTCACCTAGGAAAATAATTAAATTAAGGTTATTGGGCTTTTTGACAAATTGGGCCAGGCCCGCTAGGCAGGTCTTCCTTTCCGTTCTGCCTTGGGCAAGCCTGGTCTCATACGGGCTGGGCCAATGCTAGCCCACCCCGTCTCCACACTCGCTGGGCCAAAGCCTAGCCCATCTTGCCTCTACATGAGCCCTTCCTCATTTTATTTCTTCACCCACACCAGCCCTAAGAACAAACTAAACTAAACTAAACAATCCTAATAGCATGGCCCTCTCCTTCATCTCACAAATCCAAACCCTAGATCTTATCTCCTGCCTCCACCCAGTTCCAATCTTAAATCAAAACCCAAAATTGAACAGAGAAATCCTAAAATCGAGCCTTTACACAACCTCAGATCCCTTTTCTCTCTCTTTCATCGCACAAACCCACAAAATCTAGGTCACATCCCGTCTCAATCCAGTCCCAATCCTAAGTTCAAGCCCGAAATCGATCGAGTAAACCTAAAATCAAACCTTTACAAGCCATCAGAATCCATCTCTCGCCTTTCTCCGACAAGCTCAAACACAACACAGAGGGAGATTAGGGGGAGTTGAATTTTTGTGCGATGGCAGTGATGAAATCACTGTCATGTTTGTTTTGGAACGATTGGCTGCTAGATCAATGCAGCTGAGGCTACAGATCAAATGAAGGAGAACAAAGAATCTTACCTGGGAATCCGATCCGAATGATGACTCCGCAGACACCGAGTCAGGTCAGCCACCGTCACCTTCTCTTTCTGATGTCACCATCAGGCCCTTCTCGCCCAAGCGCAAACCTGGCCCAACCGGAGCAGCTCGAGTAGATGGACGCTGAGGACAAGAAAGCAAAGAGGGAAGCTGGACCTGGGACCGGAGGGTCTCAGCGGATATGGATCGATGAAGATGAGATTGCGATATTAAATGGGAAGACTGAGTACCAAAATGAGAAGGGGAAAAGGCCCATTTATGGATACTAGTGATTTATATGGATTTATGAAGGAATAGCCAGTTTTCTGATAGAATCAAAAGTTGAATAAGAATATTATACTGACGTGGAGAAGAATGCGATTTTTAGTAAAGAAAATATGGGTATAGGGGTGCTGGTATTGTTGACGTGGGGAGTAAGGGCTACTCTAGTAAAAAAAAGTGGAAAATGTTGGGAAAATGTTATTGGTGGTGGTGGTAGTGGAGGAGGAAGGGTTACTCTGGCGTTGGCAAAAATGGGGAGTGAGAGAAGTGAATGGAAGAAAAAGGAAGAAAGTGTTAAGAAGGAGAAGAGGGGTTCGAGTGAGGAATTAAATGGCTAAGGAAATGAATGGAGAAGAGGTCGAGAGTGAGGATTTGTGGAAGATTCGTCTGAATCTCTCTTCTCCTTATTCACACTCACTTCCTTTTCCTTTCCATTCACTTCCTCACTCCCCAATTTTGCCAACGCCAAATAGCCTCTCCTCCACCAATACAACCAATAATGTTTTTCTCATTTTTTTCTACTAGACTGACCCTTACTCCCCATTTTAATATAATACTTCTTCTTCAACCTCGCGGTGTGGAAACATTGAAATGGAGTGATTCCTTAACAAATTCATAGAAAATTGATGTAAGTGTTAAGAACATGGTACTAGAGGGTGCTAAGTGAAGTTTACCATGGTCATTAAGTCATCGCCGCCTCACCCCTCAGCACCAACTTATAAGTGCCTCTCTCTGAGTTCTCATTCTCTCTCGTTTTTCTTTTTTCTTTTTTATTTTTTTTATTTGGTTTGTATTTTCATCTTTATTATTTTTGTTTTGGCTTCTAATTTAGAAGATTTAAAATAAAAATAAGGAAGATTAATTGATTTATTTATTTAGTTTTCTGTTTTGGCAGGAGTTGCAGTGAAACCCGGAAAGCCATTTATTCATGCGCTGAATAATGGAAGAAGGCTCCACATTTCCCACATTTCACAGGTACCTATAAAAGATGCTTTCTTTTCTTTTTCTTTTTCATGTTTTCTGAACTGGGTTTTTTTTATATAGCTTAATTTGAAGTTGAATTTTGACGTTTTACATAAGAGATTCGATTTTGTTTCCTATGGTTGATAATTTGTTGTGACTGTTTATGCGTTCTAAAGCAACTTTAGAGCTTCGTAGTTCATTGAAGAACAGTGTGGTTCAGTGTAATGTAGGAAATTCCAGTCCTGTTTTTCTTTGTTCTTTGTTTCCTGGGAAGGCTGCGATATCCCAATTGGATCTGGAGACAGAAGTTGATTTCTCAGTTATTGGTTTTTGGAGTATTCATCTTTCTGGTTACGATCTTGGTTGCTGCAGCAGTGAACATTTTCATCTAGGCGACGAGATGTTTTTTTGTTTTTGTGTCGTAGATAGATAAACATGCAATTGGGAAAAGATCAAAAGCCTAGCCAAGGCAAAGGAACTGTTCTCTTCTTTGATCCTTTAGATAAATAGTGCTTGGGCAGCAAAAGAATCCACTAGTGTGAAAAATGACGTAAAATATATGTGAATCTTGTATTGAGGGTCTTTATGGTAGATCATGGGGTTCGTTTGCGTAACTAGTCAGAATTGTATATTGCTGGAAGAAGATGGATAAGAAGCCGAACTAATAAAATCATGTTTGCCTCTTTTTTTTTAATGACAAAGGTATCAGGACAATTTGGCCCAACTAGTTCTCCGGATACATGCAAACTGCTCTATCTACATATACGTGGTACATCCCGGACCCAAGTCCACTGGCATTGCCTAAACATGGAACTGTTTGCAGCTGGCAGTGGTGGGAAGGTGCCTAATCCACACAACATAAGCAAGCCCTAACCAATAGCCAACCCTATAGGGTTAATACTGGTTGCAATTTCAGTATCTCCAAACAATATTTCCTTTAATTTTAGTAATTTTTTGTATTTTGAAAAAATAATGAATACGAATAAAGGTTGCATTAGCGGTTAATACTTTTATTAATTGATTCATATTTGTTAAATTCAAAGATTTAATGTCATATTTGTTAAATTCAAACCATTCTAACCTTTAATTTTAGTCCAGAGTTTGGATTCGATGAGCATTACCTCTCATGTTACTGGAGAGAGTAAGGAATGCAAATAGGATTACAACAGTAAAGTTTAGTGCTAGTATAGGATTAAACTAATTCTTTTAATGAGATGTTTAATATAATTAACAAATGATTAAAAAAAATTGCTCCTAATTTCAAGTTTGTAGAATAGGTTACATTAATTACATTATATTCCAAAAAAACTATCACAAAAGATGACATGAGTTAACCTGGGAGAGCAACAGTAAATAATGTATATTTTGAAATGGGAAAACATTAGACTTGATTTATATGTTCATAGCATTTGAAAGGCAAAAATGCCAGCAAAAAATGTGAGTGAATGTTCATTCTTTAAATCACAAAAGATCAACCAAAGAGGCTTGGTTTGCAGAGATCTCAGTTAATTTGCTCCCTGGACCTATTGCGTCTCAGTGGATTAATGTTGAGAGGTATGCTGTGTTGAGTGAAGAGAAGACAGAAGTGAAGTTTGCTTGTAGTCTTGCAACCTAATGGATTGAAGAAAATGGGAGAACTTCATTTGGCTGTGACATTTAGTTGTGAATCTTGGACCGACTTGTTGCATACTTACACACAACCTTTGCTTCCTATGATGCACTACCTTAACCCTCTATGGCTCTATCAGCTTGATAGTTTTCGACCCTAAGCTACTTATGTTCTAGGCTTGGTCGTGTCGATATTTGAAATCCATGCTTGATACAGATGCAAACGAATGGAGCTTGAGAAGAGGAAAGGCAAATTGCGAGAAAGTCGTGGCATCATTGTTCTTTGGGATGACACCAAGCTCTTCTGTATGGGCTTGGAGAAAACTAGGTCCATACAACTGGGTTGAAAAACCGGCCTATTTAGAAAATACAAAGACCTTTTTGTAATAATAATTAAAATTATAGATTGTTTTGTATAAAATAATAATCTGCAGAACCAAAGTGTAAATAATTAAACAGATGGATCAAAATTTTTTATAGATTATTATTATAAAATAATAATCCTGTTTAAGGTGTTCTGTTAGATAGCTTCCTGTTTAGTTTATAAAGTTGAGTTCAAGTACTTGGTTCTTGTTACATGAACTTATACAATGAGACCTCTAAGACTTGGTGTTTGGATTCTTTCAATTCCTCAGAAGGTTGCCTGCTAAAGCAGATACCATGTTGTAAGAAAAAAAATCATTTTAATTTCATTCCATTCATTTCAACGGCTAAGTAACATGTTTTCTTTCTTAATAATATCTAATCTCAAACAAATGAATTATGTACATATATAGGGTACTTAACTTTCAATAAAACGATGAAATAATAATAATAATAATAATAGGACTAAAAGTAATAAATAATAATAATAAATTGTTAGCTGAAATTCTACTACTACTATTATTATTATTATTAACCATCTCCTTATAGTACTGTATTATTTTGTTTCTATCTCTTTTTATCAATTATAATAATAATTATTTTTTTCAGGCACAAAAATAAGTCTTTAATATATATATATATATATATATATATATATATATAGGGTACTTAACTTTCAATAAAACGATGAAATAATAATAATAATAATAATAGGACTAAAAGTAATAAATAATAATAATAAATTGTTAGCTGAAATTCTATTATTATTATTATTATTAACCATCTCCTTATAGCACTGCATTATTTTGTTTCTATCTCTTTTTATCAATTATTATAATAATAATTTTTTTCAGGCACAAAAATAAGACTTTAATTTACCTATTATTTGTTTGAAAAGCATTTTGAAACATGCACTTAGTATTGTAGGACTAGATTTTCAATATATCATGTCTTCACAAATCTAATTAAATGTTCTTAACCCATTATTATATTTTAGATGGTTCTCTTATCTATCATTTTAGTAGATATTTTCATATGCATAGGAAAACATAATTCATTAAAATAGTAATTTTTTTTAAAAAAAACACAATGTCATATAGTGTTAAAATTCTTTTTTTTTTTTTTTTTTTTATCTCATGGTTATTTTTAAGTAAATTAATATATGTTTGGATTTCTTACTATAGAATTTGTTAATTTATTGAGATTATATTCTATCTAAAAGATTTATAAGTCTTATGATTAGCGGTTCCTTTTCAACTTTATATGTCACTTATCTATTGTTTAATTACTTAATAGATGCTGATTTCAACAAATGATATGCCTTCTATCCGTAGAGTGGTTATTTCGGATGATAAATTTAGTCTTTTTAATTTGCGTTAACAATGAGCTTTTTTGTGTATTGTAGGATTCATTCATTGCTCGTCATGTTTCGGAGGTTTAGGTTTCTTTGTCCTCTCAGCATGTTGGGTTAGGTTGGATTGTTCCTCTTTGTATTATTGCACATTTTATTTATCTAATTTCAAGATATTGCTCTTGTTTTTCAAAAGTAAAACTATTTGTTATGGGATATTGTCACGACCTCAAAAGTGGACCATGACTCATGTGAAAATTGAGAGAATCGTGGGGCAAAAATAACAAAAGAGGGTTTTTGCCCTGTTCAATGTTTGGACCTCACATACATGTTAGAACTTTTTTATTTTTTACCTTATTTGAGTTGGGAAAATAAGATCTCTCTCTTCTCATATATATATATATATATATATAAACAATCAAGCACTTTGTAGAAATTAAAATTAAACATTTTAATGTTTGAAAGGACAGTTGGTCAACACTTTAAAAAAGATTTACTTAGTCAACTCGCATGGTTTGCTGCTTTTCTAATTCTTGTTCTGCTATCCCCTCTGTATTGATCCTCCTACAATTGTCAACTTAAATTTAAAGAAAAATAGAAAAATGATAATTAATGAATAATTAATGCTACTTAAATTTAGTATGCATGAATGGTATTTTCTTAAACCCAAGGTAATTAAAACCATAAGAAACTCATTATACTAATAAGGTCAACCCGGGCTGGTGCTTAGGGAAGAAGCAGAACATCAAGGAGTTGCTTCATGATCATGCAAGTTAATAAATAAGAAAGAAGGCAGTAGTAATTGCTGCTTTTAGTTACGGATTTGTGGCAACTATCTGAGGAGAAATTGATGGAGAGTAAAATGAAAGAACTGCCTTGGACATCTAGGGTTTTCTTCTGCAGTTTCTTAAGCTATTTATCTATCATATGTGGATTGAATTAATTGGTTTTTAATCTTTTAGTAAATATATAAAAATCTTTTATTTTATCATTTTTTCTTTTTTTCTTTTTTTTTAAAGATGAGTGATTTGGATTTTCATATTTACAAAATAATAAAGATGATACAACACATAAGCGACCCAAAAATTGAAAAATTATTGTTAAAAATAAAATATTGTTATAGCATATTGCATTAGACCTTGTCATAGTGTTATTATGCTCCCGATCGAGGGGACGCTGAAGTAGTTAGAACTGACGACAGTGTTCTATAAAAATAATAGATTGGAAAATGATTCTATATTTAAAAACAAATTGGGAGCAATTTAAATTTTAAAAATAAATTGAAAACGGAACATAAAATATATAACGACAAGTTGAGTTAATTCCCCATTTTATTCTGTCTTTATCTATGCCTTTTTTCCTTTAAGTGGCCTGCTTTACTTTCCTTTCAATTCTACACAGGTTATAAATAGATGATCATGTAGGCAATATGAATTTGGGGGATAAAAATTGCAGCTTGATAGCCAATATTTGAAATAGAACTTAACATGTTTGGAAGAATTTGTCGGTATAGTTTGTAATGTAAAGGAAGGAAGAAAGTTACCAACAAATTATTAATTCAGTAATAAGAGAATTAGTATTTATATAAACTTTCTACTAATATGTAGGATTTGAATTTTAGAGTTGTATTTGTTGAGAGAAGTTAAACTCTATCACTCCTGCTCCTAACAAAATTAGTCTTATTTTTAAAATGAGATGAAGATATTTGAGAAAAACCAAAAATAAAAAAAGAAGATTTATTTTACTTGGTAAACACACTCCATCTAAGAGAGTTGATTTGAGGAGAAATGGTTCTAGTCTTTTAAGTAAATAATCTCAGATTTGAGTTTTTGTTTACGCAAAAAAATAAAATAAAATAATAATAAATAAAAAAATCTTTAAATAGTTGTATCTATCTTATACATCCGACATAACAACGATAGATTAGTCTTATTTTTAATGTGAGATGAAGATATCCGAGAAAAACTAAAAATAAAAGAAAGAAAGTTTATATTACGTGTAAACACACTCCATCTAAGAGAGTTGACTTGAGAGAAATGATTCTAGTATCTTAAGTAAATGACCTTGAATTCGAGTTTTTATTTACGCGAAAAAAAAAAAAACTTTCTAAATAGTTGTGTCCGCCTTATGCATCCGATAGAACAACGATAAATTAGTCCGGACATGGCATACTTTGGAGATTGAAAAAAAAGGTGCTTATAGAGATTGGGCAACCAGATATGACTGTTACGTTTTTTATTTTTATTTTTATTTTTATTATTTTTCCTTATTCTTAGTAAGAGTTTAGAGACTTAGTTGTTAAAAAATGTGATTTTCAAGCCTCCAAACTTAATTATATATTTTGTTTTGTTTCTTTGTCTTCATTCCAAAGTACTCCAACAAAATTTATTTTCTGTCTATCTTACTTCACAATGGGGAGACGGAATCACAGGAAGGCCAACTTTTCTTCACACTTAATCAACTTATTATTTCTTTTAGGTTTTAAGGTATTTAGTGATTTCCAAGTAGTCGATCTCCTGAAGCAAGACCACACACAGAAAGGAAAACTTGCATATTCATTTTCCTATATATAGTCAACTCCCGCACAAAAATTTCTCTATAAAACCCCGTTAATAAAATCTTCTTCCAACCAACCAGCTCGATTCATATTAGTAGCCATGATGAACTTGCAAAAACTCTTCTTTGCTCTCTCATTAACAATAGCTACTGTTGCAGCTCTGCATCAAGATTATCATTACAACGAAAACTCAAACATGCAAAGTCAAGTACTCTCATTGTCTGAAAATCGAGAAGTTACTTCTCTACGAGGGGTTGGCCGCGTCCTGGCTCAGCAGAACCCGATAGCCAATTTGACATGCAATAAGCTCCCTCGCATTTGTAGACTGAAGAGAAGTCCAGGGCCAGACTGCTGCAACAAGAAATGCGTTGATGTTAAGACCGATCGCTTGAACTGTGGAGGGTGTGGTTACAAATGCAAGTACATTGAAACATGCTGCGAAGGGAAGTGTGTGAATCCATCTTTTGATAAAAGGCATTGTGGTGGATGCAATAAGAAGTGTAAGAAAGGGGAATTTTGTGTTTATGGGATGTGTAGTTATGCATGATTGCTTCACAAACTATATAATTTTTTAATAAAATACATACCGTGTGCTTATATTATTTAATATTATTTATTTTAATTTTTCCATTCATATAAAATAAATCCTGAACTACTCAAAATTAGGACAAATCAATCATTTCATAGGAAAGGTCCCATTAACATCAAGAACTTGCGTCACCATGCAAGTTAATTAACAATAACAATTGGCTTAAATTCTATGCAATGCCAGAAGGAACTTGCTGGGCTAGTGCTTAGGGAAAGTATACAAGAACTTGCTTCATGATGCAAGTTAATTAACATTAACAATTAAAAAAAAGAAGCTAAAAGGTGGTAGTATTTTACTATATATGATCATGCACTATTAGAAACGAATCAATATTCTAGGTTAGATAATTTTGATTGGTTTTGGAGATTTTTATTAGATGATACTTTTAAAGTTTTGAATCGATTCGGAGGATATTTATTTGTTGATATTTTGAAAATTTTGGATTGATTTTGAGTATTTTTATTTGTTTGAAAATTTTTATTAGAAGGCATTTTTTGAAGATTTGGATTGGTTTGAGAGTTTTTATATGTTGGTATTTTGAAAGTTTTGAATTGATTTTGACTTTTGAGTGTTTTTATTTGTCAATATAGTTTGTGCTATATTTCAACCATATTTCATAACATTTATGTTTAAGTGATAATTTTTTATTTTATTTAAGTTTTAGTAATTAAAAGAGAGAGAGAGAGAGAGCATTTTCAAGCCAAGAAAATTGTTGTCATTGGCATTCAAGACTTTGGATTGGCAAAGGGAGTTGATTGAAAGTGAGGCAAGCTACAATAAGGTTAGAAAAAAGACTGTAAAGGGAACGACGCGTCGTCCCTTTTTTTTTTTTTTAATTGTTGCTTCCTAACCCATACCAAAAGAATTTATTGATTTATTATTATTTTTTTTTTGGAAATTCTAAATTTTGATTTCTCTTGGAATCAAATGATTAAAATAATGTTTTAAAAATAACACATCCTGGTGTTATACTTTTCAAATAAGACAAGAGTATTCTAATATAAAAATATACACATTATTTTATAAAAAAAGATTTTTCCTTTAATTCACTATATCATTTTTGGAGAAATAATAAGTTAAGAGACGAAAAACTTGAGATTTGGTTATTTAAGAAATTTATAAAGTGCAACGTGTGAATAAATTTATTTTTTTGTACAAATTATCGTATTTTCATATTTCTTGATGGTGGTCAAATTATTGCACAGCAATTTGATTATTTGACCATTTCATAGAATTTTAATTAATATATGGAGCTTATTATTATTTTATATGATTTTAAATTTAATAAAATTGAATATTAAAATAAGCACATAACTATATTATTCTACTAGTTAATTGTACTGAAAAAAACTACAAGTGAAACAAAACTTATTACTAATGGTAAATTTTAATTTGTCCTCTTGATATTTGACGGGTTTCTTAATTTTTCTCATGATATTTTATTTGTATCAATTACTCCCTTAAACTTTTATCAAAATTTTAATTTTTCATTTTCGTCTATTAAACTAATATAACTAATGATATGGTATTTTTTATGTTTCAATTGACTTCTTAAAGTACACAAAAAATCTCAGTCAAATATTTATTCTTCAATCATATTCAAATTCATAAAACTCTTCTCATCAAAATTTAGAAAGTAGTATTATTTCAATTATGAAAATATCACATCATTAGTTTGAATATATGGATTTTAATATGATTTGAAGGATTAATAAGAAAATTTCAATTATATATATATAGTGTATTAGTGTTATTAATTTTATAAAATTAAAATTTATGTTTTAAACAATTAACACATACTTTTTTTTTAAATGAGAAAATAAAAAAGATGATACCAAGTTAGGTTAGCTTTTTTTAATTCAAAAAAGTAAAATCAAAATTTTAAGTCACCCCAATGATCATGAATTGATCCAATGACACAACAATCCGAACACTTGAATAAGTCAAATTATAAATTGAATTGAACAAACGATTTCCGAATTAATTTTGACAACTATGACCAACTCCATGAGTGAAAATCATTTCAGAATTGAAATAAATATTCGAATGGACCTTCTTTAATTTAGTGAATATCAATTATCCGAGTTTGTTACATCAATTGATTATGATTATAGTAATGAGATCATGATTTTAATCCCCATGAAAGTGTTTTTTTGCTCACAAACTCTTGGTAGATAGTAAAAAAAAAATACATACAGTACAAAATAAAAATAAATTGAAAATGATCCGTACAATTATTCCCGTTTTTTTATTTTTAATGAATACATCACCGATACTCGAGCAGAATTAATTTATACTTTTTTCTCCAAAAATAATTATTTAATCTCTATCCTTCTAATTTTTTTAAAAAAACATAGAAAGGTTCATAAAAAAATTGACATTTCATAAAATAAAATAATACTCAATTAAACCTAATCAATTTTGATTTAGAAATTAAATATGCAGTTTCTGAAACAAAAGTGACTTAGTAATTTGTTTCTCCAAAATAGAGGGACTAATTTATAATTTACTCCCAATACTCACATAATAAATGGACATACGATCAAGTTACCATCATTGTTTTATTAAAGTTAAAATAGCAGAACCCTTGTTGCCTGCTCAGATAACCCTTGTATCCTATCAATACGCATAGCGAATGACCAAGTCATGAGAAACAGAGATGATGAAGGACCAGGTTCGGACACAAGGGAAATCACCAGAAGATAATTTGATATTCTGAAGAGCTCAAAATCAGGTGAACAGTTTACAGTAGAGCACGCAGAATTGAAACATACTTGCAACATATGACTGGCTTCAGTCTCACACATTTAGCATTACCATTATCAGTATCATAAACTTGCAGTTACGGCTCAAGTAACATTATTGTCCCCTCCCCCAAAGGTCTCGAGTTCGAATTCTCCTTAGATATATATAACAAACTTAAAAGAGTGCCATAACAAGTTGCAAGTTAAAACAAGGAACAGGCTATATGTTCGCAAAGCAACAGTTCAGAAGAGAGAGTATGAGGAGCCAAAGGCAGAAGCATGACTTCTACCCGTGTTGTGGCCTCGGAGGCACTCTAGACCAATGACTTGAGAATGATCCACAAAGAGGTTCACCTGAGAAATAAATCATGCCATTAGCAACAGAGCTATCAGGATTCAATGCTGGATTTCACCACATGGTTAAGGTTGAGGAGAGACAAAGGAATATACCTTTGGACCATAACGTTTAATGAACCACTCAGCAGTTTTAGCATTTGATGCTTCAAACATGGTCTTCTCAAGACCTAGTCGTCCAATGACCTTTGCAACTATATCTGCTCTCAGAGAATCAGTATCCCTGCAGATGTCATCTGCATCAATCATTATCATGTCTGCCCCAGCCTCTAAGCACCTCTCAGCCATCTTAATCAGGAGATTAACATCTTCAACCATTTCTGTGAAACAAATATATAGCTCCTTGTAAGTTTGGATGCAATATCCTACATAATTTACTTATGTTATATGCAAATTGACTAATCTCTAACTCAAGCATCCTTAAAAGACTGCATGCTTCTCTGAATTCAGGTGCTTCATCATCTTGTTGTCACTTCAACCACCAATTTAGTAGGGCATACACTAGTCTTTCTCCATGAGGGTTTGAACATCTGTGTTTTAATGAGCTATCGTTAACTAAATATTCTTGTCCATTTTCTACCAAATTAGCATGATTTCTTTCCACCATCTGGATCTCTCAGGTGGTAGTTGTTGGGTTTCCACAAACACAGTGTTCGATACTTCTTTAAATCTGAATGAAGCCAATTTCAGAGAAAAAAAAAAATCAACAATCAAAGCCGTCAATTGTAACCACAGAACACACAAACATGTGCTGGTGCATAGCTGTAATTGCTTACAAAATAAGCTTGTAGCAGAGCATTAACTATTGGAATATCTCATCAGAATCAATGATCTGATTCCAGTCAACAATTTAACATATAGCATGATACTGACGACCTTAATGCAATCATTAGCAACAGTAATCATTCAGTTGACATCAAATGCTTTCCATTTCAATCAAAAGCGTCCTGCATTACTTTTCCAATTAATGAGTGGAAAGATTCCAAAAAAATCTTAAGACGTGTTTTTGATATTAATGGATCAATTTTCCAATTGAGCTTTATCTAACTACAGTTCAGCCTGTATATCCTGCATGTGATTAGCAATATATGACTTAAGGATGCATCATATTCCTGAGTTCATCAGCCATCATGCTAGACTCATATCCCTCCATTTTCAAGCAATATATTACCATAGAAATCAAACACCAAGACAAGTGCTGCTTCCTTACCAGTGCTTCGAGGTGCTGGGTGTACATAAGCCCCAAATGCTCTATGACCACCAGTCGGAATGTCTGACTTGTTAAACTTGACTGCAAATTGAGGCTTAGCTTTCAAACCACCACTCTTAATCAAGCGCACGTATCTCAAAAGTGTCTCTTCAGGAACACCAAGAGATCCCACATTCAACTCAATTGTGTCAAACCCCATACTTTTACATTCCTAAAGAAGCAAAACCATTACCATCCAATATTTAAAACATTCCAAAACAATTATATTAAAAAGAATCTCTCTTCTATATCCCTCACCTCGATGTACTCTTTGAAGGCCGAAGGACCTTTATGAAGCAAATGCTCAGCCCAATCCCCAGTACTAACATACACATCATGTTCGTGGGCCATGTCAATCACTTCTTTAATAAAAGACTTTGGCATTAAACTATGAGAACCTCCAGAAAATTTCAGTCCATCAACAAACTGCCCCATTGTCTCGAAAACATCCTACCAAGCATTATATGATTATGCACAGGTAAGAAGCAAAATAAAGACTCAAATTCGATAACTTTACATTAAGCTTCCTTGACATAACACCACAATTCCAGACTTACATAAAGACTCCTTAACGATCTAAATGGCAAAACCCATTTTCCACAACATTACTTAAAATTATCCAAAAAACCAAAGTCACTGAGCATTCTATAAAAATGACATTGCAGAAACACCCTTTAGATTAAATTATAACAAAAGGCTCAAAACTCATTTTAAATTCTTAACTTGCAGAATTTCTATAGACATTTCCCACTGTTGAAGTTCCTAGTTAGACTTAGTAATTTTCAAACTTATTATTGCTCTAACTCTACTTGGGTCATTCAAGAAACAATTTAAATGATCCTCTATCCCCTTAAAATTAAAACATTTCCCCCAGAAAAGTATCATCTAAGCATTAATTTACCAAAAATACAGCATTATCTTCTACTAAATCAAACATATGGCGGTGATTCTTAACAAAAAAACATACAGTAACATTTCGTTTCCCTAAATTCAGTCAACAATAAGTTAACCCACAAAATGGGAAGATGGGCATCCACCAAAATCAAGAAAGATATCATCTTTGCAAGTTAAAAGAGAAAAAACAAGTTCCTTTACTTACCTGAAGCATGTTCTGGCTTAAGAGAGTGTACTGAGGACCTCTCATCTCTGTAACTCCAAATCTACGGGGCTTCTCTGGTCGATCCTCATCTTCCTCGAAGCTTTTCCATTTGTAATACACCGAGGATGATAACATCTTTACCTATCCTTTCCTTTCCTTTCCTTTTCTTTCTAATGATTGGTATAAGATGCGAAGGAAAGCGTGTTTCCTTCTACAAATGTGGAAAATTTCTTACAATGATCTTGATTTTTTTCCCCCGATAAATGATAATGATGATCCTTATCGGAAAAGTCTTCCAGCCTCTTCTAGAGAGAAATGGTGAAGTTTTATCTGTTTAATTTTCTAACCATCTTTTGTCCCGCAGACGGTCATGACAAGTGTAGCTTCTGACGTCACTGCAATCCATTTCATTTTATGTCTTTTTTTTTCTTTTTTTTTCCTCTAAGAAGCTTACTGGATTTTGATTTTCGTTTTTCTCTAAGAGATACTAAACAAGAGACTTCTCTCTCTCTCTCTCTCTCTTTTTTTTTTTTTAACAATGAGAATGACCACAGGTAGGATTAGTTTAACGTTGTTGTAATGAAGATGCCGATTGGATAATATTTCTTTTTTTTTTAATGGTATGAGATATTTCGATGCCATAGTATTTTCACATTTAGTTTCAGAGTTTTATTTATAATATGGAAAAAATAATAATTTAGAATAATATGTAAAGATATATATTTTTCAACCCAAATTTAAAAATAAATTAGTTTCAAATAGTAAAATCAGAACAAAATATCAACCATCCAAAAAATAAATTTCTAAATATATAACATTTTTAAATTTTTTAAAGGAAATTAACATAGTTTCAACACAAACAAAATACTAAAAAAATAAATTTATTAAAAGTCAAGTTGTAATACTCGAAAATCATGTTTGAGTAGAAATAAAGTTAGAAATGTTTGCGATTTTACATAGAACATGTCATACTTTATGTTGTCATCTATAATTATTTAGTCTTCAACATATACATTGCTTCTTTTTTTCGAGTAATATACGTAATGCATAATTAGAGTAAATTATAAATTAGTCACTATTGTTTTAGAAATGAATAAATTAGTCTCTTTTGTTTCAATAACTAATCATTTAGTCTTCATATTTTAAATTTATTTGTAACTTAGTCTTCTTTTTCTTTTTATTTTTTTGTCTTTCAATTTATTTTGATTTTTTGAGTTAAGAAATATTAAAAGGAAAAAATATAAAAAAATGGCAAAACTGAAGAGAAAAGAAGACATTTTATTAAATAAAATAATGTTAAATTAAACATAATCAACACTATTCAAAAAGACTAAATAATAGTTTTTGAAAAGGGAAGAACTCATTAATTTATTTATTAAAACTAGAGGGACTAATTTATAACTTACTCTACATAATTCGAATGGAAGTGGAGAGAAGACCTGGAAAAAAAAGTAAATTAAATTTAGTCCCTGTGTTTTTTTATGATTTTGTATGTGAGTGCGCTTTTATTTTTTAAAATCCTAAGTTAGTCTTTTAACCAAAATTGTTTGTTATTATTTATTTATTTTGAAATTATTGTTTTTAAATACATTTTTTAGTTTGTATGGTGGATAAGGAAGATTAGAAAAATTTGATTGCAAAAGAAGGATATTTTAGAGAAAAAAAAATTTAATTACAATGAATGCTAACAAAATTTTGATTTTATCTTTTTTTGGGTTTGGAAATGAATGGGTGGAACATACTTGAAATGACTCAGTTGATATTTGGCCAAGACATTGGAGACGGGCATAGACTCTCAGCTAGATGAAACAAAATAAGATTGACAGTTTATCACATATCCGATATGATATAGTGTGTATTTCATATCGATAATGCCCTTACAAATTGGATAAAATAGATGTCAATATACTGCCTAATCAAGAAACTAATATCATGATTTAAACTTAATACTATTTTAATCAATCCATAACCATATATAGAAGTTCGAACTTTTTAAAATCTTTTGATTGACTATTATACTTTTAATACGATAATCACGTTATAATACACACACCTATTAATAAGTAAAATCAAGCCCACATTTAATTAAAAAAAAAACAATATCGGTAACTTATTTTTTATAAAAAAAATATTAATTCCTAAAGTATAGGTTAATTCTATTTTTTTATTATTTTTTTCATCACCATATGAACTATACTGTACGATATTGATATTTTATTTTGACTATCAAAACTTAAAAATAAAAATAAAAAACCTACAAAAACAAGCTAATGAAAAATATGAAGTATTAAAATTTGAAAAGAATTAAATCACATCAAAATTTTAAATTGAATCCTTAGTATTAAGAAAACGACCAATATTGGTAAATTTCTTAAAAAGAAAATTATTAATTCTCAAAGAATAGGTTATTTTTTAGGATGAATCCTAAAATATAGGTTAATCCTTTTTTTTCATTTTTTTTTGTTTATCACTAATAAACCCTAAATAACAAAACATAAACTACTCAAATCATTCCTAAACTATATAGTACTATATTGGTATTTTATTTTGACAACCAATACTCTAAAAAGACTATATAAAAAAAAAAGCCAATAAAAAATATGAAGATTAAAATCCAAAATTAATTAAATTACATCAAAATGCATGAAAATATTAAATTGAATCCTTAGTTAATTTTAATAGGTTATTTTTACTCTTTTGAAAAACAATTAGAATATTAAAAAAAAACCCATAAGATTTTTTTTTTTTTTTTAAATAAGTTATACTTTGTTATTCAAATTACGTGCTAAGAAACTAATCCGTTGAAAGCATAGAAAGGAGAGCACTATCGCCTCTCTGGAAAGCGTCAGATGAAAGAATGTTTATTTATGGGCTGCGTAAACACAATTATCACCATCTATGCTTATTGGATTAAGGTTGCATGGGCTCAATTCTCAAGAGCTAGCTTATGGCCTGCTTCTGCTATTGAGCCTCTGCTTGTCTGTTTTTTTTTTTTTAACAAAATAATTTGCATTTGCTAAATACCAAGATGTAGGAATGATTATTTGATTTTTCGATTTGGTTTTTAATATTTCAATTCGATTTTTGATTAACCAAACTCAAAAAAAAAAAACTCGAACTGAATTTTTATTTAGTTTTTTGATATATAAAACCAAATTTTTTTAACTTTTTATTTTTTTAAATAATGTAAATAGACAAATAATAATAATAATAATAATAGTTATGAATTATGGAGTCGTTTTTCTAGTCCAAACAACCTAAATCAGCCTAGATAAAAAAAAAAAAAACATTATATTCATTAGAGAAAACTATGATTTTAGTGTTCAATCTTTGATATTTTTCTATTTCAGTACTCAACTGATAAATTCTTGTATTTCAATCTTTTTTTTTTTTAATCTTGTCCTTTTATTTTATTTTTATCAAATTTAAATAAATAAATTTAGAAAAAAAAACAGAAATAAAAGGTGAAGATATATCTGGCTATTTTCTCTAAAAATCGGAAAAAAAAATGAAGATAAAAAAAATTATCCAAAAAATTCTCATATTTTGTTACAAAAAATTGGTTAATTTGACTCAAAAGTAGGAAAAAAAAATATATATATATTTTACCGATTTTACTAGAGTCGTTTATTGAGATGGGAAAAAAAACTCCAAAATTTGCAATTAAATTTATATTTTAAAAAAATCTTAGCAAAACTTATATTTATACTTTTGAGTCAAATTAAAAAATTTATAAAATCAAAATAAATAAATTAGAATAGACTCTTATGAGGTATTATAAAATTATAAATAACATTCGAAAATTTAAATAAAACTATTTTTATATTTAAAAAATGTTATAAATATTTTATTTTGTATTCAAAATTAGTTTATTATCATAGAGATAAATTTAAAATCGTAAAGGATATTTTGGATAGAGAGAATGACATGATATATATATTCATCTTTTTTTCTTCTATTTTTTCTTATTTTTACTTTATGCTGCTTTTTATGGAATAATGGTCAGCGCTGCTTGATTGGCTGCTTGATTGACTGCTTGAAAGTTTGAACCAAGTCTTGGATTTGTAAGAGGTTTTTTCTCATCCTTTCCGAAACCTTTCAACAGACAGGACTATACCACTTTTCTGAGGGAAGGAGGAAGAATGAGGCTGTGTCCATGGTGATTTTCGATAATGGAGAGAGGATGAGAGAGAGAGGAGAAGGAAGAAGAAGAAAAAGAAAAAGAAAAAAATAGATTTGGACACCTATCAATGTGTAATGAAGGTTACTAAACGATTGACAGACAACTTTAGCTTCCGATCAATTAAGAACTAAATAAATACGATTTTAAAAGTAAAAAGTCCATATTAAAAAAAAATAAAGGGAGAAAATTATTACAAACTCAAAAGTAGAGAGAGAGAAAAAAAGCTTTTAACTGCCCAAATAACAATCGATTGCTTGTTGAGGTAAAGAAAAATGGTAAGTTTCATTTTACTCCTCTAGATTCATCAACTTTCCTTCATTACAGTATAAAATTTCTTGTTGAATTCTTGATAATAGTTGCAAAATTAAAAAAAATGAAGATAAAAGATTATAGTATTTAATTGCTTGCAGAAATTTTACTACGTTGTACTTAAAATGATCATTATTCTTGTTATAATGTTGTAGTGATTCGTGACAATTCATCTTTAACATTTAACTTTACTCTAAAAAAATTATAGACAACACTCCTTAAATTCCTTTTAAGAGAATTTCTCTTAAAATTATAGAATTTTTAGAAATAGAAAAATTTGAAAGTAGGATTGCAGAAATAAAAATTACGTATTTGCTTTAAGCAGTATTCCTCTATTTACAGATTATTAGAGCTCATTCATAACAAGTGTGGCTGTTGGAAAATAAATTTGATTAAGTAACTAGCTATTAAATTATAACAATTACAATTCAACAATAATGTTTGTTTGAAATTAAAATATTAACTTTCACAAAAATTACAAATAGTGATCTGGTTGTGCCAAATGACATACATAGTCATATAACCTATTTTATCTAAATTAACACTTTGTACGTAATTTAACATCACTGTATCCGATGATAGACACAAAACCATGCAATCTATTCTGCCCGAAACTCTCTTCGCTATACTTAATTTATTATCTATCAAACATAAGATTTCCAACATTTTTCAATATTACCACTATAGTTTCTTAAAAGATCTAATGTTAAGATGAGATTCTGATTAACTATTAAAGCTCACATTTTTCATCTTTTCTTATTTGTCTCTCATTTATCCTTCCAAACCTCGATCCATAGTGTTTCGCAAAAAAAATACTTAAGAGGACAAAATTGAAAGATGGGTTTATCATTAATTATGTTAGATATTTATATAATTAACGGGGATGAAATTGAAAATTTTCAAAATCAATATAATTAACATAAAAAGAAAAATTAAATTATAGGATGAAAATAGAACATCAATGAATCTATATGTATAAAAATATAGTTATTTGATTGAAGTATGATCCATTGATACTATACTTAATTTCTCTAATTATATTTCCTAGCAAAACCTCAAGTATTTAGCCAAAAATAAATACTTAAAGAATTGTATGTTAAGGCTTTGGAATGTGAAGATGTAAGGGAGTAATTTCACTTTTTAGGCAGGATCCATGCACATGAATACGGTTACCATCCTGTTGGTGATACCTCAACTTCCCTTGTCTCCCATGAAAAGAATCAGCATTTAGAAAGAAGAAGCAAAAGAAAGAATAAAGAATACTGTCAAGACAAAAGAAGCTTTTAACTCTTAAATCACAGCTAATCTAATCTGATTCTATTACTAATGATCTCAACTTTATTCGTATTCTTCCTTCCACGAACCTTGCTTATAAAGAAAGGACAAATTCCCTATAAAGATTTCCTCCATCTCCTCTTTGTTCACAACTTCCTATAGAACTGTTACCTCTGGTAGATTTTGAAAACGAAAATGGCCAAAAACTTTGGTTTTTTGGTTTGTCTCTTGATCATGGCGTTGGATATAACAGCCGGCATACTTGGGATTGAAGCTGAAGTAGCTCAAAACAAGGTAAAGCAGTTAGAAATTGAATCCTAACCCACCCTGTATTTCTTCTACAGCTTTTGGTTGCTGATCATTTCATTTGGGTCTTAATTTGTTGATGGCAGGTGAAGCATTTAAAGATGTGGATTTTTGAGTGCAGAGATCCAAGTCATCAAGCTTTCAACCTAGGTCTGGCTGCAATAATTCTTCTTTCCCTGGCTCAGATCATTGCTAACTTGCTTGGCGGCTGCATTTGCATCAGGTCGAGGGGAGAATTCGAAAAGGCATCCGCTAACAGGCAGCTAGCTGTAGCTTCCCTTTTCTTCTCATGGTAAGTACCATCGAAACAATAATATCTACACACAGCAAACAAAAACTTATAGACTCTGACATGGCTGTTTTGGGCAAATCAGGATCATATGGGCAATTGGGTTCTCAATGCTGATCATCGGGACAATGGCAAACTCAAAATCAAGAAAATCATGCGGATTATCACATCATCGGATCCTGTCCATTGGAGGCATTCTGTGTTTCATTCATGGAATCTTCACAGTTGCCTATTATGTATCTGCCACTGCTTCGGCCAGAGACAATTCTCGGCATCAAACACCCACTGATCCTCAGGCTTAGCCTGTTTCCAATCTTCTTAGATTCAAAATTGATCTCTCTTATTCTGATCCTCCCCAATTGGCATGAATTCTTCTCCTCCAAGTTATCATGTAAAAAGATTTTAAGCTTTTGCTTAATGAGTTACCATTTGATTAACTTCATTAATGCTGATGTATATTTTTCCTTTTATTAGTTAGATCAATGATAATCTCTGTTTACAGAATTTTAAAGCTACTGCCCTGATCAAGAAGATACTGCAATCATACAATAAATCTGTTTTGATGGCTAACCATTCTATAGAAAGAAATAAACAAAAAAATCTTTTTTAAAAAAAAAAAAAAATTCAAAGAATAAGACCTCTTTAATACAAAAACGATTACCATATACCATTCAAGAAATCAACAAACTAGCGATACATCAAATCAAACTATTTCAATTCACCAAAAACAACTAGTAATTCAAAGAGGGAAATAACAATAGCAAATCAAACGTCATTTTAATCTTACTACAACCTAAATTCTCAGTATTTGCCTTGTTCTCTTTGTAATTTCGACAAAGTCAATTCTGTTTCATCTCTCATTCATCATCAACAGGGCCTTTAGAAACCCTTTTAGGCAACAAAGTGTTGTGAATGTTAGGCAATACACCGCCATTAGCAATTGTGACTTGGCCAAGCAGCCTGCCCAGTTCCTCATCGTTCCTCACTGCCAATTGAATGTGCCTTGGGACTACTCTAGTCTTCTTGTTGTCTCTTGCTGCATTTCCAGCCAATTCCAGCACCTTCACAACAACAAATAAACACCAAAAATCAGCACCAATTTTAAACAAAATTCCAAGTTTCTATTTTTGTTTCTCATGGTTTCTTTGCAACCAAACACTCCATGATGAATTATGAACAATTAATGGAATAAAAATAAACGGAAAACTAAAAAAAATGGACTAGTTATTGTTTCCAAGATTTTCTCAGTAACCAAAAATTATAAAATAATTATAAAAAAACAATAATTGCATCAAAATTTTACCAAGATCTATAAGAACCCACAAAAATCTTGAGCAAAAAAGCTCATGTACCAAAACTTCACATAAGTCTGCAAAAACACAAATATCCATTGTCCCAAATTTCACAAACTATTCTCAGTACCTAAAAACCCACTAACCCAAAAACAAAATACAAAATTAGGCAAAAAGAGAAGAAAACAAGAGGGTTTTTTTATACCTCGGCAGCTAGATACTCAAGAACAGCAGCGAGGTAAACAGGAGCACCAGCACCAACACGCTCTGCATATTTCCCAGCTTTCAAAAATCGAGCAATACGCCCGACAGGGAACTGCAAACCCGCCTTGCTACTTCTCGAAGTTGCTTTCTTTGCTACTCCAGACCCCAAAGCCTTTCCTCTTCCTGCCATCTTCAAACTACTACTCCGCAAAACGGAATTAAAATTTCGAAGAAATTGGAATTTTGGATTTTTTTTTTTTTTTTTTAAGAGTCTTCAAATGCTATAGGATTCTGTAGGCGAGTGAAGAAAGCAGGAGATAGTGGGTTTATTATATAGAAAGGGAGACGGGATTACGAGCCAATTAATGGGGCTGACGCGGATCGTGATCTCTAACCGTTGATTTTGGATCTTATTGGCGGTTGAGATTGTATGGTGAGGTTTGGTTTTGGGACGCAGACTTTTGCTACTTTTAGAGGCGGGAAAATTAACGATCGTGGTGGAAGGGAGGATGAATTTACGACAATACCCATGCTCTCTTGGATAGGGAAAACGTAGAAATCCAGATTAACATATAGTAATGATAATTTCTCTTTTTGTGAAGAGTGTTGATGGAAATAATCGATAACTTTTTTTTAAAAAAAATCTTTAAGAATAAAAAACCAAAAAAAAAATTTCTAATAATAAAACAGTGAATATTATATTTTTAGATGCATATATTAAGTTTACTTTTTCAAGTGATTCATATCGTAATTAATAAAAATTTATAAAAATTATTATTTTTGTTAAATCTAAACTTTAGGAGCTAAATAGAAAATAAACCTTCTTACCATAAAATAAGAAAAAAAATCGTCTTTATTGAAAGTCAATCTCCACATGTTTTTCAAAGATGTATATGTAAATTACATTTTGAGCCCTAAGAGAGTTCTCACTCTTTGCAGTTGGGGCCTTTAACCAAAATGGGAAGAATGATGGGTATTGAGCTACGTTTATTTGGCCAAAAACAAACTTTATGGAAAAATTAATTTCTGAAGATGTTATTTTTTAAAAAAATATTTTATATCATTTGATAATTATATGAAAAAATTATTAAAAAATATATTACACTCGCTTGTTTGATACATAAAATTAAAATACAAAAATAATATGTGATTACTACATCAATAAGTTTTGAGAAAACTTCAAAAAAATATATTCACAATTTTATAATATAAGATACATTTAGAAAATTTTAATATTCATAAATATTAACTCTAAAATTTTAATTTAAAAAATAAAATGTATTTTTTTAACCATCAAACCAATTCATCAAAATTATTTGAGACAAAATCAAGTCAATATTTACATTTAGTAAAAAAAAAAAAAATCTAAAAGTAATCCTAACATTGTTATTTTAGTAACTCAATTAGGATTTTTTTTAAAAAAAAATTTGAACTGATAATTTAGTCTGAAAAATAGTTTTATAAATTATTAGTTATCATTTGTAGATAATTATTCATTTGGTTTCAAAAGATTAACGTTAGAATAATTTATAACCAATTATTCAATACAATTTACCAACAAAATTTTACAACTGATTAAAATTATAAATTATTGATTTAGTTGCAAATGAATAGTATTGAAAAAATAATATATTTATTAATGAATTAATTAATTTTAATTTTTTATGAAAAAAATTGCAGTCTTATAATAATTATTTCTAATTTTTTAAGTACAGTTTAGTTGGTGGTTGAGATAATAGTAAAAAAATAGATATAAATTATTAAAATATTTATTATAAAAATAATTTTAAGGAGTTAAAATGGTTTTTAAGAATATTTAATGTATCTATAAATCAAAAAATCGAATATTAGTAGACATAGAGAAAAAATAATTAAATAATTAATAACTATTTATAAGAATTAATTAAAAAATAATTTGATATATTTTAAACAAAAAGAAGATAGGAAAAAAATTGTTAAAATATATTAAAAAAAAAGATAAATAACGCGAGAGCGAGGCAGCTCGTAAAAAAGAAAATGTTTTTCTCTTTTTTAACTGAGAAAATATTTTTAAAAAAACAACCTATCATTTTTCGTTGATTTTTTCCCTAAACACGAAACAAATCCTAAAAAATGGCCGACCAATCACAGTCTTAGTGGGAAGAATTGTTCCTAATAATCTAACATGGGCTTTCCTCGGCCCCAAATAATTTAATGCATGCGGCTATGGTCATTGAGCACGGGCTCTTTGGTGTAGGGAACTATGGGCTTTAAAAATGGACATTGACTTTGCTTCTTGTCAAGATAAGTTGATGTCATTATAATTATAGTATGTTTGAGATTATGAAATCATAATATAAAATTTATGATATAATAAATGTCAGTGTAATTATTCGTATGTAATTATTTTAAAATTATTTATTTATTACTTTTTTTAAGATATTTACAAATAATAAATTATATTTGAATTAATTTTTTTACGTCAATCGAAATAAAATCTATTACGATATTTTTTTTAAGGCAAAAAGAGAATTATATCAATTGAAATATATTTTCTTCTTAACCCAAGTTTCCACATGCAAAAAAAAAAAAAAAAAAAAAGAAGGAAGGAAAGAAAGAAAGAAAGAGAGTTTTCATCAGAGAAAGATCTCCACGCTCACAGAATACAATGGCTTCCATTATTATTGGTGAGGATTTTTTGAATATTGAAATCTTATCTTGGCTCGACTAGTCAAGATTAGAGTTATATTTTTTAAAAATATATTTATCAGAATTTTTATAAAAAAAAACTAAAATAAAGAATAAAAAATTATTTGGATGAGAATTTGAATAAAAAAAATGACAAATTAAAATAATAAATTTTAAATAATAAAAATAATATAATCTGAAATATATATTAAATAAAAAATATAAATATTTATCATATATATTTTATTCTCATCAAGTTGTGTGGAAACACAAAAAATAGTGTTCGATCTTCTACAATATTTGCCGAAAAATCATTAAAAAAATAAATTAAATTATTGTAAAAAAAAGCCCAACTAAAATGCAGGTCAGCTTGCTTGGGTCTAGAAGACCAGGCCTGCACGAGCCGGACTTCAAAAAAATAAAAATAAAAATACGACACGTAGTTCGCTTGCTAGGTAGCAAACAATGTGTCTGCCGTCTATGATTTTTAGCGAACTCAAGTTCGCTGAAAAAGTTGTTGAAAATTCTTATTTCCAGTTTCCAACCTTCTTAATTCAAATTCATTGCTATGTTTTTCTGAATATACATAAATAAGGTCAATAAATTTATTTAGAATTCTAAAATTTATTTTAATACATTTGTATCAAATTTAAAATATTTTCGAATCTTAATCTATTTTTTTTAATTATTTTATGGTTACCACAAATAGATTCTTCTCTCCGTGACGAATAAATAAAAGTATGTTCAATAGTCAAAGTGGCTGGAATAAGTATTAACGTTTGTTTCTCTCTTTTTTTTTTTTTTCTCTCCTCTTATAAGTTAGGGATCAAATTTTAATATAAATAAAACTCTAGATCACAACAAAAGTTTTTGAAAAAATAAGGGGTTAAAGTACAATATTTTGAAAAAACTCCAGTATAAATGCCAGAAAATAACCATAAAAATGCAAAAAAAGGCATTGAAGAGTGAAATGTACAGCGACTTTGAGTGTGCGTGAACAGACACTACAAAAAAGGATGTCATATATTTTTTCATATTTCATCTAATCTGATCAACACCTTTTAATTTATTCTAGCTTAAATAAACATCTAAAAGATGGCTAAAATCAGACACTACAAAAAAATCATCAAGTAGATCAAACAGTGCCACCCGTAAGCCCAAGGAAAATGCTTCGCATTTCTCAATTCCCCCCTAAATTTTCAGTCCAGACCCTTAATGAACTTTGCCACTGTAATTTCATCAAGCTGCTTAATCATCTTAGGCGTCAAACAAGTCTTCGAATCTCCAACGTTACCTCGCCGGAAGAACACATCGTTGCCCACCTTTGAAACGACTTGGGAGCCCAAATGAAATGTTCCAGTTTTATTCACCTCCAGATTGCTCAAATTCTCAAGACTACATAGCTTTATTATGTCATCCACAACACCTTCACTTTTTTCATCCTCCGGAAAAGGACATTCCATAAAATCTGCCAGCTTCTTCACATAAAAAGGAGTATCCTTCTTCAAATCCTCATACTTGAGAAAAAACACATTATTCGGACGTTCTAAACTTACATTCCAGTACTCCAAATTGTACTCCCAAAAGGGTCCTGAAAGAGAAACTCCTTTACAGAAAAACTCAAACCCTTCTTCCAGAGGCAAGGGTAGCATGCTCCTTGCAGATCTTATTTTATTGATAAACTTCCACAAGGACACTAAAACATCTTTCCATTCCCGATAAATGCACACAATCCTAGAACCTGAATTTATGATGGATTTTGGCAATGAGGTGTAAGAGACATGTGTGCCAAGCAGCCTAGGTGAGGGAAGAGAATTCAGGTATGTAACTGGGTCATCTTCATGAGCTTGTAGCTCTAAATAGGGCACGCACTTATGAGGGTTTGTAGAGACCAAAGGGTGAGTTGAATCATTGATGCAATGATGATTTCTTTTCTGGATGGCAAACATGAGAGCCTAAAGCCATGTAGTGCCACATTTAGGAAATGAAGCAACAATAACATCACTAGAGCGTGCCTGGAAGTTTTCCTGTGCCCAAAATACTCCGACTGCCCAAAGAGGATCATACCAAAACCCTTCAATCTTGTAATGCTCACCCAACCATGCAGATTCCTTAGGAAGGGTTGAAATAATCTCCTCATATCTCTGGGACTCGCTTTTGATCTGTTGTTGCTGATCTTGTTCGTAGCGGCCAATATTGTTTGAAGGTACGTGAGGACTAAGAGAGAAAGAGTTCGTGTTTTTTGTTTTCTATATATAAGTAAATTTGTAATATATTGACATTGAATGAAGGAAGTTAGCCAAGATCCTCAACCAGCTCCGCTTTTTGGCTGTTTTTAAACAAATTGAATCAGCATTCAAAATTTTGGACCGGATACTTCGACATATGATCCAATGAAGATTCAAACTCAAAAGGAACTGAAAATGTACGTGCATTCATATATGTTCATTTTTGAAGGGGTTATGGTCATAACAACCTTGATTTCTAGAGAAAGTTTAATGCAACTTATCAAATCCTAAACCCTTTTCCAGCCGGATTTCCCTGCTTCTTATTTCTAAGAAAGTTAAGTGTCATTGGGCCAAAGGACTGGTAGGAAATGGCTAATCCCTATCTAATTGTGTGAAAGGAAAGTGTCGTTAATTAGGCCAAAAGGGTTGCTTGGAAATGGTGAATTGAAAGATATCAAAAAAAATGAGGGCCGGTACGTAGCTTGAGGATTAATCTATCCTATACCTAGAGTCCTAGACTCCTTCCTACCCTTAGTAATTTCGAATTTGCACCCATCTCTAATCTCAGTTTAGGAAAATGCTATGAACCCATATTTAATTTAATTTGAAGATTAAAAATGAAACCATTAACGATCACCATTCTTTAGTCAAAGACAGGTTTATGGGTTAACCATGCATGGGCTTGCAGAGGATGCGTTGGAGGTGTTTTCTCTCTGGCCTCGATTTCTTACTCAGCTAAATGTTTTCAATTTCTTTACTTTATTTTGAATATTTTCTTCTTCTTCTTTTCAATTTATTATTTTCTTTTTTTTTAAAAAAAATTGTTTCTTACTTTTTATGTGTCAATCAAAACTGTCAAGTGATAATTAAAAAATATCATGTGACCGTTGATCCCGAACAAATCACTTGTATACTCTTAAATAACTTTAGCCATTGGAACATTAAAATAAAAATCAAAACTTAGATATTAAAATAAAAAAAATATATTTGTTGGATACTAAATAAGAAAAAAAATAATAAAACATTCGCCGCTAAAAATGCAGTTTTCTCTATTATAAATTCTTCTCTTCCTTAAAAAAAAAAAAACAAAAATCTCTATTATAAATTATTATTAAATATTTTTTTAAATTAATTTTAATTCTTTAAAAAAAATAATAACTATGCTTAATTTTTACTAGATGGATTCATTTCACATTCTTAATTATCTAACAACAAAAATCAAATCTACAAATCACAAAATCATATGGAAATAGTAAGTTGATAAATTGAAGGGGTTGATAGTTAGTGGCAACCAATTGAAAAAAATGACGTTTAGTGCCTTTTGCTTTATCTATGGTATGAATTTGAGATTAGAGCTTCTTGTCTTGTTTGTTTAAGCTCATAATTATTTGTTTATCATGGTGGGAAATTAATTTCTTATTCATGGTTGGTCAATAATTTTTACTGTTTTCCTTCAACTTGCTGGCAAGTATTGCTTCATTTTGTGTTATGAGCAGTCATTTTTTTCCCTTGTGGAGAAGGGAAAGTTGAGTAAGAAAGAAGAGGGCAAGGTGTCTCTGTGTGTTTGTGGTGTGAGAGTGGGTGAGTGGGTTTTGCATTCCATTATTCTTTTTCTCTTCATCGATTTGAAGATTTGAAGTTTGAAAATAGCATATCCTTGATTGACATGCACATTCATGATATTGTGCATGTGATTTAGTGTTCTTTAAGCATCAACCTAACACGTGATTTCTATAGGTTTATGAGTTTGTAGTAAAGACTTTCCTGATAAGAGCACAATGGGAAATATTTCATTGAAATTATCATGCTGTTCGTCAAAGCCACTGCTACAAGGTGATGAAACAATAAATATACTTCAAGCAGCAACAGAAAAGAAAGATGAAGGCAAGGAAGGAGAAACATTTTTTCATGTTGTGCAAGCATCTATTCCCCAAGAAATCATTATTGAGATTCTGAGCTGGTTGCCCGTAAAGTCTTTATTGACGCGGAAGTGTGTGTGCAAACAATGGCATGCGTTAATTCAAGATCGTTACTTCATTGAAAAGCACATGAGTCGATCTACCCTGCATATCAGTTATTGTTTATTCAGAATCATTTATTTGCGGGGAAATCACAAGTTGATCCATGGTCGTGATGGCTTATCACTCGAGAGAAACTATCGCACTCAGAACTATTGTATTAGGAATCGAGCCACCTACCAAAGATTGGATCTACCTGACCCATGTGAGGGTAGCCTTAGTTTGACTCTCTCTTATATTCCATCCACTAGTGATTATAAATTGGTTTCTATATCTTTGAATTATGAACGGTGGGAAGTTCGTACTGTTGGGAAGGATAAGTCTTGGAGACCTTTTCTTTCTAATTTGCAAGGTTGCAATATGAAAAGCCAAAGAGCTACGGTGGTTTCGGCAGGTTTGGCTGTTCACTGCATGCGAATTACTGAGGTCTGCTCAAAATCTGCTGCAGAGGTAGTCTCTTTTGATTTGGAGAGTGAGACCTTTACAAGTATTGTGTTGCCACATGAATTGTTTTCAGATTGGAAGAAGGTTCAGGCTTTAGATTGGAATGGGTTCTTATCATTTGCTGAAATTTCACAGGAAAATCTAAATGTCATGGTGTTGGAAGATTACAAGAAGCTGAAATGGGATAAATGAAAAATTGTTCTCCCGCTAGCTTTCATCAAGGACAATTTGGGTTCGGTGGAAGATCTTGTTCTTCTCGTTGCTCGGTCAGGCAATTTGTGGTTTTGGTTGACAATCCAAAAAATAATTTGTTATGATCTCGAAACTATGAAAATCAGGTGGATTTGCGCTGCCAGTATTTGGTATCCTATTTTTCCACCATTCTACTGTATGCCTCCCAGCTTAGTAACACTGAAAGGAATGCAACCAGATCATTGACAATTGTCATCGCTTAGTTAATGACAGGTTGAATATTTTATTGTTGACTTAGCTTCATGTTATCTACTGTTTAATTTCCAATGATTATAAGATTTGAAACTATCATTTTAGTTATTGCTTAGAAATGTTCAGTACTTCTTTTAAGATGAGTACAAAACAATCATTATACAAGCTCTGGTTTGTTGAAAATTTTAAAATTCTGCAAGTTCTTTTTTGCATTGCTATTCATACTGTCAGTTACTTTCTTTTTCTTGCTTGTAAATAGAGATTCTTTGCGGTGTCATACTGTTAGCTGGTGGACATGTTGAATTATTAAGGTGCATGGCTGAACTTCTGGTGCTGTGTTTATTGTTTGGATGAAGACGCTCATGATCTTTGAAGGTGTCCTTGCTTATCAGGAGCATCTTTGATGAACAATATTACGATACCAGTAGCTTGTAGAATCACTCTTTTAATACAGAAGAGAGATGATTGCAATGTTTTGAAGCCATTATGATTCAGCGTTAAGGTTTTTTGTTTTCATGTTACACTAATTAGACGTGGCTACTAGTGCATTTCTTAGAAATCAGGAAAAAAGGATGCCTCTGATTTTCATGCTCCTAAATTCATGCCTGACCTAAGAGAATGCTGTTTGCATGATGATGTATTTTTGTATGTCCTTTTTCTGGTTCAAATTGTGCTTCTTATCAAATAGAATCCAATTAGATTCTTTATGAATATCCTAAATAACACCAGATCAACGAATAATGCCTTAATATCAAACGCCCTTAGGGTTCAGGTTATCAAGTCCAAATCAGTGGTTGGCATGGACCCTATACCTTACAATTTGAGCAACAAAGGAGGTTCTTCTATTTGGAGAGGTAAATGCCAGGTTTGGGGTCAAGTTAAGGCTAATTGGTTTAAAACCAACCTTGACTTTAATAATGTTTAGTTCACAGGTGTACAATTTAACTGTTTAGGTTAAACTGTCAAGGATGTCTGACTCATCAGGAACATCTTCGATGATGAATATAAATGCATAGCTTACAAGAGCAGGTAGGATCACTCTTCTTAGTAGAGAAGAGAGATGCCTTTGCAATTTTATGATTTGGTCTTGAAGATTTTTCTTTCCATGTCAGAGTCAGACTAATGAAATCTGGCCTCCTACTAGCTCATTTCATAGAAATTGAGTAAATGATGCAGACTCATGATTTTCATGTGCCAAGCATGGTATTCTTCCCTGACCGAAGAAATAACTGTTTGTGCTGTGATCTATTATGTCCAGTTCTTTCTTTTTTATTTAGTTTTTGGTTCAGGTTATGTTTCTTGCTGATAGAACATCATCATTCTAATCATCAGTAGTTAACTCATTCAATAATTCAGCCTTTTTTCTTTCTTTTGCAATTACATTGCACTATTTAGCTTGCACATCATTGACTCATAAACAGAAATTGATGCTTATTATTTTTTCCCCTGCTGGATTTCCTTCAAACAATGTCGAAATGAAGTGCTTGGCAACGTACTTTACAGAGCTTGCATAAAAATACACGAAGTTCTCTTAACCAAACATAACAAGATCATCCTTCAGGGTAGATACAGTCAGAGCATAGTCCTTCTCTGCTTCAGGTTCAGGGGTGCTCTTTATCTTTGCTGCATGGTCCAGCTGAAAAAAGATAAAAAAAAATCCCATTAACAGCTGAAAGTGTGATGATCGAAATTCATGTTGTTTTGAATGCTATTGACAGCCTAGAAATAAGAACTCCAAACTTGACATAAGCAAGATGACAGATTCGTTTATTCAGCAACAGCAGAAGAACAATTTGACATTGTTGCAAATAGCAACTTCTGAGAGACAAAGAATACTATAGTCAAAGCCCTGCTTAAAGCAGAGAAAGAAAGAGGAGAGAGAGAATTAAGGAGAAACAGAAGAGCAAAGGAGAAGAGGGGCGGAGCAGCAAAATTGTCTGTGATCTGCAACTCAAAATTGTAGCAACACAATTGAAAAAAGGAGGAAAATGTCCTTACAGACCTGAGGAACTTGGCAGGGATGATATTACTGGAAACCTCAGATGTCTCTGTAGTTTACGACAAGAATCACAGAAGAGTTTCAGCAGCCCATCTCCCCTGTCTCTCATAGGTATGAGTGATTGTCGCAATATGTTGAACTCTCCAGAAATCTTCACCAAGAGACCGCTTTATTTTGTTGATGAATTTTGAAGGCATCTCCCACAGAACCAGGTACTCTATACTTTTAAGGTGTTCGATCCCAACCGGCACTGTTTCTAGTACCTCGCATGCCGTGATGTCTAGTCTGCTTATCCCAGTCATTGCTCCTTTTGCTAATCTGATATACTGCAAATTCTCAAGCTGATGGAGACCAAGCTTCTTAAGCTTCAAATATCCTCCAGCATCACAACATAGTTCTTCCCCAGTGTAAGCTTGTGATGTGGACGCATTCATTGGCAGGAAATACAGCCGTAGAAACAAACTACCAGCAGCAGAGGAGTAGTTAGATTAGGATTCATATGGGCAGTAGCTTAAGTAGCATCAGAAGAGTAGTTAGATTAGGATTCATTCAAAATAAAAATACCAAGAGGCAACCTGTTAACTAAGTCCTCTTGGGTTTGAGTATCTTTAGAATTCGTAGTGTGTTAGGAAACTGTGCTGGCTATAAGTCTTGACAATTGTATTCTTTTTTTCATCTATGCTGCTATATAAAGCAGGAGATTATAATAATAAAGGCATCGAATATTTCAGCTAAAGGACATAGGAGAGTTGGTGGTCTCTAGAACAAACCATCCTCATCTATTTATTCACGATAGGTTCGTCAAGAAAGAATCGTCACGTGAATAAGGGAAAACTAGTTGATTTCCCCGTTACTCGACCCATAACGAGATTCGTAACTCGGGACCATAACAGCTTGGCGGAGATCAAGCTCGACCAAGCTCGGCAAGTGCTGGAGAGCTTTCAGTGGGTCGCTCTGCAAATTCGAATATTGAAGCACTAGCTTGGAAATATATTGGTGAGAGGCAATCCATCCTGGTAAAGTTGACAAACTACATTTGAGGTACAGACGCTGGAGATATTTTGGGGGAGAAGTAAGAGAGTCTAAATGTAAAAAGTCAGTACTATCTACTGAAACAATGTACAATGAACTGAGGTGTTTCAGCTTGTCCAAAGTATAACATAGATCCATTCCATGCTCTTCTCTTAGCTTTAAAATGCCCAACCTTCTCAACTGAGTTAACTTTCCCAACTCCCTGACTAACTCATGGTCATCACTCACTTCGACACATCCCAATTTCTGCAGGCTAGTCAATGCTCCTATTCCAGATGGAACTCTCATTCCATGAGAGTCTGCGAAGAACATTGAAGACTGGAAATTGTATCGATAGTTGCGGAGCTGGCAAAGACATTTCAACTGTAAGATACCAACAGGCAAAGAAGATACAAGACTTTGTTTCAAATCCAGTATTTCTAAGTTCTTGAGCTTCCTTATGGACTCTGGAATCTCCCTTATCATCGTCCTTCTCAAACTCAAGTATCTCAAATGAATCAGTTCGACCAATTCAGGCTGGAATTTGGAAAGAGGTGCACCTTCTAGTTCCAATATTCTTAATAATTTAAAGCTGTGAAAACCATGCTCAGATAAGGTAAAAGAACGATCTGAAACAAATGATAATAGAGACCAAAGATAAGGGAGTCTCATCTCTGATTGTACTTCCTCACAGTTGCCATGGATTGATAAACGTCGAACTTTCTCATTTGAGCTGATGTTCCTTTCATTTGCTATCATGACGAACGATTCCTCCTGAGATTTCAATTGAATGATTTCTCGCATGAGATCATGAACACGACAAGTCCTGACCCTACTGAAATAATCCATCTCCACCACTTGAATCAAACTCCTATTCACAAGTTGATTAAGGTACTCCTCTGCTACTTCTTCCAAGGTAATGCCTTGTTTCTCTTCTACGAACCTTTCAACCATCCATAGCCGGATCAACTTCATTCTTCTGATCAAGTAATCCTCTGGGAAAACACTTAAATACAGAAAACATTGTTTGAGGTAGTATGGGAGATCATCATAACTCAGTAGAAGTATTCTCGTTAGGCTCCCAAGGTTGCTGTCGCCGTTCAGTTCTGTAGCTAGTCTGTCATGGACTTTCTTCCATTCCAAACCTGTTTTTTTCTTCTTTTGACAGAAGGCCTCCTATTGCTACAATTGCGAGTGGCAGTCCCTCGCACTTCTTCAAGATACTTTGAGACATCTCTTCCAGTTCTGGAGGGGATACAGCCTTATGTTCCCCCTAAAGGCTTTCATACAGAAGAGGGTCCAAGCTTCTTTCTCTGGTAGAGGTTGGAGTTGATAAACATGACTGGTATTCTCTATAGATTCAGCCAGGGTGCTTCAACGTGTAGTGAAGATAACTCTGCTGCTACAATTACAATCTGGGAATGCATATTTTATTGTTTCCCAAGCATTTACGCTCCATACATCATCGAAAACAACGATATACCTCCTCTGCTGTAGATGTTTTCTTAGGGCACCAATCAATTGGAAGTCGGTCATTGATTCCAGATGCTCTGGAGCTGGTTCTTTAGTTGCCTCTAGGAAGCCTTGCAGCGCAACTCTTAGAAGCTCTGTGGGTGCAAATGACTTGGAAACAGTTACCCAGGAATGGCAATCAAAGCATCTTCTGATGGGTAGGCTATCGAAAACTTTCTTGACAAGGGTTGTTTTACCCAGTCCACCCATCCCAACCACTGAGATACTGGTGAGCCTTTCTTCTCCTTCTACTAGCCATGAAACCAGCAGATGTTTAGGGTTTTCAATTCCCACAACATCAGCTTCATCTATGTAAAGAGAAGCTAACCGAGGATCATGCCATTTCTCTACAGTAGTGCTGGAGGACGTAGCCATGTCTGCCCTATTCAAAGAAAATGCATTTCTTCTCTCCGCAATGGCTGTTACCCTTGCCTTAATGTTCTGTAACTGGACCGCCACCCGATGTTGAGCACGTAATTTACGGATGTATCGATACGAACTGCGAAGAGAATGGATAAAACCACTCCCTTGAAGTGGTGCTGAGCGGAGCATAAAATCTTCAAGAATGTCCTCAGCATCATAAGCCACATTTCTCACTTGTTTCACCCAAGCTTTCAGTCCTTGATCACTCTCACTTCTTGCTTCTGCATCCTGAAGGAAAGATTTCATGCTATATAAATCATCCCTTAGTTCGTCGATTCCTCCCCTAACTCCTCCTAACAACCGAGTTTCTTCTGCTGCAAAGGAAGCCAGTTTCTCCAGCACTATCTGCACTGCTATCATGGCCATGGCTTCTTGCTCCAAGAATCACCAATCCTTCTCCTTTCTCTAGCCAAAAACTTGATGAAATTTTCTCCTTGAAAAAAATTAAAACACCCTTGAATTAATTTCAAGTTTAACAATTTCTTACCAGCTACTCCATTGTGCAAGAAGTCAAAGTCATCAAAGTCTGTGCCCGTGAGATTCCAGTTTTATTTATCTATTTTTTGATTAGTTTAATTAATAACCCTCCTTCCATTGACCTAAGAACTCATCTAAGAATACCACTTCTACTTAATTGTATTATATTATATTAATGCTTTCTTTCTTGTGATAGGCAGACCAAATGCTGACCTCCACATGTTTGTAATCTTGAGAAAATAATGTTGAAGTCAAAGTGCAAACTCATTTTCTATGGGGAGGAAGCTACCAGGAACACCATATTCCTACTTGTAAATGGTTCAGTCAATATATTTAGGTAGTCCCCCACATGTGTCTTTGGCAAATCTTACATAGATAATTGGTGATACGGTAGAAGAAATTCTTGCGTTTTGCACAACTGTTGCCAAGTGAACTGCAATTCATTTGCGGTTAGAAGCCATTTTTGGAATTACAAGATGGTTATAGAGGAGACATGAGCAAGTCATTCCTGATCATTAACATTAAAGACGCATGTCTAGCTGTTTGCAATGGATTCAAGGAATGGTTAGGGCAACTTAGGAAGTTCGGATTATAGTTTTATATAACAGTCGTTTTGTAACAGTTTCAGAGCATGCTATTATCATTATTTTAATATTATAGTAAGCTACGATCCGCGATGACTGAGATCTTTTTTTCAACAGTTCCATGATTTAAAACTATGGTTAGGATAGTTTGGGAGTGGAACAATAGAGTCTTAGGAACAGATTGGAGACTTGTCCTAAAAGAGAAGGACAAGTTCAGATAATTCCCTCATTTATCTTGTAGTCACAGTCCTGCTACTCTCTGCTAGGCCCTAGCCTGGTAGCTCTGAAAGGATGCAACCAGATCTCTCAAATTCACCATCCTTTTATCATAGGTATATGGATTGTCAACTTTAGCTTGATCCTTTCTTTAGTCTACTTTCTCGGAGAATTATTAGGGTTAGTATGAGCAGTTTACTTGATGTATTACTTGGAAGTGCTAGATAAAACGGGTAAGAAACGATTATCCTAGATGATCTGGTATTGATGATTTTGGCTTTCATGCCCCCATTATTTTCGTGCTCCGAACGTGGTGTTCGTGCCTGACAAAGAAATAGCTGTTTCTTCCAGTGATCTGTTGTTCACAGGTTTTCTTCTGATGCTTCGCCATTAGTTACATTGCTTACTGGTTTGTTTTATAACAAACATAGAAGGTTTAGATTGGCCTTTTTTTTTTTTTTCCTGTCAATCCAATCCTCTATTTAGCATGCTCACGATTGCCTCATAAACAGAAAAATAAGGCATTGATTATTCTTTTTCACAACTAGATTTCATTGAAAGAACATCCAAATGAACTGCCTCACAAAGTAATTCACAAAAGCTTACATCAAAATACATGAATTTCTCTTAACCAAGCTTAGAAAGAACTTCATTCAGACTAGATACAGTCTGAGCATAGTACTTCTCTGCTTCAGGAGTGCTTTTAATCTTTGCTGCATGGTCCAGCTGAAAAAGCAAAGAAAAAAATGAAGAAGAAGAAGAAGCCAACTCCATTAACAACTGAAAGTGTTTGATCAAAACTAAGAAATCCAATCAAAATAGTCTATTGCTTACATTTTCGATGGTATCAAAGAGCTTTCCACTAAGTTCCTTGAGGGATTTTTTCTCATCTTTGGGCTTAGCGGAGATAATGGTGTTGAGGTCAAAACGAAGATACCCAGCCCTAAGCCGAAGATCATTTTGGACATCAGCCCAAGACTTCTTGTCTATCAAAGATTTCACGCCAACAATTTCCTTAGCTGATTCCTTTGCCCTTGCTGCAGCCTCATTTGGGGGAAGTGGCTGTAAGAAAAACCTGTTCTTCAGTGGCAGATCTAGGTCTCTTGCTTCATCAGAGTTCAATGTCCCAGCTGCCATAACACAAAATCACCATAGTTGAAAACAATATCATATACCAATTGTTAGAAACCCTTGATTTTGCGAGATGTGGGGTGTCTGTCCATCGTCATTGGGTTACTCTTATTTTCACTTTCTTTTACTTACAACATTTTACCAAAAATGTTGAACTTCTCCAAAATAAGCTAATTTCGGAATCGGAACTCGATTTCTACTATGAAGTAGGAAAGAGTAGCGATAGACTCAAAAGCCATTGACAAACATTAAGATTGAAACATTTTATACAAATAGCAACATAACACAGGAGGATTAATTCAAGAACTTACGGAGTCCACCAGAGGGAGGGGGAGGAGGGCCAACTTTGATAGGAAGAGCTTCAGCAAGAACAACTTGAACAAAAGAAGCAGAAGCCAAACCAGTAGCAACAAGACCCAACATGGCCCTACGGCTAGTTTCAGGCTCACCGGACGCTTGTTGTTGGGCTCTAACAGTAAGACCAGGGCGTGGCACAGCCACACGAGTGGTGTTACTGGGCACATTCAACAACCTGTTTGAACCACCGAGCTGGAGGCTACCTTCCAGGACAGCCTGAGATGTTCCACGCAGGCCAGCCATTGATGCCATTGCTTGTGCCATGTATGAATTTTTCTCTATCTAGCTGGTGTGCTCAATCGTGTGGTTCACTAAATATATTTTTCTGGGATTGGTTTTTCTTGTCAGTTTTTGTGATGTAGATCGGTTCTTGAGCTAGCATATCTTATCTGCCAAATTTCAACTTGGATAAGCTGTACGATTTGAACCAATCAATATTGTACACGTGTAACTTGGTTTTGTAGTTTGCCATGTTGGTTTGGTCTCTACTTTGGGCTAATAGAATAATGCCAAGTGGATTCTAAAAAGATGTGGATTCTAATGTTAAAATTCTTCCATCAATATGTTCCTTTCTAGAATAATTTAACACTAATAAATTTGACAAACTTAAAAGAATTTTTTTTCCTAATACTTGAATTTTCATATCTCGTTTCAATTCAAATCATACAGCTTAAATTTTAAATTTGTCTCTAAATTTAAAAACATCTCTAATATATTTCTTTTATCTTAATTAATTTCTAATATATAATTATAGTCAAAATTTTCGATCAATTAATTAGAAATCAATCTTTATGTTAATAGATATAGATCACTCGTGTAAAAAAATAATAATAATTTTGTCAAATCATATTTCATGTATAAATCATCATAAATTAATGTTTATATTAATAACTATAGATTACTTATGTTGAAAAATAAAAATAATTTTATTAAATCACATGCTTAATTTGTTCGAAGATTTTGATTAAAATAATAAATTAGAAACTAACTTAAATAATAGAAACATATGAAAAATATTTTTGGATTTAAAAACAGATTGAAAATTAGGCATATTATTCAAGGATAAGCGAGATTGTTAACTTGACACCGTTTGACTTCAAGGTCTCCGACCTTGTCCCGCCGTTCGAGTTGGCTCGGACCAGACCCTCCGTCGATTGAGTTGGGCTGGTCTCGGCATACATTTGGTGTACTATGGGATATGGCTTAGTGATTTTTTTAAATAATAGTAACATAATAGAAACGTTTTTGGATTTAAAGAGAGATTGAAAATTAGACATATTATACAAGGATAAGCAAGAGAATTAACTTGGCACCGTTTGACTTCTAGGTCTCCAACCTTGTCCCGCCTTTCGAGTCGGCTCGGACCAGACCCTCCGTCAGTTGCGTTGGGCTGGTCCCGGCATACATTTGGTGTACCATAGGATACGGCTGAGTGATATATATATATTTTTTTGAACTGGGCCTTGACTACTTGGTTAAAATTTTGAATTTCTCTAACCCAGTTGGGCCCAAAAAAGTTACAACGTACACTTTTCATCCCTGAAGGGCAAATCAGTAAACAAATATATGGAGCGCCACAGCTCCCATTTTTGAAATCAAAGATTCATTTCAAATTTCACTCTCCGCCCAAAACCCCCAACGTTCTCTGTCTCTCTCGCACGCACAGATCTCCACTTTCTCTCTCTTGTTCATCAAACGCAACGGTCTGAATCCAATCTTACCTTCTTCCAGTACAGCATAAGTGAAAACCAACCGCTCAGATTGATTCTGCGTTTGGTTCGAGAGAAAATTTTCAGGGTTTGGTAGATTTTAATGGCTTCCAGGAACCAGAATCGGCCTCCTCGAAGCCCTTCTTCTGTAAGTAATTTTAGTTCCTTTCTTGTTCATGATTGTTCCTGTTGTTTTTGCTGTTTTTGTTTTTATTGTTGCTGTTGTTTTTCCTTTTGTATGTTTTGAAAGGGTTGGTTGGTTTCTGAGTAAATGAAAAAAAGGTTTGGATCTAGAAATATTTAAAGAAAATTTGTTGGTTTTAGATTTTCCCAAGTAAAATGTTGATGGGGTTTTCTGTGTTTTGTGTTTAATGCCTTTTCTAATTGTGTGAACTGATTTTATCTTATTTTGTTTCTCTTAACTAGTTTTTCATTATTTGATACGTGGGTTTCAAATTTGGGTCTATGTTGTATTAGTTGGTCTGATTTCTGTTTAATTTGATTTAAATAGTACTAAATTTCAGTTTAGTCTGTAATTTTCCCTTCTGGGTTTCAAATTTTGGGCCTCTGTTATATTAATTAGTCTAATTTGATTTAAATAGTAGTGAATTTCAGTTTAGTCTGTAATTTTCCCTTCTGGTTTTCAAATTTGGCTCTGTTAGTGTTAAAACTTATGAAAGTTATTGGATAATTAGAAGTTTGTTTTACTGCTGATTTGTGGTTTGTTTTGTGCTGATTAATTGTTCATTATTTGGATGTAATTGTATTCTTTAGGGTTTAATTGAAAATTTATTGGTCTTGTTTCTTTAATTAGTCGGAACTTTGGTATGATGTTCTAATATTTTATTTATTTATTTATTTATTTTTTAGAAGAAGGAAGGGGTGGAAGGTATCCCATTAGACAAGCGAAGGAGGATTGGGATGGGAAGAACTGGAGGAGCAACAAATGCAGACCGCAAGCCATTTGGTTCTGTTAACAGGAAGCAGGATGTTGTTGCCACTAGTGATGCAGTCAGCAGTGCTGAAGGTTCGGACTCTGGCAATTTTGAGTTTACTAAAGAAGAAGTTGATGCACTGGTGAATGAGAGATTGAAGATGAAGAAATTTGATCACAAGGTTTTATTTGGTTGTCGCTGTTTTTTGGTGACTTTGGTTTAGTGAAGGATATTGTTTGTTGGGTTGGTTTTGTTTCTTGAAAAGTTTGGTATTATTGCTTTGTTTTGGCAGGGTAATTTGGAACTAGTGGCTGAACTTAATGCTAGGCTCAAGATTTGTATCAAATGGTTCCAGAAGAGAGATGAAGGCCATGTGGAAGAGGAAGGAAAGCTTCAGAATGCTTTAGATGCTTTGGAGAAAAAGTGTGCTGAAACTGGTACTTTTGGTTCTTTCAATGTCTCTTTCCAGCACTGCATGATCTTATGTTTGTTGACAAGTGATTGATCTCTTGCTCACACGCACATACATTGACTGAGTTGATATAGGATTCACAGGTCAGTGCCATTCTGTATAATAAATTGGTAATCAAGAACCAGCAAATGTAGTTCCCTACATCCATCATGTGTTTTCATGAATTCCATATGAGGTTTATTGAACTATTAATTTAACTCTAGGGGTCTTGTTTATTTGGAATTTCTTGGCTGAGCACATGATTTCCACTGGGAATTGATATTCCCTTTGTTCTTTTGTAAAATAAGATTTCTAGTGATTGTTAACTAATTTTTCAAAGATTGTTAACTAATTTTTCAAAGATCAACCAGTAATTTATGTGTAATAGATTGCATTCAAACTGGCCCTACCATTTTGATGCACAGACTACCATATAATGGTCTCCCTTTGGTTGGGTATTTTATTTATTATTTGACTAGGATGTACTAACTCAAGTAGAAAAAACAGATTTTTAATGTTGATTCATTTGTGTTCTTCCAGAGTCAGATATGAGAAACAAGGAGGAGAGATTTAGTGTAACTATTAGTGAGCTGAGGCAAGATAATGCTTGTTTACAAGAGAGACTTGCAAAAGAAGAATCGGAAAAGCTGGTAAATTTCAATTTGTTACTTTCTGCTGTGATATTTTTCTTTCTGTTTCTTGTTCCTTTTCCTGTTTATTTTATTTTATTTTATTATTATTATTATTTTTTTGATTTTGGGGTTTGGCAACTAGGATGCAATTGCTTGTCATAGAAAGGAAAAGGAAGCAAGAATTGCACTAGAAGCTTTGCAGGCTTCTCTATCAAAAGATCTTGAGAAAGCCCAACAAGATATTTTAGCTGCCAATCAAAGGGTAATTCTTGCATCTTTATTTATATGTTTTCCCTCTATGTTTTTTAAATCCTACTGTTGCTTCACTTAATAATTGATAACTTTGCTGAAATTTGCAGGCTGCCTCGGTTGATGATATGTACAAGCGATTGCAAGAGTACAACTTGAGTTTACAACAGTACAATAGCAAGCTGCATGCTGAACTTGAAGTTGCTCGTGAGTCTCTGAAGCGTGTAGAAAAGGAGAAGTCTACTATAGTGGAGAACCACAGTACATTAAGGGGTCACTACAGTTCATTGCAGGATCAACTAAATTTAGCCAGGGTATGTTTCTTTCAACCGGCATCAATTTAACTGCTTTCAAGTGTTCTTGGTTTATAATTGCTCTCTTCACATCGTATTTTTCTAGACTGCTCAAGATGAAGCTTTGAATCAGAAAGACACATTAGCAAATGAAGTGAAATGTCTCCGAGGGGAGCTGCAGCAGGTTAGAGAGGATCGCGACCGCCAAGTAGCTCAAGTGCAGGTTTTAACTTCTGATGTGGTGAAGTATAAAGAAAGTACCGGCGAATCCTGTGCAAAACTAGAACATCTGATGGAAAAAACAAAATCCTTGGAGGTATGAACAAACGTTCGTACCCCTTTCTTACAGAAGCCTAGTATTCATTGGTTAGCAAATTCTGAGATTAATGTTTTGTTGCAGGAGACATGTTCTTCTCAGAGGGAGCAGATACGCCTATTGGAACACCAGCTCACTGCTGCAAATGAAAAGCTAAAGGTAATGAAGTTGGTTTTCTTGTGCATTAAGGATGTTTTTTTTTAAGGAAATCTAACAATATCCTTGTTTCTTCGTTTTAGATGTCTGATTTATCTGCTATAGAAACAAGGACAGAATTTGAAGAGAAAAAAGAACCATACGTGAATTACAGGAGCGCCTAGCAGAGACAGAATATCAACTAGTTGAAGGAGAGAAATTGAGGAAAAAATTGCATAATACAATCTTGGTAAGTGGTTCTTATGTGCTAAATTATATGTAAGCTTTGGATGATGGTACTAACAAGTCTTGTATTGCAGGAGCTAAAGGGGAATATTCGAGTATTTTGCAGAGTGCGACCTGTGTTGCCAGATGATGGTGTTGGGTCCGAGCCGCCTGTCATTGCGTATCCTACCTCAACAGAAGCTCTTGGCAGAGGCATCGATGTAATACAAAGTGGTATACACATGTTTCTTAACAAAACTACACCTAATAATATTTAATTCATAATTGCATTACAATATTTTTGTTCTCTTTATTCTGTGCTTTCCTTATGATTTTTTTTTTTAAAAAAAAATTGTGGCCTTTGTTCTCAGCTGGACAGAAATATCCTTTTACCTTTGACAAGGTGTTCAATCATGATGCTTCTCAGCAAGAAGTTTTTGTGGAAATATCACAGCTTGTGCAGAGTGCCCTTGATGGCTATAAGGTGATTCTACTGCAACTTTCTCTTGTGCATTGGGATATTCAAAAAATATATTTAAAAATTTCAGCCTTGGTGAATTGAAAAGATGAACAGAATTCAGTTGTAATCATGCAGAGTGAAGTGGTCTCTTGGCCATTATTCTTGAAAGAACCTGTAGAGGAATGCAATTGTACTTGGGAAAGACGTTTTTAGGTTATCATGTTGATTACAAAAACATTTATTTTAACTATTAATCTCAATCGGCTCTCCCAATGATTTCTTGGCTTATAAGTTTAGAACAAGTATTGAAGTGAATTTTTTTAAGTTGAAATTAGTCTACCATTTTATGCTGAATGATTTTGTTCGTATGATAGATATATTTAGCTTTAGCCATGGTTAAGACATGCACTAATCAAACTGCTTTTTGGCGGCAGGTATGCATCTTTGCTTATGGTCAAACAGGTTCGGGCAAAACTTATACTATGATGGGCAGGCCAGAAGCTCCAGAGCAGAAGGGGCTGATACCACGCTCTTTAGAACAGATATTTCAAATTAGTCAGTCCCTTATGGCACAGGGTTGGAAGTACAAAATGCAGGTATGCATCTAAAGTTACTGTTCAATTTCTAACATTGACTTCCTAATCTAACAACTGTTATTTATTTATTTATTTTTGGTGGGGATTAAATTTGCAGGCTTCAATGCTGGAAATATACAATGAAACCATTCGTGATTTGTTGTCAACAAATAAATCGAGTGGTACAGAAAATGGAGCTCCTGGAAAGCAGTATACCATCAAACACGATGCAAATGGAAACACCCATGTCACTGATCTTACAATTGTAGATGTTTGTAGAATAGAAGAGATTTCCTCTCTACTTCGGCAAGCTGCACAAAGCAGGTAGATAGAGTAATTACTTCGATACCTAAGATGAAATTGTCTTGTCATGCAAATCTGTAGAGTTGCATTTGTGTTATGATCTATTGCATCCTTTCTGGCGTAACAAATTTTGTAAGGAAATGCTAGTGCTTGTTGCATCATATTTAATACTATAATGTACATGAGTATGAAAAGTTCTGTTGCATCATATTTAATACTATAATGTACACGAGTGTGAAAAGTTTTGTTTGCCTGTTTGTTTTTCTAGGTCCGTTGGCAAGACCCAAATGAATGAACAGTCTTCAAGAAGCCATTTTGTGTTCACATTGCGTATATCAGGAGTAAATGAGGTGCTTATTTTTCTAATGTTGTATTCGTGAATGTGCTTAAATTTTCCTTTCTTAATGACTTATGTGCTACTTTTCTTTCTTATGTTGCTAGGGTACTGAACAACAAGTTCAAGGAGTTCTAAACCTCATAGATCTTGCTGGAAGTGAGCGACTCTCGAGGAGTGGGGCTACTGGAGACAGGTTAAAGGAAACTCAGGTATGCTCTATAATAATTCAGTAGTGCAAACTATCTATGTTTCTTCTTGATGTCATTAAGCTAACTTGTTCTACATGATCAGGCCATTAATAGAAGCTTGTCAAGTTTGAGTGATGTGATATTTGCTCTGGCGAAGAAAGAGGACCATATTCCTTTCAGGAACTCAAAATTGACTTATCTTCTGCAGGTAACATGACTTCTTAAGATCCCCTTCCAAACTCTTACCATCTTTTACTTAAACCAAAATACTTATTCCTGTGAGTAGGAAAGTCTGTGTGTACAACTGTGCATGTTTTATCCTTCCAAACTCTGCATATTTTACTTGCACCAAAAAATGTATATAGCCTATTTCATAGCTGATGCTTCTAGTTATATTTTTTACTTGAACCAAAAAATATATATAGCCTATTTCATAGTTGATACTTCTAGTTATAGTAGTTTCTATGATTGGATTTACCTGAACTTAAAGTCTTATTTTTTATTTTATTACAGCCTTGTCTAGGAGGGGATTCCAAAACCCTGATGTTTGTCAATATTTCCCCGGATCCTGCTTCGGTTGGCGAATCTCTATGTTCCCTTCGGTTTGCTGCCAGAGTTAATGCTTGTGAAATTGGGATTCCTCGACGTCAAATGATAGCTCAAATGCCAGCTCGACCAGCAGATTCGCGCTTGAGTTATGGCTAATTCTCAATCGCTTCTGTTGTGTCTATCCCCCAGATTGATTTGTAACAGAGTAACTTACTTCTATTTGTAATGAGGGTCATTGTTGTGCCATTGGGGTGTTTGCAATGAGTTCGGGTACTTGTGTGCCTGAGCTAATAATTTGTGTTCTTAGAATTACATGTTGAGGTTAGGATCTTCATTTTAGCTCCTTGCTATACAGGAGTCATCAATTTGCTGGCTTACTGATGCGACCCTCGGATGTCAGAAATCATCAATTGTTGACCACAGGTACAAAGGAGGCTATACTATCTAACTATTCTGATGCTAAAATATGAGTTATGTATATCACATTCACAGCCTATCTTTGTAAGATATTGTACTATTAGTGCTTTGATTCACTTAGAATTGAATTTCTCCTATAACTTTTCCCTTTGACTGTTTGAAGAGTTCTTGCCTCCTTGGTGACGATCAATTTTGATTTTCTACTGGTTTTGCATGGATGAAAGAGACTTCAGAATTACCTTTTATTTTGCCAGAATATCTGATAGATGTTAGGGCGTTGTGACTCTGGTTTGAGGTTCCCCAAGTTCTTGGTGTTGGATCTTGTAGTTGGGCCTCGTATGGATCTCTTGTTGGTTCAAGGCCTTCTCCCAGAAGATCCTGGCCCAACCTAGAAAAATGTGGACCCTCTTCAAGTTGGCATTTTGCCCTTGATAAGACAATAAGGATAAAAAGAGGATACCAGAAATTAAAGAACAAAAAATTGACAAAGAGAGAAAAGTGGGTCCAAGTGTGCCCTTCATGTTTGTTGTACGAAAATTATGCATCAACATTAGGAAGACCGATGCGTTTGAATGCCTTTGTCCGGTTGAAAGACACGTGGCAACATAAATTTATAGGGCCTAGATAGATTGTATTATTATGAATTCTACTACACACAAGTCTGATCTCCAACTTTAATTACATTTTTGCCGCAGCATACATTATTACCAGCAACCGACAGAATAATTCCTGCCATTGCATCAATTAAAAACACAATGAATTCATAAACATTAAAATTGGATAATTTTTTTTTGCCAAAACTAAGAGATATAAGAACTTAAAAATTTTAGATCTAAAAAGCAAAAAATTAATTTTTTGTCTAAAAGTTATTTTAGGAATGATTTTTAGGAATGATTTTTGAAGTTTGATATTAGCTTAGGAGATTTTGGAAATTACATAGGCGTGTTTTTTTTTTTTTTTGGTAGGAAAAAAAGAATATAAATTTTTCGTGATGGCTGGTTAAATTTGTTGGAATATGACGAAAATTCCGAATTTTAGTTGATTTGACAGAATCCGGCAAGTAATGGACAACATGCAGTTTGGTCCTTGTATGTCTAGGTCCTCTATTTTTACATATTGTGCAATTTGCTTGTCAAACTTTCAATTACTTCTTACAACCCTCTAATCCAATTTTTTTTTTCGATCTCAAAGTAAAATTCACTGATGTGTGTGGATCATGTTTATGGTTGTTGTCGTTGTTGTTGTGTTTTTTTTTTAATGATATAGGTTGTTTTGAAATGATTTTTATGAATTTAGGGTAATTGATTAAGAAGATTGGGGTCTACTTTCTTCATCAAAATTAATAATCGATTTGAACAACATAGATAATAATAGCTACCATAGCTTATAAGATAGATTTTAAAACCAAATTCGACAATCGAAAAGGTGGTAGTGATACTTTATAATCATATGAAAATATAATTTTATGAAAATCTATAATAAAACCCTTGCCTAAATTTTAAAATGTCAAAATAAAAATTAAACGAGTGTTAAAAAAATCATGTATACTAACTTACATAATAGCCGAAATTAAAATCATTAGACAAACTTATTTTTAGAAAAACAAAGAGAAGTGTTTTAAAAAATAAAAAATGAGATAGAAAACAGTTACATATTTTGCAATTTTTGTGACCTATTTTGCAATTTTTTCCTTTAATCAATAGTTTTTCAATACAAAAAAAAAAGTATTTTTTTTTAATATCATAGCATTGAATTACACTAAAAATACTTATATTTTGTATATTTACTCAAGGCTAGATGATGAAGCTTTGTAATTTTTAACTTCAAACATTCTAATTTTTATATGTCTTGACTCTTGTAAGTTACGATAATCGGTTGGAATGTCCGAGACTAAAAATCAAAAAGTCTTCACCGACTCTCTCTCTCTCTCTCTCTATATATATATATATGTGTGTGTGTGTGTGTGTTTCTTTAGTATAATAAAAAATTTGGATACTTGGATAAACTATTTTTTGTTGAAAGACGAGTTGACTAAAAGAAAAAAACTATAAAATTAATAACCTTATTCTATTTCATGTTTTCATTTAAAAAAAAAATTTGCTTATTTTTTTGCCCATATCTATCTCATACATACATAAAATAGATCATATATTTCATCCTATCATTTCCATCAAATCATTATTATAAATTTATTAATTAAAATAAACTATAATTTAGGTCTTAATTTGTATCATTTGACATGAATTTGAAATCAATAGTCAAGGCTAATAATAATTCAAAGAAACTGTGATTTAAATTCCAAAATAATTGGTCATTATTAAGTTTTAGAACAAATAATATATTTTTTTCAAAATTAATCTATGAACTATAACCGAACAAATGAAACAAAGAGTATGTCTTTTATCAATTCCCTAAGTATAAAATAATTGTTCTTGATTAATTTTTAAAATACTAACATAAAATTAAACTAGGGTCAAAAAACAAAATCATATACATATATACGAAATACACTAGCTTATAAAAAAAACTAAAATTTAAGATTAAAACGATGAAACAAAGTTATTTTCAAAAGTAAACTATAAATAGAATTAAAATATGAAATAACTTGAAAATGATATTATAAAATTATAAAAACAGAGAAATTATTTTAAAATAAAAATATTTAAGATATATCAAAAAGTTAATCGAAAATCAAATCAAAATCATATCCGAATCATATAAAACCCACATAGTTATTATATATCGGATATGATCAAAACTACTCCTAATTCATACCTGAACAACGACCAAAACTTCATAATCCTTTCTAATCAACCTATATCACAAAAAATAAACATAAAATTGATACAAGTAACAATTAATTTTACTTTGGGAATGTAAAAGTCTAGATAAGTAGGTTATTTTGGAAGTAATTGAAAGTTTGCGAAATAAAACGAACATTATGTAAAACTAATGAAGTTTGGAAGTTTAGGAACCAAATTGCATCTTGTTGTCACGTCCAATAATTCATATTTTTTGATTTGTTTCTTGAAAAAAACACATTCTCACACTCTAAAAAACCTACTAAGCTCAAATCAAACTTTAAAAATCATTTCTAAACAACAGTTTTACATTAAAATTGAATTTCATACTTTTGAAATATAAAATATTCAAATCCAAACATCTTCTAATTTTAGCAATAAATTATCTAATTTTGATATTTATAAATTCATTGTGACCTTATTTTGATGTTAATAAATTCGTTGTGACGAGGTCTTTTGTTTAATCGAATTTTTAATTGATGTAATGGCTGGATTTTTACCTTCCGTCGCCGGTAAAAATAGTTGCTGGCGTCATTCTCGTTTTTTGGAAGTAAGGGCTAAAAAGTAATTGGAGTTGGAGAGCATATTTGTATGTGGTATGCAGCACATGAAAACATAGACCCTTTCAATTATTTTTCCACGTGTCGTCCAAATAGGGGCAAAGGCATTCAAAGGCATCGATCACGGCAACGTAACGCACGCATTCTAGAAAACGCTTGTCGTCATCTGGTTGTACAAGGAAACAAGAAGTAGCCGCGTCCGGATTCTTACACAGGATTAAGAAGTAGAAGGTGAGAAGTTGAAGAAGAGAAATACCAAGGAGAAAAGGAAAGTAGGAGACATGGAGAACCAAGAACAGCAACCTAAGTCAAGAGTTGTAAAGGTGGAGTCAAGGGAGTCATGGGACTTCTATGTCACCCAAGGCACCAATCAAGGCTGCCCTGTAAGTTTTTTTCTGTATCTTTTCGTTTATAGCAAAGAATTCTAAAGTGACAAATCTTAAAAGTTGCTTCAAAATTTTTTCTAGCTGATTTTGTGCTTGAGGAATAAAAATATGCCTTTCCTAGACATTGATTGACAACCATTGAGAGGTCAACCATTGAGAGGTTTTTATAACATCAATGATGAGTGGGAGAGGTTGTAATAAAAAGGGTCTCTTTAGTGTGGATTCTCTTGCTTGCTGATGTTGGGGCCGTGGTGTTGTAGATTGTTGTTCACTTCACTGCATCTTGGTGTATGCCATCAGTGGCTATGAACCCAATTTTTGAAGAACTGGCCTCAGCTTATCCAGATGTCCTGTTTCTTACTGTTGATGTGGATGAGGTTAAGGTAATCGATTCGTTGTCTGAATCAACCATGGTACTAAATTTCTATGCATACACGCTTACTTTTTTCGCTTATGATACAACAGGTTCTGATTTCTGAATGAGTATGCTCATCAATTGAATGCTAAATAGCTTCGATGATGACTGCATAGCTGAAAGGAATATTTAACATGAATGTTTTGAATTACTAGTCTTTTTTTTTTTTTTTGTTATTTTAATTCAAAATATCGGAATTAATTGATCATAAAACTTTCACTGAACTAAAAAGTCGTTTTCTTTACACTGATTCTATTTCTTAGACTTCATATATATATATATATATTCTGGAGATATTCTGGAGATATTTGCTAGTGATATCTTTACAAAGTTATGACTTAAAATACTTGCTGATTTGATTCCTTTACATGAGGTTGAGAATAAGCATCATTTGTTTTTTCATAACTGCTTTATTCTTATTTTGATTGACTTGAAAGTTTATCACTAGATTAATCACTAGGGAACATGAGCCGCTTCCCCACTGTCTTGTTACAAAATTACAAATTCCCACTGTCATGTAGCCACAAAAACCTTGAATGGACTCCTTGACTGATCTGAACCATTCCAAGTTTCTAACTGTATCATCATCTTTGTCAAAGGTCAGGATAATTGAGTATTCTTATTTCTTAATAGCTAAGCAAAGAGGTTAGGAAGCTATTTACGCCAAGTAAAACTCATGCCATATAACCTCTAGCTGAGAATATGATGGTAACATCAAGGCATCGTTATGATAACTTCTCGGCTGAGCAATGAACTTCTGGTTCTGACGTGGGGTGTTCAAGTTTCCACTTTTGTTGAATTAATTATGGGCAGGATAAACACCAAGAATTTCAAATGGACAGAATTGTTTTGTTTTATCTAATGTGTCTAATTGGCAAGATTATTAAAGCATCTGGGCCTTATTTTGACAGTTCTACCAATCAAGATAGTCATCTTGTTATAGAAAACAACAATTTAACGACCTTCTTTTGATAGATTGTCACAATCACCTTGATAAAGAGAGGGCCTGTGAATTGATGTTCGATATTTTTCTGTTAAAATGTAATGTTATCATCACGGGATTTCAATACATTTTTGTATGTTGGTTTGGTTAGGAGGTAGCTACTAAAATGCAGGTGAAGGCCATGCCGACATTTTTGCTGATGAGGGATGGTGCTCAAGTTGACAAGATAGTGGGTGCCAATCCAGAAGAGATAAGGAAAAGGATCGATAATTTCGTTCAGTCCTTTCGTGAATATATTGCATAGTCTATGTGATCTTTAAACAGACTTGTGAACCTGTAAAATGTGTGGTTTGTTGTGGTCCAGTTTTAACTTTTAAGTGACTATGGCTTGCAAGTGTGATTACCATCTTTTCTCATGTAATTGAAAAAAAGTTTTTTCCTTTTTGGTTTACTTCCTACCTACCTTATTTGTTAAAGTTTATTTAGATTTCTTGCTTTAGAAAAGCAAAGAGATTAAACTTCTCAAAATTAATATATATATATATATATGAAAACCGTTTAATGGTCGTTTTTGTAGTGTCATGTAATGCAATTGATTTGATCCACAAATCAGATTCGTATAATAATTTCTCCTTGTATCTAACATTTTGATTATCTTAAAAATGTTTGATATGCCACACACGATGATTTTTAAGTACTTAGATAATAATTTAATTTTTAAATTGGATTTCCAAATTAGCTTTTTTAGGTGGTGTAAATTTGTTAGGCGGGATTGAGGGTAGCCTTTTCGCTCATATTATAAAAAAAATGTGATCCAGCGATGAAGGAGTTGTTGTCGAGGTTTGATTTTTATTATTTACGGATAACTAGTTATAATTATTCTTCAGTGGTATCGGGTTTGAGTTCGTTTAGTCTAAGACTAGGAGAGAGTTTAGTGGTTAACTAAAAGCTAAGCGTGTTCTAGTACTAGTTTAGTTCAAAAAATGATGAATTTGGATGGTGTTTGATAAAACTGAAAATTAAGTGCTGAATGTATTAAATAATGAATTTTAAGTGTTGAATAATTAAGTATTAAATATATCGTTGACAAGTTGTTTGATATTTACTGAAAATTAAGTATTAAATATAATAATGTTGTTTAATAAGTATTATTGCTGAACATATTAAGAGTATATATAATTTTACAATTGTAACATGATTTTTTTTAACACATACATATATATATATATGTGTGTGTGTGTGTGTGTGTGTGTTTGGGTATATAAATAAATAAATAAAAATTCAATACAAAAAGATTATTAATAAAAAATTAAAGAAAAACAGGAAAGGCAGTCAAGGATCCAAACGAGCCTAAGAGGCCTGGCAGTGCATTCTTCTTTGTCTTCATGGAGGAGTATAGAGAGCAGTACGAGAACGAGAACCCTAAAAACAAATCAGTTGCTGCTGTTGGGAAAGCTGGAGGAGATTAATGGAAGTCAATTGGGTATAAGTTTTGCTCTCAATTTTTTTTTTTTTAATGTGTTCGAGGAATTAGTTTCACACCAAATGCTGATGCAATGAATCTATCTTCAAATAGGTTCAATGCCAAATTTTCCGTTTGAACTTAGGATAGTGCCTTAAGAGTAAAAGAGAACAAGAACAAGACTTTATCCAGCAAAGAGTTGACCTTTAATCAAAACCCAGAAACTAAAACAGCTTAAGCTTAAGCTAAAAATAAAAAATAAATAAAAAAATCAGTCTTTTAACTCTAATTAATAACATACATACGTACATAGCATTCCTCTCACTAACTAATACTTTCAAAGAAAAATTTATGTTATATGCTTCTACTAGCTACAGACCTCTATATATTTTGACTTAGCAGAATTAATGATAAGATGATGATCAGTCTAGAATTAATGCCAAGCATATGCTTATTGTTAATATATCACATCTTTTCCCTTCACCTTTAGCAGCGTGGAATAATGAATTTCCACATAGCAGCTGAGGCTCCATGCCTGATACTGAAGAAGCTTTTGCTCCCGGCCAGTATTAGTTTACTATATATACATAAAGAATTAAAGAAGCTGCATCTATGCTGATGATTAATGAAAGATTGCGTACAAGTTATGGCAGTTAACGATGCAGATTCCAATCCAAGTGGGATTTACTATTATATCTATTTCAATATTCCTTTTTTGTGTCATTCTTTTGATGAAGATGATGAGGAGGGCAGTGCAGAGGAGGAGGATGACGACGATTAGGACTTGTACTTGGAGAATAGCATAGCCAATGGGTATAAGTTCTGCTTTTTTTTTTTTTTTTATAAGAATATATAAGTGTTATATAGTTATATTTAAAAGATTTTAAAAATCTTTTAACTGAGGGTGTTAATTAAAAAATAATAAGTTAAAAATTTTAACTTACCTAAATAAGTAGATTTTGACTGAATTTAAATTTTAAATATGAGATTATTTGGAGTATCAAACAAACTTTTTATATTAAGTATTATAATTTAATTTTTTAAACTACTTAAATAGGTTATTAAACACCTTTTAGTCTCGATTGATGTGAAAAATTGATATGAGAATATCCCACTATTTATAAATATCAAATAAATAAATAAATAATAAAAAAAGAGTGATTTGCCCTCATAAAACTCTATAGGTCCTCCCCCTTCCTTAATTTGAGTCATGTTAACCTTTTAAGGGTCTCTGCTCGAGTTGATTGCATTTGCCACACATCTTGAATTTAATTTCTAATATTGGTAAATGCAAAAAATTTCCACATTCCTTGAATTTAATTTCTAAATTTCTAACATTGGTAATTGCAAATAATCTCCACGTTTGGGACAGCTTGGCAGAATTTGATCCAGACTTTTTCTAATTTTAATCTTAGAAGGTCAAACAATTTCCACCTTTTTTCCCAACTTTTTTGGATTTGATTCAAGCTTTATCCAATGCACATGAGCAAGGCAGTTTATAAAAACTTGCATATATGAAAGGATGTGTTAACCACAATGGTATCAAATGGCTACCCCATAATTCGAAAATGGTAAGTTTGCCGGGGATGATAAATGAGTTCGTTTTTTATAAAGTTGGATGATTCAAATTTTTTTGAATTTTAGTTTATTTAAAAAGCCAGTTTTTAAATTTTAAATTTCGGATTTATTACTTTTGAATTTTATTTTTTCAAAGATTTAGTCTATCTTTTAGTTTTTTTTTTTTTTTGAAAAAAATAATGCTCACATAAATATTATCATGATGAAAATTATTTAGTAAGATTTATCTAGAGTTCTCCAAAAATTTAGGATTATTTTGAGTTATTTTCTAATTTTTCTGATTTTCTATATTTTTATTATTAAAAAATAAAAAAAATATTTTTTTTATCTTGAAAAATTAAAGGATTTTTTCATAAAATAGATTGTATTTTTTCAATATATGTGCACAATTTTAGTTTAAAATATCAAAATTTGAATTTTTTTAGAGGAATGAGTGATATATAAAAATCACAAAATAGATTAATTTTTTTTTATAAAAAAATCAGGAGATGTCAAATCTAAAATTAAAAGTTCAAAAATTAATTTCAAATGAACTAAAGTTTAGAAAATTTTTGGTTCATTTATTCTTTTTATAATATCATATTAGAATTCAAATCTCAAGAGATTCAACTAAAAAAATATTCAGAGAGATTTAACTTTGGTCTATAGTGTAATCATTATTTTTTGTTATTTTTATTTAACAATAAATAGTGATTGTGAGTCGGTTTATATCTCAATTGAGAATAAATTTTATTTTCGCATGATTTTAATAACACATTCTTTATCAACTTAGTATTTTATTCTTCTAACTCTAAAATTAGAGAAAGAAAATTAAGGAAAAAAGACTATCAAAAATTCGATTTTCATAACCATTATTATCTAAATTACCAATCCAGGAATTAAAAAAAGGAAAAAAATCTAAAACTACCAAACCAAAATTTTGAAGGCCACAAAGCCAAATATTCTCAAAAGATTTGCAGTATTTTTTTATTTTCATTATTCTCTGAACATGAAGCCCAATGTAGTAAAAAGAGTTGCTTTGCTTGGTTGTGCCATGTTGCTTTCTATATTTGCTTGTTTGCTTAACCTTTTCTTGACTTGTGGTGCTAGTGGAATCTAACGGAACGTGACGCTTGAAAATAATTAATATATTCTCTACTCTTTTTTTTTTTTCATCCTTTTCTTTTCATATCTTAACAAACCAAACCAAATTCACTCGTGTCTTTTTCAACATTTTCTTTTCTTTTCGCCGCGGCAGTGCTGGAATATCGGCCGGAAACCTTGAATTCCGGCGGAATGGTGTCACCAAATGATAATGCTAACTGGGTTTTTGATTGTGGGTTGATTGAAGACATTCCTGTCCCTGGTGGTGACCTTCTTTCTCTTGAATCTTTTGATGAAACCCCAAATGGGTCTCTTTGGTCTTCTCATTCTTTCACTGATACAGCCTTTTTAAGGTGCCCCTTTGTAATTCGTTTTCTTTAAATTGATTTTTTTTTTTTTAACTGTGAAAGCTCTTTTTTTTTTTTTTTCCTTTATAACAGGAAGTAGGTAGCTTTGTTGTTGTTTGCTTAGAAATATGTGTTTGATTTGTGAATTTAGTTTACTATGCTGTCTGAAAAGACTAAATTTTGTTGCTCATTGGACATGATGACTAGAGATGTCAATAGCCAAATGGGTTTGGCAAGTTCTGTTGAATAGCAACTATTCTAATGTTTGTAGAAAGAATAGGACTTGGTGGATTAATTGATAAGTTTTTTGAGTTTTATAGCACTATGATTGTTCTTCTGCTGTTACCAGTCACCTCCTTTTTGAGGTTTTGAAGATAGTATCATCTGATTCCTTCCCCAATATAGTCTTCGTTTGTTATTTTATTTTAGATAAAAGAAAGATCTTGCTTGTTTTTAATTGATGCATTGGCATATTTATTCATGTTTATTGGTATTGCTATTAGTGGTTTTTTAGTACTTAGATGTGGATTTACTTCTTTTCAGAAATGAGTGGTTGATATGGTTGAATGATTCAAATGTGATACAAAATGTGGATTTACTTATTCAGTGTGATTTGAGGTTTTCGATATGAATATAATTGCCAATCACTGGCTTTTTGGTATATCTTTCTCGATGCTGCTATAGGATGTTTACCAACAGTACAATCATCATTGGAGGGTTTCTGCTAAGTTGTGCGGTGAGGATGAGGATTTTGATTATAGGAATAGCTGTTTATGTCCTGTGCGCATGTCTCCATTTTGTATGCATCTATGCAGAAAGTTCAATTTTTTGCTTTGTGGGGTGTTGGTTTTCATGTAAATGATCAGCTATATCTATCTGATAGATGTTCTAATCATTATATTTCTCATCCCTTTTGTTTTCAGTGCGGACTTCAATAATTCATTTGAGAATTCAGATGATCTTAAGGAAAGTGGGTCTCGAAAACGGTACAGTGTACACAGATCAGTAATAATTTAGTAATTTCCTCGGTTTTTCTCCATATGTGCTTTTGCTGTGCACTAATCTTTTTTGCACATATTGTATGACAGGGTGAGGCCTGGATCAAGTAATGCACCTGGCTCCAAAGCATGCAGAGAGAAAATGCGGCGGGATAAGCTGAACGACAGGCATGCTATACAGGCCTTCTAATGCTTATCTTCTTTTCTCTCTCTTTTTCTCATGTTTAGTTTGACATGACTCCAGGTTCATGGAATTGGGTGCTCTTCTAGATCCTGGTAGGCCTCCTAAAGTGGACAAATCAGCTATATTAGTTGATGCTGCTCGAATGGTGACTCAGTTACGAGATGAATCTCAGAAACTGAAAGAGTCTAGTGAGAGTCTACAGGAGAAGATCGATGAATTAAAGGTGTGCTTTGGATTTGGTATTCAGTAATCAGACATTATATTCAATGACAAAAAACCTAAAAAAGGCTTAAAATACATGTTATTAATTATACCTAATCTGTTATTATCAATGATTATGCAAAGGAAACTCGGCAAGTGCTGCTGTCATTTATCTTCATTAAACTTTGTATATGTAGGCAGAGAAGAATGAGCTTCGTGATGAGAAACAGAGGCTAAAGACAGAAAAGGAGAACCTAGAGCGGCAAGTGAAAGCGTTGAGTGCTCCACCAACCTTCCTCCCTCATCCCCCTGCCATTCCAGCTCCATTTTCTGCCCCAGGCCAAGTTGTTGGCAGCAAGCCGATGCCCTTTGTTGGCTATCCTGGAATTTCTATGTGGCAATTCATGCCCCCTGCTGTTGTTGATACCTCTCAGGATCATGTTCTACGCCCTCCAGTTGCTTAAGTTATTCAGGCAGGGATTTGGCATCTACATTCTCTCAGAGCACGGAAGCCTTTGTTGCCTTTACTAACTTCGATTCTTGTTAATTGTCACATAATGTTTTTTTTCTTTCAATTGTCTTCCCTCCCCCCATAGATTGGAAAGTATAAGAATGTACCAATGCAATCACAGATGGATGTAATTCCCAGCAATCGCTTGAATATCTTGTAATTTTTATTAATCAAGTTTGATAATTTTGGGTTACCAGTTTTTATCGTTCATATTTATTTTTCATTTCTCGTTTGGCACAGATGTTTATTTGCACTATGTGTTAAAATTAGAAAATATCTGCTATAAAAGCAGTCATAATTTTATTTCGAAAGATCTTATATGTCCCGGTTTGTCTTGATGGATAATCCGAAAATTTGGAGGATTTACATTTTTTTTCAAAAGTTTCCAATGGAGGGTATCATGGTAGGGGCTGGAATACTGTTTGGTAGACATAAGGAAACTCTGCCATCTTAGGTTTTCAGGAAATACTACGCAAAAGCAAGTGCTTTATCTATATCTGCATCTTTTTATTTCAAGCCTGATTCCTAATCTATGAACTAATTACTAGTACAAAACTTTCTTCAACAGGGGAGTTTGAACCCCATGTTTCTCCCAGAATTATAATCCCTCCAGACCTGAAGAGCTCCAAAGCTGGTCATCAGAACAGCACTCAAAGCCATTACTGTACTAACTGAGAATACAATCATGGAAGCCCTGCCATACTTCACTATGGCCCTCTGTACCACCAGCAACCCAAGAAGCGATGCAACAAAACAAATGACAGAAAGGATGACGGCAGCATCAACATGTTCCATGCCGAACAACAGATACTGAAACGCTGACATTGTAGACGAAAAGAAAACCATGAATGAACAAGTCGCTGCAGTTATCTGCACAAGATTAAGGTAAGGTTTAAAACAAATTATGGCTGGCAATCAATATCTATTTAACAGATATCTGATTCAAAAGGACATGAGATTGGAATTTACCTCAGGTGGTATTCCCACATGAAGCAGAAGTGGGCTGGTAAGCATTCCACCTCCAATGCCAAAAACTCCTCCCAGCAACCCTGCTAATAATGCCATGATTGGGAAAATCAGCTGGTTTGATGTTCCACCTCCTGTTAAGTCTTCCATGCCCTTCACAGAGAACTCCGAGTTTTAGATGATTTTGCTTCAATTCTCATCAGACAGAAGTAATATTAAAAAGCAACTGCAAATGGCTAAAAAATTTCTTCTGTGGTATGTCAAGCACCTGCTGGTTCATAGTTTGATGTTGGCAGCTCTCTTTTCTGTGTAGTATCACTGCTGTGAAAATTATCGCAAGAGGAATTTGGAGTGATGAGACAATCCAGTATCCCAATCCACATGGCTCCATTGTTATAATACCCTGCATTTTTACTTCAAAAATTTTAAAATACAAACAATAGTCAAAAGGATAATTCCAGTAAAGTTTGAGATACCGATTGCATCCGGCAAGGTAGAAACGATTGTGTGATCTTCATCCAGATCTAAAAAATTTTGTTAATCTGCCTAATCATGACTTTGTGATTTGCGAGTTGTAACTTCCGTTTCGAAGTTCAGAAGAAACATATTGCATCAAATACATTCTTGTTGTCGTTTTTTTATCATTGATAATCAAATTGAGGAGTAATAGCCTAACAATCAACTGATATGATTATGGCAAAATTGCATGCTTTCTGTATGCATATCCTATTACTGGTTCTCCCTAACGTGACGTCCAAAATGAAGGAATTACTACAAACTATAAAATGTCTGTTGAAATATGATAAAGCCTGAACTTATCCAGAGTTCAGCAGGAACTTCCACAGATTTCTCTTCCCAAGTTCCTCTAGGAACAAAATTGCGAAAAGAATCATGTACTTTTTTTTATGAATAATCATGTCTTTGATGAATTGTGGTATGCCTATGCTAATTTATTCTGTACAATACTAATTGTATTATGCTTGATTGTTTTGTTCTGATGGTCCTACAGCACATGTGTGAAGTCTGCATCTAGATAGAATCACTACAGTGGCAGAAAAGGGACCACAGAGCTATTGGATGTTTAGATACCAGAAATTCCGGTGCTGTAACTCAATGACCTGGTCATTCATGGGAAGATGCAAGAAGAATTTCAACCACTAATCTGATGTCTAATATTGCAGAGAAATAGAAGTTCACAAGGAGAATTAGAAGAGAAAATAAGTCATACCTCTCCATACCGATTGCCACGGAGAAGATAGACGAAGAAGAAGGAGAACCAAATCAGGACTAACATCCCCAACTTCATCCATGGAAAACTCAATTTGCTAATAGGTAATTTAGTACCCAAAAGAGGCTCTTTCACGCTCTTCACCTCTTCACTTCCTTCAGAGCTAGTCTCATTTTCAACCAACCCATTTTCCAAATTCCCACACTCATTTCTTTTCACTTCTTCTGATTCCAACTTCCAATGAAAAACACCGTTCTTACAAGTCTTAAAGGTAGACCAAGCAAGAAAAACAGCAAACAAAATGGTGATAAGCCACTCAGGAAAAACAAGATTACAAATAACTCCAACACTAACTCCTAACAACATGCATGGTTCTGACAGAAGTGCAATATCAAAGTCTACCAAAGTCTTACCACCAAACTTAGCACTTCTGGCAAACAAGTTACACATGACGTTAGCAATAGACCCTCCTGTGACCATAAAAGCTGAGAAACTTGAGGCTGTTTTCAGGTCTAGACCTGCCACTATAGTCAGTATAGGAATATACAACCCCCCACCACCAACGCCACCTGCACTGGATAGAGAAGCAGCTATGAAACAGAAAATTCCTGCTAGAACCGTAGAGGGTGCTAGTTTCAGTCCTGTTTCTTGAGATTGTATCTGATGATGATGATGACTCCATTTGTCAATTTTGTCGAGAAACATATCAAATTTCAGAATATTTGAAAAGGGTTGTGTTTGTTCTGCACTGGAGTGGCTAAAAGTGATCAAAATGGCGAGTGAGAGAGCTAGCCATGTCAGGATATTGTTGGCCTTCATTTGCTCAAAATTCTTGGTGCTATTATGTGGTGCCAAAAGTGAGCTGTATAGGTGTTTATATAAGAGAAAAGGGGGATCTGGTGTTGCATGGAATTAGCGAAGAAAGAAACAAAAAGGGCATCACGAATTAATAAAGAAACAGTTTCCTAAATCAATTTGCACGAGGCAGTAACGTACTGCCATGTGTCTTCTTCTGAAGTCAGAATCAACCAGATGAAAAAATCCTTTCAAGGGGATGTCGATATTTGATTTTTAAGGCAAAAGAGCTATTTTCTTATTCAGAAATATATTAGATAAAATTTAATAACATTTTTCGTTGTTGTCGGAGACATATGATCATACTTGATGCCTCATATAGGTCATTTTCTTGTATGATTATTAATAATTTTATGGTTAGTGTCATTTGGAATTTATCAAATCTAGTTAGTCCATTAAATATTTAAAAAAATTTCTAACGATTTGTCAGATCAATGAAATATATATATATATATATATATATATATATATATATTTTTTTTTTGAGTTTAAATCTTAATTAAGATCGATATATGTAGACAAAATTTAATTTTTAATTTAATCACAATTGATATACAAATTGATTTAAAAATATTCTTATGATGAAATAAATAAATTAAAAAATATATATATTCGGATAATCATTATCCATTGCTATTTGATGGTTGGTATTATCTAGAATTCATTAATTGAGTCCACCATTAATATTAATGTTTCTTAGAAAAACTAACAAAAAAAAAAAAAAGTGTTGGAAATGCTGTGTCAAGGAGGAACCTGACATGGATTTGGATGAGTATAGAGTCCGCTGACATTTAGCCACCTTTTATATATCCACTTGATCCTTCAAAGTTAATATATGTTAATGATAAGTTGGTTAAAATAATTAGCAGACATTTATCCCCAGCTAATGCATATATGGATTAATATTATCATGTTTGAAAGTAGTTATATTTCTGTACTGCATGAAATCTAAAATTATAATAGCCTATGGTGCATATTAATATTAAATTCTATTCTATTTTATGTTTCGAGATTGCATGCGATAAAAATTTAAGTTTTTCCACTCATACCATAAGAAATTAAGATATATTCATATGATAAGATAGTCATAATCCATTACTTCGAAGAATCTAATTAATCATCTTTGCCTCTTCTTCAGGAACAATACTTTGTGTGTGTGTCTCATCGTTCTTAGAGAAACTAATTAAAAGTCACATCTTGTTACGTATTTGCTTAAGGCCAGGCTCATAAATAACCTTTGAGTTAAATAATTAAAATTGATTTCTATCTAAAAACTCAAGTTTTATGATAAATGATTATTTTTCAACTTTATATATTACTCATCAATTATTTATTCAATGTATGATAGGTTTTCTAACAGTTTCCTCACTTACACTCTATTTTTTAGCGCTCGTCAAATGATTTGGGTTAAAAAATCTTTGCTATTAGGATGAGATTTCTTGAATAATTTAAATTACTCTCTAACATAATACAACCAATAAAAAATTAGATAGAAACAAATTAATCAGGAAAAGAATTAATTAGAAAAATGAATAAAGTTAAATATAAAAAGGAATATTGTTAAACTCGAAAGAAAAATTTCTTTTCTTATTTTGTTTTTCCGTTTAATTGAGACATGCATATAAAAGAAAGAATTAAAAAAAATATATATCTTTTTACATATTTCTATAGAAAAAAAAAACAATGATTTTTGGTGCCCAAAATTATTAAGTTTTTTTTAGCATTGATTTTTGGTTACTACGATCACAAAGAATTATGTTGTTCAAGGTGTTGATCTCACACAAGTACAAAATTTTGCTAAAACACAGAGATTTCATAAATTTTAAGTTTTCGTAATGAGATAAATTTAGTTAGAGAGATAATTTATACTATTGCTAATATTTTTGCTTTTCAAGTTCAATAAAAAAAACTTTAGTGATTATGTTACTATATATATATATATATATATATATATATATATATATATATATATATATATATATATATATATAGGATTATTTTGAAGTTGGTTTTGTAGTCTTTTCTTCTACGATAGAGAGAGTTTTTTTACATAAATTTGGTGTTCTTATGGTTATACTCTTATAATTGATTTATTTTGTACTCTTAATTATTATCGTTGTGTTTGGCTTGATTATTTTTTTATAACTTCTAATTTATATAGATTGTGATTAAATTTTTTACAATGGTATCAAAGTTTTAGTTGGAATATTTGTATAAGTTAAATGGAGAAAAATAATTCGAAAACCATGATCAAACCGACAACTTCAAATTATTCAATTTAAAAGCCGATGATAAAAACTTTATTTTATTATCATGATTTGTTTGATCTAATGAAATTAGGTAAAACCAACCCAACTATCAAGATTAATGATGTTTGAAAAAAGGAGTATAGAAAACCTATCCGAGAATAATTTTTTTTTTTTTTATGAAGTTCGTGAATTGAAATATAAAAATGGAAGTTTAGTTGTTAAATACTTGAGTCACTTTCAAGATCTGATTAATTAGTTGATAATTATAAAAATAATGTTAGATAGTATGTTACAAGCATTATTGGTTTTGATAACTTTATTAACAGTTTGAAAACTTTGATTATGACACTTGATAATTTTATTTCGAATAAATAACTAAGAGGCATATTTAATATTAATGAGGCACTACAATGAATATAATAAGCATAAGCATTTTGACGGTATAATATGATAAGCATAAGATTGTTATGTCTCAATTATCAATTTAATATACTAAACTATTGAGTTTTCAGTTTTATTTAAGTTCAATAACTCCAAAAAAGGCATCTATATTAAAACAAGATATTATTGAAGTTCAATTATTGTGCTTGTCAGTCACCCACTGAGACAAGAAAGCTCAGCACAAAAACCATATTCGTGACATGTGTACACGAGATAGAAAAGGCTATTAGACAGTTGAGTTCATTAATGCAGAATTTATGTAATAATGGTGACCTCAACAAACAGGAAAGTTGTAGCCTTGTAGGAAGTTTCATTGCAAATATCAACAAAAAAAAAAAAAAAAAAGGAAGAAAGGAAAAAGAAGGAAGAGAGGCAAACCAACAACATTAACGACAGAAAGAAGTGGAGGTTGGTGTGGAGTGAACATCTGTAAGACTCCACTAGACAAATCAAGGCAAATATGGATGAGGACAATATGTTGCCTTTTTGTTTTGGAAAATTATGGCATATATATGTTGCTAATTATGAAAATTAAGTCAGTGCAGACATGACCTCTTTCTTTTAACAAATCAATGAGACTAACCTTCCTTCTGATCCATTTATCATGTATGATTTAGCATTCTTTGTTTTGGTTTGATGGTAACTATATTTTCATGTGAGTTTATATTTTAATTGAGATAAAACATTTTTTGAACAATTTTAAAGATGCTTTTTTTTGCATCAGCTTATGCATTTAGAAAAATTTAATAGATTATCTTAGTTACTTACTGATCTTAAGGTTTGAATTTAAAAAATTAAAAAATGAATCAAATTTCAGTGACCACTAGATTATTGTGTATGTCTGGATAAGGATGTAAATTTGCTATGAGACAACGTCCCTAGAATAAATTTGAGAAAATTCTTCCTTAGTCCTTGTATTTTTTAAAACAATTAAAATTTAGTCTTTATATTCGAAAACCTATAACTTTGTCTCTTGACTTTTCTTGATCGTTATTTTATTAAAATGTCTAGGTGTTTCTCTAAACCTCCACACTATCTTGATTTTTCTCTAAGAAGTTAGATTATCACATCGGACATTTGGAATTTAGGGAGAAAAAAAAAAAAAACCAAACAAACGATTAAAAAGAGTCAAGGGATTGAGTTATTAGTTTTTAAATACAAAGGACTGCATTATAATCGTTTAAAAATCAAGAGACCAAGGAATGATTTATACTATTTTTTTTTTAATGGAAAACTCTATACGAATAAAAAGTTATACATAAAAAAGTTTATTAATTTTTAGTATTAAAAATCTAACATTTAATTTCAATAGTCTTATTAACATATAACGAGATAAAAGAGTTTATTAATTCTTTCACTTCAATCTTAAACTTCACATTTTCACATCTTAGTAGTATAAATCTAACGCTTAATATCAACATTCTCGATAACATATAACGAGATAGAAGAGTTTATTAACTTTTTTTCTTCGATCTTTAAATTTCACGTGAATACTAACATCTTAGTATTACAAATCTAACATTTAATTTCAACATTCTCATTAACATATAATGAGATAAAAAGAGTTTATTAATTCTTTCACTTTGATCTTAAATTTCACATTTTCCATCTTAATATTATAAACCCAACATTTAATTTCAACATAAAACATACAATTTGACGCAACATATAAAGAGATAAAGAGTTTATTAATTCTTTCACTTCAATCTTAAACTACACATTTTCACATCTTTGTATTACAAATCTAACATTTAAATTTCAACATGTTTGTGTACATCTCTTCTTTTATCCCTTGATTTTTCACTTCAAAACATGCAACTAGCTAGGGCACATATATGTACACAATCCAAATGAGAAACAATTTGAAATATGTTTCCTTTAAAAGAAGGGTATGGCTTTCAGTGTCTTTGGTTATGATCTTTGTAATAACCCAAAACTTCATAAACTTAGTAATGACTGGTTAAACTTAAACCATCCATATGTAATATCGGATTCGAATTGATCAACTATGTATATATGTAAAACATTCCATGCAAGTTGAAACACTATTATCAAATTTTTAGTTTTCCGGTTCAATGTCTCTATGTTTTAAACAAGGCAATAAATGATTCATTTTGAAAGAGGAGATCAGAGAAGAGAAGAGGATGTTGGCAATTCTAGAACATTTAATGGGCACATATTCAATTCACTAGTAAGGCCAAAAGGAAACAGGACAATTCCATTTAACAAATTAAACTAGCTAGATATGTCAAAATTAGGGCTACAATCTTATCGCCAATTGCATTTAACAAAACTAGCCCATCTCATGAAATGAAAGTGATCATAAGGATAACATAGAATATATGTCATGCCACTACAGAACTGCTGGAAGATTCTCGGTTAGGTTAAATCTATTATGTTAGGTTGGAATTATTTCGAGTTTTATCCTGAATAGTAAGAGAAATATGTAAAATCCAAGTGGGAAGGCCAGAGTGGATCCTTATATATTAGTATTAATTTTCTTGGAATTTTTATAGACATCCTTATCTCTCACCAAGCTAGCTTGCAAGTGGTATGTAATTTACAATTCACAACTTGATATGGTTGGTTTTATTCGCTTTTTACTATTACAATTTCATTCTTTCAGCATATAAATGATATGATATAAAGTGGGAGATAGCCATCCATCTTATTCACTATTTCTAAGAACAATAAAAGAAGTGGACTGCAAAGACTAAAATTACATGCACTGGTGATATTGGCCTCTTGACAAAGTGAAACTTGGCAACATTTTGTGGTCACTCGTTTCGGATTTCTCTAGGAAAAGTAGAAACGGGACCAAAACTCAATTTACAACAAATAAACGAGTCTCAAGAATAAGATAGAAAACACAAGGTGTACATAAGATTGTGTGTCTCATTCATGGATTCTAGAAGGAGGAGAAGAGTTCAATTATACTTTCGATAGCTCGCCGTAGAAATGGATCAAACATGCTTTAATCCCTCGTCCACAGAATATTTCTTTTATCAAACTGTATCTAGATAAAGACATTAAATGTAGTACGAAATAGACTTTTCCCGTTCATGCGTGGGTTCGTGCTTCGAATGAATCTTGATTTTGGTGGAACCAAGAAAGAAAAAGAAAGCATGCTCCAAGTCACTACAAAGTGCAACCAAATACTAAAGCCCATTTCAATATGTGAGGAATCTACAAGCTGCCCGTCTTTTCTTACATTCCATGCGTATTCTTTAATTGTTTGTCCAAAAAAAAAAAAAAAAAAAGAGCTTGTGTAGGGTGGCTTAAGGTATAATTTTGATTGATGAAAATTTTTTTCTCTCAGTACTATTAGTAATTGCTTGCTGTTTCCATTCAAAATAATTTTTTATTTGTAGATCACATGTAATAAAAAGAGAAGATTTTAATTGGAGATTGCTTTATACATTGACAATCATGCTGCTTGATAAGACTAACAATCCCATATAGTATAATTTCAATATAATTTTCTTTTGCTCTAGACTCTCATTTTCTATTTTCTTTATAGTTTTTTTTTTCAGTTTTTCTGTGCTATAAATTTCTATGATTTGCTAGGTTTTCTTGCTTAGAAACTTTTTTTTTAATTAATAATTAAGAATATTTTTGGGTTAGCTTGCAATATACCTGGATTTTTTTTTTTTAAATTTCTAAATATTGATTTTAAATTTAAAATTTAAAAAGTCAAGGGAAGGAATAAAATTTCTTTAACTATTGGATTTACCCTTTAGATTATTAGTGTATGCATTATTAGTCTCTTATATCCTTCTCCACATGTTTATGCCCTTTGTTTGTCCCAAAAAAAAAAACTTTTATGATTTAAAATCTGAGTTAATTGTTATTATTTTTCATAATGAGTTAATTATATATAACTTAATACTTGAAATTTATTAAAATTAATTAATTGATCCTTGTAGTATCAAAATAATTAAATAGTTTTTCAACCAACGTTAATCATCCCCAATTTAGCACTTTTTTCCCAAAACCTTCTTCTCCTCCTCATCAAAGTTTTCCACGCATCATGTTGATCACTTTCTTTTCACTTTTCAAATTTCATTTTCTTAAAGAATAATTAAATATATAGTTTTTAAAACCATGAAATTAGGGTACAAAGCAACAATAAGAATAAAACCGGATGCTTAACTGTGAGTCTTAGATCGAAGGAACCAAGAAGCGTGCAGAGTTGCTAACCAGAAGGGATGGAAAAAAGAAAAGGTAAAATTAGAAGTTTGGGTCAGCCCTTTTAATTATAGTTTATTGGCCATGATCGTAGTTTTGGGTTCTGGGTCAGCTCTTTTAGCAATTCAATGGGCCTTCTAGGGTATGTTATACGCGAGCTGGTGGTATTCTTTTATGGGTCTGAAATCATTTCTTGCACGGCACACACACACACACACGAGCATAGTCCTTTCCCATCTCTAAATCCCATCTCGATCAGTATTATTCAAATCTGAACATGATAATGAAAATCCAAATCTTATTTATAGGATCTCATTAATCTTATATATGAGATAAATAATTCAATATATGCTTATATTATAGTATGATTTTTTAATCTATCCTTATGCTTCTAATTACATTTATATATGTGCTTAAATATTGTTTAAAAACCTATTTTCTAGATAAAATTTTTCTAGCCCTGAGCAAAATTTTTTGATCCAAATTTCTCTGATTGAAATGCAAAGCAAAAATTTTTGATCCAGATTCCTTTGATTGAAATGCAAATTAGAAGGCTTTTAAGTGTTTTTTTTTTTTTTTCAATCAGAAGCATTTCAATTAAAAAATTGACCGAAAAAATATATTAAAAACTTAAAATATTATTTAAAAACAAAATAAATGTAATTAAAAATATAAAAACAAATTGAAGACTCATGATATTATATGAGAATATATAGATTGAACTATTTAATCTTATATATGATTTAGGAGGACAATCCCTCTTGATCTACAAGCTTTCTTGCAACTTAATCAAAATGGCCGAAACAATTAATTAAATTTATGTCAGCATTCTGTATGCGTCTACGGAACTTATAATTTAATTTAATTCTGTAACAGGATAATTATGTTGAAATTTTCTTAAAAAATGTTTTTCTGAATTTCTTGTTTTGACCAGTACATCAAATAATCCAAAATAATCTGTCAAAACCTTTGAAGATTACAAAAACCAGTGACTTCATTTTTTTAATTGCTAATTAAAGATATGGATCTTGAAGATGAATAAGTGCAATTAAGTTCAGTTGACTTCAATTTTTCATGTTCATCCGTAGGAAAAGCAAAACATGCAATGGGTCAATAGTTTAGAATTTGATCTGAATATAACTACAGAAGAAGAAGATATATATATAGAGAGAGAGAGAGAGAGATCATTTCTTAACCTCTCCACTCTTCTCCTTCCCTTCACCTAAGATTCAAAAAGGACGGAAATGTTCAATTTGAAAGCAATAACATTTGTTGCATTGTCAACTTTGTGGTTGTTGTCTAGCCCTTGTCATGCTGACAATGATATGAATCTTGGTTCACAATGTTCATTAGCTGATAATTCTACCGCGGACAGTGAATATCAAACCAATCTATTCAATCTACTGAATTCACTTGCTGCTAATGCGCCTATCCAAAATGGCTTCTACACGACCACCGTAGGGAAAGGTGCTAACAAGATTTATGGGCTTACGCAATGTAGAGGTGATATTTCTTCTGCAGACTGTGCAGCCTGCATAAAAAATGCTGCAATGGTGCGTGTTTGTTCAGAAGGAAAGAACTTTACCATTTGGTTTAGGTGGTGTTTGCTACGATACTCGAACTTGAACTTTTTCGGTGAACGAAAGCAATCAGGAATGGCTACGGGCTTCGATGCTGATTTGGAAGATCCGAATTTGGTTTCAGAAGCACTAAACTTTACTAACGCGCTTGCTTCATCGACTCCAAACCAGCCTTTGATGTTCCAGACGGCAGTGTTAGATGTTGGACAAAGTGGGAAGAGGTATGGCTTGGCTCAATGCACTAGAGATCTCAGCAAGAGTGCTTGTCGCCAGTGCTTGAATATTCAATTGAATATTTTCAAGAATGCAACTGGAAATCGGAGAGGATGGGAAATTTATGCGTCTAGTTGTAGCATGTTGTATCATGACTACCAGTTTTACTTCCGCGCATCAACCCCTTCAAATGAAGGCGAGTCATGTGAATTACTTGTTTTTTTTTTTGTTTTTTTTTTTAATCCTGGTCTCTTTGTTGCAAATTTTGGTCTAATTCCTGTTATACATGTCAAACAGGTTCCTCAAGATACACACCACATCGCGTGGCAATTGGCATGGCGGTTCTAGCACTAATATTTCTGTTAGTTCTCTAACCATGCATTGAAAGGCTTCTATTTGGTCCAGCTTAAATATGTGGAAACTGTCAGACTCCGAATTCAAGAAATCCTGAAGAAAAGATTTTCTGCTGACTTGTTTCATTTTTCTTTGCTATTGATATTTGAAAAGTTTTATTTTCATTTTCTTGTACATGGTAATGTTTCTTTTATGATCTGGTAAACCTTGAAAGCAGTTATAAGGTTAATTTCTTTCATGAACTATTCGTTCCTATGTGAGTTTGGCCTGAAACCCAAAAACAACTTCTTGATAGGTTATAAAATTTCTCGTTTGATTTGGGGTGCGACAGAGCTCAAATAGGGAGGAAATTTTTATAACAAGGTAGTGGGAAGCCAAAATGCAATAAAAAATTCCAAAATTATAGATAATGCTTATCGGGAGCTAGAATACCACATCGATATTGCATTCAAGGCGAAAGCTATCGAACAAGGATTGCCACTAAGCCCACTTTAACATTTATGGAGTCCTTCGACAGAAGAAAAAAACCTGAAGTAAAAATGGAGAACGTAAAAGCATGGAAAGCACTAAATATTAATCCACCAAACCTGATATCGTCCTTGCAAGCTCCTTCGAAACTGTCCATCACTTGGCTGCGTTCCTCCAAGAGTCACCAGGGTGTATGTGCCAACGTAAAGTGAACCTCTTGAAATTTTGCAAACCTTCGATGGAAAAGTTTTATGGATGATTCTTCCTGGATGAAATTTTATAGGAAAAAATCATACCGCCTTCCAACCAGAACCATAACATTGGGGAACAAGATGGTTCAATAAGATCGCTTCACTAGTTTCAAGATATGTAAGGGCACGACAATCTTTTTCTGATCCCATTTAAGCTTCTTGTAATTTTCAAAGACCAAGACATGGAAATCCTTCTGCACCCTGTAAGCAAATGCTAGTCGTCCATTCCACTTCAAATGGAAAACTTAACTTCCATACGGGAATAAATCTTACGGTAGTGCAGCATAAGTGAAGCTTTCACTCTCTAAATCAAGAGATACAATTTCTCGACAAATTTTGGAACCAATCTTGCTTTCCTTGATGCAGTGAACAACCTCACCTGCGGCAACAACTGATATCTTCTTATGTTTTTTATCAACATTTTCTAACCTCGGCATTGTGAGGGGTCTCCATGAATCATCAATCCCAACAGTGAGAATCTCACAACCATCTCCGACAGTTCCTTGTTCTGTAGCATGGTATATGGAGACCAACTTATATTTGATCAATGGAGGGAACAAAAGAGAGAGTTATATCAAAGCTCTTTCTATGTGGGTTAGGGAGATGCATTGTTTGCTTTATGGCTTGGTTTGTGATACAGTCTTGGTTTGCGACACGGTACTTTCTTCCATAGACGAATTTTCCAGAGACGAATTTTCTCAGAAAAATCAAGTCGTCGCTGCCATAGGAAAGTACATATGAAGCAGGGGATATAGTGCCGTGTTCATTGTAAATATAACATGAAGGTATCCTATTCATATGCTTCTTATGAAGCAGCAATCGATCCTTTGTTAAATCAAGCCAAATCTTGCACACGCATCTCATTCTCAGCAGAGGCTTCACTGGCGCCCAGCTCAGAATTAGGAAAATAATTTCAGGAGGAAAGAGAGATTGGATATCATCAGAAATATGAGTTGTTTCTTCTTCGTTCTCATCGGTCGGTTGAAGTTTTTCTTCTTCTTCTTGGCGTTACTATTTTCAGTTTCTGCAGCTTTTCTCTTCAAGGTTTTTCCTCCTTGTGAAATTTCCTGACACTGTACGTAGTGATGATCTCGTTGGAAAGCCGAGGCATCTCAGTTTTGAGCCAAGATATTTCAAAGCTATGTTACCCATATCAGTTCTGTTTTCTCAAATTCTGCTCATAAAAACAAAAGAAACTCAACAAGAACAATCTTGAAATTACAAATAGATCTATATTTCCTATGAATACGCCCATATAGTACTTTCCAAAAACTAAAAATATAAAAAAAATAAATAAAATCATGCAGTGCTAATCTCCTAAATTACACTTCAAGGTTCCCATCTCAATCAAGATCTCATAAATCGAGGAACAATCAAATATATATATATATATATATATTCAATCAAAAGACAAAACAGCGCATGTCTAGGACTTATTTTGGTAAAATATGATGACCAAAAAATTTCTATTAAGGACTTATTTTTCAGAAAAACAAAATTAAGGGACTAAAGTAAAGTTTTGAATAAATTTTTGGACCAAATTGTACAGCATAAGGAGAAATTCATGCTGCGCGTTAGTAATATAAACTGACATAATGGTACAATGATGACGATGGTGGTTAATATTTAGACAAAAAATAATAGAAGGATATATAGACATGTAGGGAAGCATCAACCCATAGACAATTACAATGCTATCTATATATAACCAAATGAATCAAGTGGATAGACACAACAAACATTTTTTCCAATTAATTATTTATATACTAAGGGAAAAAATATCTCTTTTTTTTTCTCCTTTTTTTAATAAAAAGGAAAATTTTCTTTTCATGCTTTGGGTTGGAAGCAAATACAAGTTAATATCCCAATAAAATGAGATTCTAACCATTGGTTGATCGAAACACATGTTCTATACTCTTGAAACGAGTTCAAATATTGCTAATAGCAAAAAAAAAAAAAAAGGATCGAATTGGATAGAGGTGACAAATGGATGGGTATGAATTGTGTGTGATATTTTCATCTAACTAATACTGTTTAGGCAACCTAATGGATATCACTAACGGAGCTTGACGGAGGGGTCGAATTGGATCCAAATTGTTAGTAAAAAGTTCGATATGGACCAAAATCATGTAGAAGGATGAATATGACTAAAAATCGAAAGAAGGAGGATATTCATTGATTTTCATCATTTAAGTTATTTTGGCAGGGAATTGACGTGTACATCCTCTGGGAGCTTGGAAGCTTCATCAACAATGATTCTCGTTAATGGTCACAAGTAATGTTTTTCTTCTTTCAATCATCTTCCGTTCTCATAGATTGGAAATGAGAATGCATGAGAGAAATTACAGATGGGAAACTTGAAATTCCCAGGAATCACTGGAGTAATCTTGTAAGTTTCATTAATCAAATTTGGTAATTTTGGTTACAAGTTTTTGTTCTGTTCCTCATTTCCCGCTTGACACATACAGATGTTTATGGCCTTGATGAATTAAAATTGGAAAATATCTGCTGAAAAAGCTTTCGTAGGAAACTCATCCATCTTACGCTTTCAAGCCTGTCACTCAAACTAATTACCAATAAACTTTCTTCAACAGGGGAGTTTGAACCCCATGTTTCTCCCAGAATTATAATCCCTACAGACCTGAAGAGTTCCAAAGCTGCTCATCAGAACAGTACTCAAAGCCATTACTGTACTAACTGAGAATACAATCATGGAAGCCCTGCCATATTCTACTATGGCCTTCCGCACCACCAGCAGCCCAAGAAGTGATGCAACAAAACAAATGACGGCAAAGATGATGGCGACATCAACTTGTTCCATGCCCAACAATAGATACTCAAATGCTGACATGGTAGATGTAAAGAAAACTATGAACGAGCAAGTTGCTGCAGTTATCTGCACAAGATTAAGGTAAGGTTCAAAACAAATTATGGCTGGCAATCAATATGTATTGAGTAGATAGTTGGAGAACATGACATGAGACAGGAATTTACCTCAGGTGCCATGCCAACATGAAGCAGAAGTGGGCTAATGAACATTCCACCTCCAATACCAAAAAGTCCTGCCAACATACCTGTTAATAGGGCCATGATTGGAAAAATCAGCTTGTTTAGTGTTCTGCCCCCATTTAAGCCTTCCATGTCCTTCACAGAGAACTTTGAGTTTTAGATGATTGAATTTGATTCTTATCAGAACAGAAGTAATTGACTTTTGAAACTATCAAATACAAATGCCTAAACTACTGTGGTATGTTATGCACCTGTAAGTTTATCGTTTGAAGTCAGCTGCTCTCGTCTCTGTATAGTATCCAAGCTGTGAAAATTATTGCTAGAGGAATTTGGAGAGATGAGACAACCCAGTATGCCAATCCACATGGCTCCATTGGTATAATTCCCTGCACATAATTTAACTTGTTACATATAAACATGTATTCCAAGGGATAATGCCTGTTATGTTCCACATACATATTGCTTTAGGCAAGAGAAATCTGCTATCTTGATCCATATCTAGAATTTTTTTTTCAATCTGCCTAATCTCTACTAGATATGTCTTTGGTGAATTAATTTATGCTCTTATGCTTATTTATTCTCCAGACTAGATATTCATGGGAAGATGCAGAACTACTGAATCCCAGATCGGATGTATAATTAATCCTGCAATGAAGTAGAATCACAAGGAAAATAGGAAAAAGAATGTCATACCTTTACAAAATGATCACCACGTAGAAGAAAGAGAAAAGAGAAGGAGAACCAGATCATGACTAATATTCCCAACTTCATCCATGGAAACCCCAAATTTTCACTACGTAATTCCATACCCATAAGAGGCTCTTTGACAATCTTTACCTGTTCAGTTCCATTAATACTAGTACTCCCACTCTCAAAATTCCCACACTCATTTCTCTCCTGTGCTTCTTCTGATTCCAGTCTCCAACGAGAAACACCTTTCTTATAAGTCTTAAAGGTAGACCAAGCAAGAAAAAAAGCAAACAAAATTGTGATAAGCCACTCTGGGAAAACAAGATTACAGATAACCCCAACACTAACTCCTAGTAACAAGCTTGGTTCTGACAGAAGAGTCATATCATAGTCTATCAAGCTCTTACCACCAAAATTGGGATTTTTTATAAGCAAGTTACACATGACAGTAGCAAAAGACCCACATGAGACCATTAAAGCTGTGAAACTTGTGGCTGATTTCAGGTCTAGACCTGCCACTATTGTCAGTATGGGAATATACAACCCTCCTCCGCCAAGACCACCTGCACTAGATATAAAGGCAGCCATGAAACAGAAAGCTCCTGTAAGCACCATAGAGGGTGCTAGTTTCAGTTTTGTTTCTTGGAATTGCATCTGATGATGACTCCACTGATCAATTTGTTCAAGAAAGAGATCGATTTTCAGGATTTTTGACAAGGGCTGTGTTTGTTCTGCATTGGACTGACTAAAAGTGATCAAAATGGTTAGGGCGAGAGTAACCCTTATCAGAATATTGTGAGCCTTCATTGGCTTGAAGTTCTTGGTGCTTTTGTGGTTTGTCAAAAAAGAGTTGTATAGGTGTTCTTATACCTACAAAAAAAAAAAAAAGTCTTTATCATTTTTTTAACATGAAAAGGACACCATCATCAACTCTTAAACAAAGAACTGATATTTAAAAAGGTGCTTGTGTTGTGGATCTCTTTGGGTCCCATAATTAGTTAGGAATGATAACGCTAATCATATTTGCACTTTGATGGACGAGAGTCTATTTTATTTGATTTAGAAAGAGACTATAGATCTAATGATCCCTAAAAATTATTTACCCTAACTATTCGAAAGTGGAACTTGAATTCAAAACCTTATCATAGGTTAATGGTAGGAAACAAACCAAGTAAAAGAATATGGTAGAACAAAGAAGAATAATCACACAACAGAAAGATTTTTGAGGTTCGACAATGGTGCCTACTCCACTGCTGAATTAGGATTTCTTATTAGCTTTCCTTAAATGGTGACAACAAATACAAGTAATGTTGCCTCTATTTATAGTATAAACAATTAGGATTATAAAAAACAAAGCATAACAGACCAATACTTCTGGTACAATATTCTGCAGATCTTTTGAGGGCTTCGTCCCGAGCCCCCACAAGGGGCACTACCCCCTTGACCTCTGTTCGCTAACCGGCTAACGAGACCACCATAGTAGATTTATATAGCTCCTTATACTACAAGTCCCCATTCACATCAGTATCTACGACTTAACAGTTAAGTCAAATCATTTATCACTTGTACTGGCCTTTTTACTGCGGTTCAATAGGCAGTAACCTAATGGTCATATCATACATATGAACAGCTCCATTCAAAGAGGTTGACATTTAACTTTTAAAAAATAGTACATTTTAAGTCAAAAGGGTTATGTCATTTTCATAAACATCTTGGAAAAGACTTAATAATACTTGCATAAAATGCATGCACATGACATATAGGCACAACAAGCTTTCAGTTCAGTTCCTTAATCAGAAGTAATGTAAGCTCATGCAAATAAAAGCTGTAGGCCTATACCTGCTGCCATCCACACAACTTCCCCTATACCTGCTGCAAGCCTCTCCCCCAAGTCAACCATTCCAGTAGCCCCATGCCCCACTGTCCAGCTACCCCTACTCCCTGCCCATCACTGCAGCGGCCTCCCCCTACTGCAGTCACCATCCTACTGTCCAGCCACCCCTACTACCACATTTCCTCCACACAACTTCCCCTATACCTGCTGCAAGCCTCTCCCCCAAGTCAACAATTCCAGCAGCCCTATGCCAGAGTCCCTCCAAGCAACAGCCCCTAAACCGACTGCCACAGCCCCCCTTACCGTGCACAACCCACAACCACAATCCCATCAAACCCTAAACCATAACCTACAAAATCCCTCACCTTCATGGTGTGGGGGAACCAACCAACACAATATATACACAATTCACTGCAAAGAAAAAGAGCGGGAATCAGTAGAGAAAAGTTGGAAAGAAAAAAAAAAGGTACAGTAACTAAAAAAAGAAGCTGAAATATAAAAAAACAAAAAATAAAATACGGAAGAGCAGAAATTTACCTGTTTTGGAGCAGCAATCCACCATCATCCTCAACTCAATTCTTCTACGTAACCTCCTTAATCTTTCTTTAATTTCGGATTTACTGTCAATTTAGGTTTTGTTTCGGAATCTGGGGATTTTTGGAAATTGAATTGAAATTGGGTTAGGGAATAGAAATTAAGTTCATTTGAAGCCAATTGTAGTTTCAAAACCTAGGGTTTCAGCCAAATTAGGGGAAATATCGGGTGAAAATTAAATTGGGATTTTCGAAGATAATGACTCAATTGGATTTGAATTGGCTTGACCTCAAGAGAAATCAAGCCAATCAAGGCCACTTGAAAGGAAAAATTGAAAAATTGAAAACCTAGGGTTCGGTCACATTGGGGGAAATTTTCAATTGAGGGTTTTGATCTAATTTGAAGAGGGAGATTAATAGAGTGAGAGGGAAAAAACGATTGAGAGAGAGGAGGAGAGAATCTCTGGTACGTTCCTCCATGGATGAACGGCAAAAAACGAAAAGGAAAGAGAAGAGAGAGGGAGACAGGAGGATTCGGGAAAGGAAGAGGAGAAGAAAAAAGAAAAGGAAAGAAAAAGGAAGGGGGAGGAAAAGAAAGAGGGACGAACCATGGAGAGGGGAGAAAGAGAGGAAGTAGAAGAAGGAAGAAGAAGGAGAAGAGAGAGGGAGAGCGATAGGGTGAGGAAGAGAGAGAAAATGGGAAAAAAGATGGTTTTGATCCAAAAAACTAGAAAAAGAAAGAGTTTGTTTGTGTTTTTGCTCAACCAGTGTGTCACTGGGCTGGACTGATCCAGCCCAGTCCGAAAAAAGGCGAAGAAAAGAGTAATCAGTCCAGCCCCAAAAAAAGGAAGAAAAAGAACGTTGGGCTGGACTGGAATCCGAACCAAAAACATATATATATATATAAAGGAGGAAAAATTGGATTAGATTGATTTTAGTCCAGTCCAATTCAAATAATAATAATAATAATAATACAAAAAATATAAAAATATAAAAATTATACTAAAAAAATGTCTTAGTTTTAATCTTGAATTTTATTTTATATATGTTTGTCATGAAATATTTAATTTAGATTTCAAATTGTCTTTAATTATTTTAATTAATGTAATTTTAATCTTGAATTTATTCCATGCATATTTTTTTAGTTTTATATTAAATTTAGATTTTAATATTTAAATTTTCTTTAATTATTTTAATTAATGTAATTTAACTTGTAATTTATTTTATATATGTTCATTATTAATTTAGATTTCAATATTTGAATTTTTTAATTTACTTATTAATGTAACTTTAATTTATTTTTTAGTAATTAGACTCAGTAATTAATAGGTAGAGATGTCCAGTCTCTTAAATCTTTAGGGATTGATGATGATCTTCTACCAATAATAAAAGAATAAAAAAATAAATGAATAAAATAAATTAAATTAAATCATAAAATTTTGATACGATCTCTTTTCATTGTTGTTAGTAAAATTTTTTTTAGTAATTAAAGTATTCTTCGACACACCAATTATGTCGAAACTTAAAATAGATTCGATATTTGAACTAACATATCTCTCGATGAAAACATACGTTGATTGGTTTAATATGATCCAATGATAAAAAAAATAAAAAACTTAATTTGGCTTAGAAAATTAGAATTTAAATCGAAATTAATTTGACATAATTAAAATACTTTAGGAGATGAATTGTAGGAACACCTTAGGAGATGAATTCTAGAATTAAGTTAGATGTGATATCTTTCTTAAGAAACAATACTTTTGGGTGACTGATATATTTTCAAAAACATAACTAATTTTTTACCTTGCAATCTTTGAACTAGTATAATTTTTAGATTTTTAGTTCCTATAATATTAAGTGGTGACTCTTAAATCTAATAATAATTCACATCCCAAAATTTAAAAAATATATTTTTTTGAAAACCATATATATATATATTTTTTTTAAAGTCCCGGTCCACATCAAACAGCGACGATGCTTATCAAGGTACTCCACAATTTTTTTGCATTTTTATCTTGCAAGTTGCAACTGTCGCAAGGTGCGGACATCACCCGTCCTCTGAGCTACTCTTATCATTGACCAAGCACAGTACAAAATAATACCAACAATTAAGTTGCATATAGTCAGAAGCCACCCACACACACATTATTATTTTTATTTGATAGTAAAAAATATCTTCAAGCTAAATTGTATGTAAATCGAAAAAATAAATGCAAAGATAAATCGCTTATATTAAAATTTACATAAATTTAAAAAGATTAAATGGACCAAACCTCTTTTAAAATTTATTTAATTTAAAAATCAATCTTTTAATTTTTAATTTTTAATTTTAAGATTTGAAATTTTTTGAATCTTTTTTTTATAGATTTAGTACATCTTTTTATATATATATATATATATATATATATATATAATAACTTCCACATAAATATCTTTACAATGAAAATCATTCAGTAAGGTCTGATGGTTTTTTTTTTAAATTTGAAATTATGCTAAATTATTTTTTTATTTTCTAAATTTTTTAATATTTTAAAAAAAATACTTTTCGATTTTGAAAATTTTAACCCATTTAGCATTTAGTAAATGATTATCAGTACTTACGTAAAGATTTTAACTCAATAAATCAAAAAGTGAAGAAAACTCCTAATCATGTCACATGGCCATGTCACTGTCTTGATTATGTTCTTCTTTTATCTTCCCTTCTAATTGTTAAAAATTTTAGCCTATTTTCTTTTGTAACTGCCTGCTTTTTTCTTAATTGTTAGAAAGTTATCTCGTCTAATTTATTTTGTCATAATTGTCTTGCTTAATTAAAAAATCCATGATTAATATGTTTTTTGGTTCCAGCAAATCACTCAGACAAATAAACTGACAAACCTTTGAAGTGAAATCAAGTTACTAGGCATCTAGCCTAATATGACTTTTGAGTGTAACACAGATATAAAACAAAAATCCCTCTTGATATATAAAAGCGTTCTTGCAAGTTAACGAAATGGTCAAAACAATAACATTGGTTTTAGTGTAATCGCACGATATACTCACAAAAATTAAAGAATTCCATTGATCATTGGTCTTTGCAAACCACATGGACCGGTACATTTAAGTATCCTTATAATCTTCAAAGGTTATAAAAATAAGTACTTGTCCAATTTTTATATTGCTAATTTAGCATATTCACGATATGGGATATGACTAAGTGCAATAAGTTCTTCAATTGACTTCAATTTTGTAATGCTGGACGAGTTTATCTCTGCCATAGCTCCATCAAGTCATACTTAGTTGACCTTATCATAAAAATGGAAGCAAAATATCCAACAATTTAATAATAATAGTTTTGAGTATAATCTGAATATAAACAAGAGAACGTACCCCATTTCATAGCCTCTCCACCTCTACAATTCCTAGACTTCAAAAGGGATGAAGAAATCCAATTTAATATTATTGCTCGTTACACTGCCGACTTTGATGTTACTATCAAGCCCTTGTCATGCTGACAGTAATATGGATTTTGGTTCTTCATGTTCAGGATCTGATAATTCTACCATGGACGGTGAATATCAAAGCAATCTCTTGATTCTACTGAAATCACTTGCTGCAAATGGGCCTATCGAAAATGGCTTCTACAAGACGACGGTTGGAAAAGGTCATAACAAGATTTATGGCCTTGCCCAATGTAGAGGTGATATTTCTGCCATGGACTGTGCAGCCTGCATCAAGAACGCTACCATGGCGCGTGAGATTTCCTGTTCAGATAGTGTGATGGTTACAATGTGGTTCAAATGGTGTTCGCTACGATATTCGAACTTGAAGTTTTTTGGTGAATGGGACGGATTTTCTTTGGGTCTTTCGACAAATGCCACTATCGAAGATCCAGGTGTGCTTTCAAAGCAACTAAAGTTTACAGAAGTGCTTGCTTCGTCGACTCCAAACTGCAGTGTTAGATGGTGGAAAAAGTGGGAAGAGGTATGCCACTGCTCAATGCGCTAGAGATCTCGGCAAGAGAGATTGTGGCAAATGGTTGGATTTTCTATGGGAGAGTCTCGGTACCACAAGAAATCAGAGAGGATGGGGGATTGTTGCGTCCAGTTGTAGCATGCAATACCAAGACTACAAATTTTACTTCAACATTTCAATCCCGGCAAATGAAGGTGAGTTGAGTGAACTCATTGAATGACTTTTTTCAAAAATGTTTTCTAACTAATTCCTGTTCTGATAATAAGCTCAAATTCATATGTGAAACAGGTTCCACAAGATACTCAACACATCAAGTAGCAATTAGCATAGTTGTTCCAGTGCTGGTGCTTCTATTCGTTCTTTAATTAGCCATAAATTGTCTTCTTCGGCCAGATAGAACATGGAGGTTATGATTAAATACAAAATAGAAACTGCTGTTATAGGTATTTACACACATTTGTTTTATTAAATGGTAAATGCAATGTTTCTTTTATGATATAGTAATAGAACCTTGAAAGTAGTTTTTCGCTTATGATCTACTCATGTATATGCTAGCTACTCCCGAAATCAAAAGACAAACTCTAGATGTATAGATAGTGGCAGGTTGGATTTGTGGTGGGACAGGGATCAAAGCCAACATGCTATAATAAATTCATTGATATTGTCTTACACAAAGACACAAGAAACCATGCAAATGCAGACACAGACATCTAAACTCCATGCATTAAGAATTTTAATAAAATATTAGCTACGGTTTATAAAACGATTAAAAGCTGTTCATCTCTCAAATCGCTTGATATAATAAGAAATATCTTTACAAAAGTGGGATATAATCATTTCACCGTAATGCAGGATGATTATGGATTATGATGAGGCAACTGAAAATGATTCTATCCATTAAAAATGCAAATCACATAGGTCTGTATATTTAATTATCCAAGGCAATCTACTTACAAATTAAAAATTATAATCTCCCAAAGTCCCATTACTTGGCCTTTTGTGTCTATCTCCATAGTCTGTACTTCAGGTGATAACTGTGGAAAGTAACCACATGCTTCAACGAAAAGCATCAAACTAGTTTGAATTGACTTTAATGTGTAGGATTAATGGCTAAGTTTACTATTATATAATAATATAATTCTCTATTATATTTTTATATTTTTAATTGAACCAATTTTATTTTTGTGACAAGATTTTTATATCAAATCATTGAAATTAGTCGTGTAATTGTCACATAAATGCCTTTCATTTGTTTGGTTAGCAAGTGTATTTTAAAAATAAAAAATAATCATGTTTAAATCATGTTATTAATTTTAGTAATTTGTTTTGAAAATTTAGCCAAAATGATATACTAAAGCTTAACATATATTAAAAAATAAAATTGACTCAATGATACATATAAAAACAAACTGAAAAATTACTGTATTATGTAAAGACATATTTGTCAATTAATCCTAATTTTTATATTGCTAAGCATATCCATCTGAAGCGTAATTTAAGCACATAATTTGAATTAGATCAATTTTATATTGCTAAGCATATGCATTTATGATTTGAATAAGTGCAACCAGGTTTCATTGACTTCAATTTTATAGTGCTTATAGTGCTAAACACTATTCAATTCAACGAAGACAAGATTACATTCAAAGCATAAGGAGTTGACTTTACAATTGAAAAAGGCAAAAAAAATGCAATGATTTGATTGTTTTGATTATGATATGAACATTAATATATAGAGAACTTAGCCCATTCATGACCTTTCCGCTTGCCTTTCCTTTAGATTCAAGAAAATATGGAGATGTTAATGTTCATTATATTTTCAACTTTGTTGCTGTTATCTAGCCCTTGCCATGCTGACACTAACGAGAATTTCGGTTCGCAATGTTCTGACCCTGATAATGCTACCGATAACAGTGAATACCAAGCCAATCTGAACGATCTACTGAATTCACTTGCCGCAAATGGGCCTATCCGAAATGGCTTCTACACGACTACAGCCGGAAAAGGTGCTGACAAGATTTTTGGCCTTACACAATGTAGAGGTGATATTTCTGCCACAGACTGTGCAAGCTGCATCAAGAACGCTACCATGGTACAAGGTTGCTCAGAAAGTAAAAGAGCTAAGCTTTGGTTTAATTGGTGCTTTCTACGGTACTCAAACAGGAGCTTTTTTGGTGAATGGGATCAATCAGGAATGGCAGCTTACAACGATACCAAGTTTGAAGATCCAAAAGTGGTTTCGGAAGGACTTAACTTCACGAAAGCTCTTGCGTCTACAACTCCGAACCAGCCTTTGATGTTCCTGACCGCAGTACTAGATGTTGGACAAAATGGGAAGAGGTATGGCGTAGCTCAATGCACTAGAGATCTCAGCAGAAGTTATTGTGGCAAGTGCTTGGATTTTCAATTGGTGACATATAAAAACTCAATTGGAAGTAAGAGAAGTTGGGATACGTATGGGTCTAGCTGTAGCATGCGGTACCATGATTACCAGTTCTACTTCAACATTTCAACCCCAGCAAAGGGAGGTGAGTTCTGTGACATTAAACTATTGCTTTTCGAGTCTCTTACTTTGTTGCAAATGTCGGTCCGATTCCTGTTTTTGTCGTAAACTGGAATTTACAGATACTTGTCTCTCGGCAATACTGCAGGTTCTGCAAGATCTTCACCGGCTGCAATTGGCATGGTCTTTCCAGTTCTTGTGTTTCTGTTGGTGTTTTAGCTATTGAATTCCTTTTGTTAATAGATAAATATTAGTAGTGAAATAATATATTCATTTAATTTTACACATTATATATTATTTCTTTCCTTTTTTATTTTTCTTTAGGATGCGTTACGCTATATATATGTTTCATTTATGGTCTAGTTAGCAGTACAACCTTGAAAGCAAGTGGGATTTCTTTTCTATGATGTACTCATGATTGTTGAATTTATGGATTGTATCATAATACTAAAAACGTTAAAGGTTAAAGTTAAAAAGTTTAAAAGATGACAGACCATTATGCAAAGAAATGAATACAATCTTTCATTTCAAAATGATAAAATAACATCAGTAACTTTGTTAGTTGTTATGGAACAATATTATTGTCGATTTTCCCTTTTTTATTTTATGGTTACGGCAGGCTACACTACAAAAAAACTGCTAAATTGCAATGAAAAATGATGATGGATAAACTTCGTCGTTAAATAACAAGCAAATAGTGATATAATATCGTCCGTTAGAACTACCAACGAAATAGAGAGGGGTTAATGATAGTTTATTAGCGAGGGATACCAATCCATCACTAAAGTTGCTAACAAAATACTCTCGAGAGTTTTAGAGATAGTTTAGTGATGGATTTGCTAGGAAATATAGTGATGAAATTGCTTATCCATACCTATTTTTAATGTCTAGATTTAGTGACTAAATATCCATTAATTAAATAAATATCCATCACAAATTAGTGATGGAAGAGTCCGTCACTAAATGTGAAACATTGGGCGGACTTTTTGAAAGTCAAAACCATCAAATTAACGACGGACGCTAACGTCCGTCGCTATATGTTAAAAATGGGTGGCCAACTTTGCCCATTTTTCAATAGATTAGCAACGAAAGTAAATGTTTATCGCTAATTAGCGACAAATCAATGACAATATCGAGTCCGTCACTATTTTTCAATCCCGAATTAAACCCAATTCTTCTTCATCTCCTTCTCCAGCCTAGTCGCCGGTCTCCCTCCCTTCCAAACCATCACCAAACTCCACTCCTCCACTCTCAATCAATCCACACCCACCCCAAGCTCTTTTCTCCTTTCGTTTTTCCTTCCCTACTCTTGGTGTAATTCCACCCGATTTAGGCAAATTTTTTCTCTTTTTTATTTTTTTAATTAAAGTTAGTAATTATTTATAATTTTTAGATTAATTTTAAATTTAATTACTTGATTTATAATTTTATATAAATTTAATTGTTATTTTTTATTTATTTGTTAAATTGTTAATTTTTGTAAATTTTTAGGTTAATTTTTTGATTAATTTGTTAATTTGTTAAATTTTGTTAATTGTTAGGTAAATTTATTAATAAATTTTTATTTAAATTTAATCCAAATTGATTTTTAATTAATTAAGTTAATTTTATTTATGTTTAGTTAATTAATTAGGTTAATTTTGTTTAATTAGTTGAATTTTAATTTTATTTATATTACAAATAGTTAATTAATTATTATTTTAAATTTAATTTGTTAGAATTAGAATTAATTAGTTAATTTGATTTATGTTTAATTAATTAGGTTAATTTTGTTTAATTGGTTGAATTTTAACCTTATTTAAATTAGAAATGGTTAATTAATTATTATTTTAAATTTAATTTCCTTAGAATTAGAATTAATTAAGTTAATTTGATTTATATTTGATTAATTAATTAATTAGGCTAATTTTGTTTAATAGGTTGAATTTTTTTATGTTTTTATATTAGAAATTGTTAATTAATTTTTAGTTTAAATTGAATTAGGTTAGAGTTAGAATTAATTAAGTTAATTTGATTTTATGTTTAATTAATTAATTAGGTGAATTTTTTTTAATTGGTTGAATTTTAATTTTATTTATATTAGAAAATTTTAATTAATTTTTATTTTAAATTTAATTTGGCTAGAATTAGAATTATTTAAGTTAATTTGATTTATAATTAATTAATTAGGTTATTTTTTTTAGTTGGTTGAATTATAATTTTATTTATATTAAAACTTGTTAATTCATGGTTATTTCAAACCTAATTAGGTTATTCAAACCTAATTAGGTTAGAATTAGAATTACTTAAATTAATTAGGTTAATTTTGTTTAATTGGTTGAATTATAATTTTATTCATATTAAAAAATTTTAATTTATTTTTATTTTAAACGTAATTAGGTTAGAATTAGAATTACTTAAGTTAATTTAATTTATAATTATTTAGGTAAATTTTGTTTAATTCGTTAAATTATAATTTTATTTATATCAAAACTTGTTAATTTATTGTTATTTTAACTTAATTAGGTTAGAATTACAATTAGTTAGTTTAATTATTTTGTACATAATTATTGAAGTGTACCGAGATATGTTGTAGTATATCAAACCTAAAAGGTTGGAGACCGTTGGGAATCAAAGAGAGATAAGGTTGGTTCAATGCTCTACGATGGAACCGAGGGGACGAGTTTGATATTTAATTTCGATGGAGCATCGGAGACAATTACCGACCTCGGTGTGTGCAAATTGATTGTTGGTTGATTTAATTTTAATGTTTGTGTGATCATTTAAAGTATCCGTTAATTGAAAAAAGGTGCAATTTTCAAAGGAGACTCGCCATAATTTTGTATAATTTATAATATATTTTTAATCAAAATTTTATTTATTTTTTAAATTTTTTCAAGTGTTATTTTTGAGTTATGCCTCGTAGATTAGACGGATCTAGTTTTAGTACGATGACATGCTTAATAAGCTAAAGTATAAGAGCGACAAACTTGCATTTGTTAAACAGGAGGTATATGAAGCAAGGCACCGAGATTGGGCCACTTTCGAGTATCAAGCCCGATCTCGGCATGTTTCTCGAACCGCATGTTGGAGACGGGTGGTGTTGGTGTTGGCCCATCCAACCATACTCGAAAGGTTTATTTATTTGATTGAGCATGCTAAGCGTTTGGTAAATCCTATATTATTTATTGTGTTATAAATTATTTCTTTCATTTATTGCATCTCATATTATTTTTTTTCATTTTTTTAGCATTATAAATTAGGTCGCAATCTAAATTCTTATGAGTTGTTCATGATCACTCACAAGAGAAAAGATGGGTTATTCGTCTATAGGTGGTCAAAGACAAGACAAATAGTAATGGTTAGATTTTTTTTTTAAATATATCTACAAATATAATCCAAAAAATATATTTATAATTTAATATTATAATTATTTCAATGACATAGAAAGTGTGTGCGATCAATGTAAGAAGCAATTACTAAGGAGCAGACAGGAGGGTGATTCATCGTCTCTAGCTATTGACATGTTTAAGATATATTTAGATGTCGTCGGAGGGAAGAAGAAGCAAAGAGTATATGAAATCGGATCTTATGCATCCTAGTATTACACACATTCTAGTGCTAACTCCTCATCTACTACTTTACGATATTCTAGTGATAATATTCGGGAGGTTTCTACTCGGTATGAAGATAGGATCAAGGGGATAGAGGCTAAAACTCGATAATAGTTTAGTCAAATTAGCACCATACGAGTGTTAGTTGTAGACAATAATGAAGTTGTTATAGAACATGTAGTAGACTCGTGTCCCTTTTACCGACTCTCCCATAATCTAGGAATCAATCATTTCTCATAACATCCAATGACTAGAAGATGATGTAGGAGATGATGATAATGAGAACTAAATTTCTTATTTTTAATTTTTTAAATATTTTTGTACACCATAAAACATTTATATATTTAATTTAATTTAATTTTATTAAATAATGTATCTTATTTTAATAAGATGTTATTTATAATTGTTTATTATTAAAATTAGCAACATACAACTATTGATTTAAAAAAAAATTAAAAATGCCTTCATTTAGCAATGCATTTAGCAATAGAATTGCGAGGGTATTTAGTGATGGAGACATATATGGTCGCTAAATAATTATTGATTTAGAGACAAAATTGCGAGGATTTTGGCAACAATAATTTAGCGGCACCCATTCCATCACTATTTAGCGATGAATATAATTGAAAATAGCGATGACATGACAACGGATATAAGACCTTACGGATGACTATTTTGATCGATTTAATGACAAAATTTTAACAAATCAATGGTAGAAAAAAATTTCAATCGCTAAGGAAATAGCATCTACCATATTAGTGACGGAATTCATAGTCTCTAATCTGTTGCTAATGGTATATGGCGAAGGATTTTTAACATATAGCAACCAAAAAATTTGTCACTATATGCTGAATTTTTGATGTGTGTATTTTCTTGAATTAGGCTTCTATAATTTAGGATGTTGAAACTCTAGAGTAGAGCAAAATCTTAGCATAGTTAGAGCTCTTAGAAAAGTCTTGGCATAGGATCTGGTCCTCTTTTTCATGGTGGTTATAGCTTTTATATAGGTAGCTATAGGAGCAATTTGCATGGCAAAAGGAATAAGGGAGTTATTTTCCTTTAGAATTAGTAAAAGAGCCATTAAATGTTGGTGTTTTACTATTATTGTATTTGATTCTGTAACTATATTAGTGTGATCACGACGAGTTGTGGTTTGATTAATGATATCATTGTAGCTTTTGCATTAAATGTTTTGTTTTTGGGTTATAGTAAATGAATGTATCGTCTTCTTCTTTTGGGTCAGAGCGCCCTAGTGTAGGAGGATTCCAAAATCCTCATTAGGGGTAGTAGGAGTCCTTTGGAGTACTTTGGACTTATTTAATGAATTAATTCTTCTTGGTCAGTTATGGGCCTTAATTGTGCATGATGGGTTTTGAAGTTGCGGGCTCATGAGCCCTTCCTATTAGGATGTGCTGTGAAAGGGCTCCCATTAGGTATAATCTAAGTTTTTGTTAGATTGAGGACGTAATCAAACCTATATAGTAGTTGGAGGGTTCAAAAGTAGTTCGATATATATGAAGAAGGATGAGGAGAACTGAAAAGATTTACAGTCACACAAGCATGTAGAGAGAAACGTACTAAATTCATGAACGCACCAGAATTTCAATCAGAGTATACTCAGTGTAGCTAGTGTTTACAAAAACAAACCATTCTTAGCTACAAAACATATATGCAATAAGCGATTTAATAAATTTCTTAACTACTGAGAAACACTAGCTGTAGATTGATCAGATGCAAGAAAACTGTCCCCAGATGTTGAAGTTTGATGCGACAGGATAGTAGTAAATTTAACCACAGAGTTTGGAGCTGTTGATGGTAGGGGAAGAATTACAGCATTACTTCCGAGCATGAGAACAACTAATGACATGGTTGGCCTTTGTGCTGGGTTATCTTGAACACACAGCAATGCAATATGGATCCATCTCAGAGCCTCGCTTATTGGACAAGAATACACTATATTCCTGCCTATCAACTCCTCACCTCTTCCTTCATTCCACAGCTGCCAGATCTGCTCAGGGTACATAAATTTTCAGGATCCGAGAGATTTTATATATGTTAAATTGATAAAAGATGCAATAAGGAGAGAGTTTTTACATGTAAGAGAAAGCCTTGGGATTGATCTGGGCTGTAGAATCCTCTGTTCTTTTCACCAGTAATGATTTCTAACATTAGGATTCCAAAGCTGTAAACATCTGACTTCGTTGAAATAATTCCCTCTAGTGCATATTCTGGTGCCATGTATCCACTGCACAAGAAAAACACTTCACTTACATTATCAAATTGAGTGAAAGACAGTAAAGATTAATTAACAGATGATACTAGCTCATTATTTATTGGAATTAATATGAAGGAAATTGACTTACAATGTGCCAACAACTTTGCTAGTGTTGGCTTCAAGTTGATTCCCTCCAAAAATCCTCGCAGTGCCAAAGTCTGATATCTTTGGGTTCATCTGATCATCCAACAAGATATTGCTTGCTTTCATATCACGGTGTATGATTTTTAGCCTAGAGTCTTCATGTAGATATTGAAGGCCCCTCGCTGTTCCTGATATAATATTTGCGCGCTTTGCCCAGTCGAGTTCCCTACTTTTCTTTGGATCTGTCTTCCCAAAAAAAAAAAAAAAAATGAAAAGGGAACTCCTTAAGATGGGAGAAATTTACCTTAACGAACAGAAGGATTAGCAGTGGGTGACTGAACTACATTTTTTCTCTTGTGTAGTCCTCATATCCAAGTTAGCTACTCAAGCGAAGCAGAGAAACTATGGATAAACAGTTGCATACATACATTTCCCTTTAGAAAAAAGAAAAAAGGGGAAATTAAAACACTGAGCAGGGTTTGAGAGGGATAGAGAGCAAACCAAACAGAAAGGCATCAAGGCTAGTGTTTGCCAGGTACTCGTAAACAAGAAGCTTTTCATCTCCCTCCAAGCAGTATCCCAATAGCTTTACAAGATTTTTGTGCTGAAGTTTGGCAATGACCATCACTTCATTTCTGAATTCTTCAAGACCTTGGTTTGATGACATGGAAAGCCTTTTGACCGCTATTTCTTCTCCATCAGGAAGCTTTCCCTGAAGTTTTGAAGTTCAACTATTATGAACATTTGGTGTTGAATACTAGCCGATTACAGAAAAAGAAAAAGTTGTGATTCGAACCTTGTAAACTGGGCCAAATCCTCCTTCTCCAAGCTTATTTGCATCAGAGAAACTGTTTGTAGCTAACCTTATGGTTGTCAAAGTAAAGTAATGCATCTCTTCACCATTGTCATGACCGGTTAAAGGCAATCCTCCTTGTTTCGGATGCTTGTGACTTGAGTTTCCTCGTAATAGAATTTCTTGGCTTCTTTCCCTCTCTTGAATAACAAATTACATATTAAATTCAGTGGCAATTTCACTTCAAAGATCCTAGTAAAAGCTTAATTAAGTAGACATATGTCGTTTATCTACCTGTTTGTCTGCGCCCCCTCCTGTGAAAATACCAGAACACCAAGAGAGCTACAGCTACTGCTAATGATGATACAACAGTGGGAATCACAATCTTTAACGTATTGCTTCCCCCTCTCCTCCTGCCATTGCATGAAATTAGCATGAATAGCTATCAGAAAAAGAAGAAGGTATTTCTATCAAATGAAATATGAACAGTCAAAGTCTATCTGAGTTCCTGGTTAAGGAAAATGTACTGTCCGTACTTTTCTGTAGCATCTAGAGTTTCCTATCGCTACATGTCTATCTACATAAATCCTGACCTTAGATATATCTAATAAAATCAACACCACGGATCATAACACAAGTTTGGTGTCAGATTGCATCCATTATCAGTAGTGAGAACATAGGAAAATTGCAGCAGACCCATTAACAGAAAAATCCAGCAGTTACAGGATCACAGCGGTATTTTGCAGAGGCAGAATTATGCAAAGATTGTAAGGGGCAGCAAAGGTACAAGACCAAATTGGCAGAAATCCACCAAAAAGTGATAGCAGAATCAGTGAAAATCATTGCAGTAGACGCAGAAAAAGAAAATATGCAGCCGTTTAAAAAGTCCTCATAGCTTAACATCATCAAATTTCTCTAAGCCACCCAGGAAAATATTAGCCTTCCATCTTTGAAAAATGTAACCATTTCGTTTTACACAACAGTTCAGTGGATTAGGTACTCCTTGGTGATTCTTATGTCAAAAAGTAGCCTGCTAAAACAGAAACAAATAATAGGGAACAAATATATGGCCTAAACTACTTATTTACCGATTCTAATTCAAAAAGGGTAAGTGAAATTCAATTTCAAAAGAAAAAAAAATTCAACTATTCAACTTTGTACAACAGGTGAAATGACCAGGACCCTAATTTCTTCACAACCAAGTTTTCGTATTTGACTCACCATTACCGGGCTTTGCCTCTGACCCTGGCTCTGGGGCTGCAGGCACCGTTCCTGGTGGTGTAGATGACAGCTGATAGAATGGGTATTCCTCATACCTTAAACTGCAACTCGGGGCCAAAATACGCCAACCTACCTTGGCTTGGCAACATTCTGTCACAGCATCCCCTAACATTCCCAAACATGAACTACAATCACTACTATTAATATCTCTACTACACTGCACCAAAGCATATCTATTTTGGGACCCATCAGGAACTGCTGATTGATTAGTCCCAAACATCGTATTGGTATATGGAACATAATCTATTAGCGTGTAAATCAATCCGAGTGCTCCAAAATTCTGTTCATCAGGTGAAGTAGTATTCTTGCTATTCCACATGAGAACTCTTGGATAAGTCTGATCAACTCCGAGAAAATTTCTATTTGAGTAACGTAGCATGCACTCATCGTACCAAATGATTGCAGTCCTATTAGAAGAACAACGTTGTCGGATGTCTTGAGTAGCATTGTTAACGCAGGTTTGGCAAGTATTACTTGAAACATCACCCCTGCAAAGGTATAGACTGTAAATACCATTAGAACTGTCTTCATAGAAGCTGTTCAGGGAGGCCTTGGAAGATAAAGAACTTAAGAGGGTGCTAAGGTTTGAAGTGTAAGTAGCATTTGCTGTGCTATTTTGAGAATCTGAACAGATGTGGGAACTGTATGTTGCTTGGCAATCAATAGAGCCGATAAGTGTAACAATTGTGATCAGAAGTGAAATAAAAGGTGTGGGATTATGTAGAAGAAACATAATTTTCTTCAGGATTAATTTGAAAGAAAATGGGTCAAACGGAGATATGGTTATGGAATGGATTTGATCAAGTAAAGACAAGATTTTTTTTTAAAATTTTTTTTGTGAGATCCGGCCGTGTAGGTCAGAAATGAAACATCATCGGTTACTACCAAAGTTATTCGCAATAATATAAAAAGTAGATGCAGGCATGCAGCTACCTTTGACATATTCTAGTCATAAAATGTTTCAAAAATTTGTCTAAACACGTATGGCAACATCTTGTTGGCTTGTTTCCCTGTTGAAAGTTTCTTTGCCATATGATATTTTGCTGTGGCACTGAAGTCAAGAAGTTGTAGAAGCGGAGAAGGTACCAATTGTCCCTTTCTGACTAGTGTTTTTAGTCATGTACAGGAGGGTGTTAACTTCTGTAGGCTGAGTTTTCAATAGGGTATAAAAAAAGAGAAAGAAAATTCTAATCTACAAAGAGGTGGTAATTTCAGCTGCAATTTTGAGAACCCAAAAGTAAACCAACATACCCATAGATTAATTGGAATCCATGACCCAAAGGTATTGAATTTTGAAGCCCCCAGGAGACATAATCAACTTTGCTTACAAAACCCAAAGCCTATTCAACTGTCTAATGATGTTGGTGAATGTTTTTTCAAAATAATTTTTGGGTTGAAAAAAGACGAAATTAATGCTTAGATAGTTTTAACATCATCGTCTCAAACCATCGAAAAGCATTAAAAAAAACTTCAAATTTATTGTTTTTTCAACTGAAAAATTTGCGAAACATGCAGAGACGATGGCTAGAATGAGGGTATTTGTAGGCTCTTCCTGACATTCAAGGCATAAAGTTTATTCGTTTGGCTATGAACTTGTGCCTTGGTGCCTGTGAGCTAAGACGGAGAGGTGGCTCGCTTAGACCTTGGAGGCTGGGGTTTTCACTCATGGCCTCTTGAAGACTCAAATCGCCAACTTTGGCCCAATAATTGAGAAAAATTGCAAGCCTAAAATAGTAAGAACAGGAATATGAAATGAGGGTATCGAGTATTTCAATAGATTGGGTTATTAAACAATTCAAGCCCAAATTACATTTTATTCCATAGGCCAATTCAAGAAAAAAATAAATTTGATTCAGCAGCCCAAAAATTCAGCAGAATACCTGGGCTTCACCCTTTGCTTAATTTCTTCTTCTTCTTCTTCTTCTTCTTTTTTAATACATCCGTGCTTCATTATTCAATAATAATGTTTGTTTTAACTTTTTTTTTAATCTAAATATGGTGTATGATAACTGTATGCTATTGAAAGTTAAAATAATTAATAAAAATTTGAAAATTATTTTAAAAAATTGATTTCATATTTTTATCTACTAGCTATTTTGCATCCCTCCCGACGGGCTAGCAGAAAACCTTGGCTTGATCCTTTGCTATTGTTTTTCTTCCCCTGAAATGGGTTATACTATCGTCCGTCCTCCTACTCTGCTACTCATCCTCTTTCTTTCTTCAGAATTTTAGCTTCTACGTATAAATACTCCATGAACCATCAACCGTTTTGATTGGCATGCATCTTTTATATATATATATATATATTCTTTTGATTTTAAAATTTGAAATATTGGTTGTTTGCATTAATTAGCATCCTTCTATTTGGTTTTGGTGGCTATTGGAATGGAGACTGCCATCAAGTATAAGTTTTGGCCGATGCAAGTTTAATCGTACCAATTTTAAAACTCAACCATCACTGAATTCGAGTGCTTAAGGCTTGAAAAAATCATATCAAAAAATTAAAACTATAATTTTTTAGTTTGATTGTTTCAGCTTAAAAATGGATTATTATATTGAAATATTGTTTGTGAAGTTGAAAGCATTATTTTTGTAATATCCTTGAAAAAAACCTTCTGAATAATTATATATGTATGTATGGAAGGAGAAAATAATTTAGAATTTATTTGGAAAGCATGGATGATTAATTGTTGAGATAAAGAATTTTTGATATTTAATTGAATTATTTTTAGGGAGGAAATTGTAAAGGTTAAAGGTTTAGCTATTTAATTTAAATAATGATGAGAGTCAAGAGATCAATATTAATTTGGAAATCACCTTAAGTGAGGGCTAGATTGTTGTAATTAAAAGTGAGGAAGCCGAGTTATAAGGGTATAATTGAATTGACTTATATAAGTTAGGGACCAAAGTGAAAACTTTTGGAAAAATAGAGGGCCATTTAAATGAATTAATTCAGCTGGAATTTTCCTCTAGAAATTCATATAGAAATTGAAATTTTGGACTGGGTCATTTGGCCAAGAAACAAGAAGAGGAGAGGAAAAAATGCCAAGGAAGGAAGAGAGAGATAGAAGAAATTAAGCTAACCCTAACCAAATTCCACCCATAAAACCTTATTAGAAGACCCAAGGAAGTAAGCACAAGGAGAGGAAATGAAAGGAATCTTGGTTGAAATCAAGATGAAGAAGAAGGAAAAATTTTGCAAGGATCAAACAAAACGAAGCATTAAGGATAATTGGATAAGTGTAACTTCAACTCACCACGAGATTTAGAGTTTGTATGTGTAGATTTTGAGATTTTTATGCTTATAAAACCTAGGGTTTCTAATTGAGCATTTAAATGAATATTGTGCAATTAATGCTTGAATTGTGAAATTGATGGATGACTGACTATTGTAATGTTATGGCAAGTATTTAATTGATAATTGAACATTGTTTTGATATTGGGTAAGTAATTAATTATTGTGGTTGTGAATTAGGAATTTAGGGATTTATGTTTAAATTATGTGATAGTATGTGATTTGTATGATTGGTGATTTGTTGGTAGAATTGAGTGATTGAATAGTAGAAGGAGAAACTTAAGGAATGGGTTCATTAATTGGGAGGAACCATTCAGCTAAGATTAGAAAGAATAAGGGAAGATTGTGTTATAGGAAATTGATGCAACTAAGGTGTTTGATAAAATATGTAAATCATGTTTTGACTTGAAACTAAAGAGGAAATTGATGGAATTGAAAAGCTAGTTAGACTTGATATATTCGACCAACTAACAAAGTAGAGTGAAATTTGTATGCGTATGCATTATGGATTAAACGATGATTAAGTAAGATTAAGTAATAATGTTGATATATAAGACCATTGGCCAAGTCCCAAAATAAGGGTTTGTTGAATTGGATGGTTAGACCATGGAATCTAGAGACTTTAATCTTGATTAGTTGGAGTTAAATGCAATGAAATGAAGAATTAAGAAAGTTTATCTTGGGAAGTAGATTTAGGCTATTAACCCTAATTGACCTAAAGACTAAGTTAATTGAATTTCATGAAAGATTAGAATTAAACATAATAAGATGCATTATATGGATTGAATTATTGAGAAAAATGTTTATTAGATAATGGATGAAACATTCGACCAAGAGAGGAACATTTGAATTGTTGCCTCGGGCTTCATGTTGTGTTGGATTGTAATGAATATATATGGTTAAGGATGAATAGAAGTGAAATGGCTTGGAAATGATTGTGTCTATGTTGTGTATTGTTATGGCCATATTCAGCCAAGAGTGAATTTCCTAAAGTTAAGGTTCTTATAAGATTTTATGATAGATTCGTGCCTTTTTATGAAATTTTATTGGGAATTTGAGATTGATGAAAATGATTGGTCGAGTCATTGTTGTGTGTTTTTGTTGACAAAAATTATGAATCATACTTCGAAATCCTTTCAAACATGTTTTGGAGGTAAAAGAGTGCATAACGAGAGAAGAAAAACACACCCACAACCATGTGTGTGGTGGTGACACACGACTAGAAGCAAAACCACATGGCCATGTGTCTTTAAGTGCTTCATCTTACATAGGTCGATTTGGTTTTCTTGAGTAATCAATTTAAATGGACTAGATATATACCAAATTAGAGTTTTCTTCCTTTATAAAATTGTATCTCTATCTTTTAGATTTCCAAAAGATTAATTCTTGAATCATTTAGAGATAGACGAGCTTCAATTATGGGCTAAATACGCCAATTACTCGGCTTGTCTACCCGAGCTTTAGGATTTGAGTTTCGTTGTTAAATTCCTCCATCGGACCAACCTAGTTTAGGCTCGAAGACCTTTACAAGAATTGTAGGTATGCTTTTTAAGTATTTCATGGGCTTGGCCTTGCACCAATTGGGTTTTTGAAGCTCTAGATATGAATTAAGTGCCACAATCAATCTAGATTCTAAATAGAATTTGGATTAGTTTTCTACACCGAATACAAATTTATGGTTTTGCTAAATATAGAGTCTTTAGTTGAATGATATAGAGGGCAGAGTTGATGGAGGATGGTTCAACCTAGGTAGGCTTAATGGAGAATTCCATAATTGTGTCTTGTGATAAATTCGACTAATGGCCAATGAATTATTTGAGGTTGCTATGGCTTAATGGGTTTGAGCTAAGGAAAATAATTGAGGTGGCCCATATTATGTTCATTGTAAGTTTTGGCTTGATGTCGAATGATTGTATGCTTGGGGTGCCCTGTGAGGGATTAGACCATATGCTCGTTTTAGATGATGTTCATGAATCATTGATGATATATGAGTTGTGTTCATGGTTGTTTAAGCCTAGATAGTTTCGGGCTTATCATGTCATGTTAATTTATTCGTGGTTAGTAGGCTTGATGATATTCGATCTTGTTACATCATGTGGAATGTATTTAGGAATGGCTTAATGACATATGATTTATGTTTATATTTATGCTTGATATTTCATTCTAATTGCATTCACGTCATGAAGTGTTTTATGTCATGATTTCAAGTATTCAAAGATGCATTTATGTCATGAAAATGTTTAAGCATGATTTCAAGTATTGCAAAAGAACTCATGTTCATGTTTCAAGATAGACTTGCAAAGAGAATGATCTAATGTATACTATTTACAATACATACAAAGGAAATGATCTCGGTGGTACTCTTTATATATTTTAAAACAAGGCATACTAAGAGAATGATCTACTCGAATAGTCTTAACATGTAGAGGAAATGATCTAGTGTATATTCTTGATGTGATGGCTCATAAGAGAATGATTTAGTGTATTCTCTTCGTAAGGATGATAAGAAATATATTTCGGAATCATGGATAATAAATGGTTTTATAACCTGGTTTCAAAACCTAATCATTTATTTTTTTGCTATTTTTAATTTTGTTTTAAGAAATAGAAAAGAAAAAATAAGTAAAAAAATTATGAGAAGATTGATGAGAAGAGGATATATTTTATAAAATAATAAAAAATTAAATAAATCGTGGTCAACACTCGGTAAAAAAAATTAAATATTTAAGTTTTGAAACCAAGATGACTAATTAATTTGTTTCTAAAAAAGAAAGGGATTAATTTATAATTTACTCTTAATACTCGTCCAACCACATAAACAACCCATTATGAATCCACAAAGTCTACTTTTTTTATGTAGCCCAAAGTCAAAATAAACAATCCAAATATCATGCATAAAATTCAACTTTCTTATTCATCGGTTTGTGTAAGGTATTCAGCGAATAAACATATAGCAAAAAACTTCATATTTTGCTGCAGTCCTTTGAAAACACAAAGGAATATATCATTATTTTACAACGGATTCTACCAACAAACCGATTCCCATAAGCACACTGACCGAATTCTTCGTCAAACGAGTGGGCTAAAACCAAGACTTTAGCTCCGTAATTTACTGAGTATTGGACAGGGCCGTTAATTTCAACATTAATTGATCTGTTTAAGATGATTTCTGGTTATGTTGACGTTTAAAGGTTTTGTTGTTCTATGGTAAAAGGCTTTAGTTGTATTGGTGTTGATTCTTCTTGCCCCATGGTACAGTCTATGAAATATGCAGGTCTTGATGGTACCGGAAGAACGAAAGAATAGCTAGTAAGCATCAGAAGAACTGAATCCATGGTTGGTCTATCTGCTACACGATCTTGAACACATAGTAACCCGATATGGACACATCTGATGAGCTCATCACTTCTTGAAGCAGCCCTTAACAAGACAGGGTCTACCAAATTTAAAGCTGTCCCTTGATTCCAACTGTCCCATGCCTGCAAGAAATTTAAAATGTGCAGATATCTTTCAAATTTCAATGCCATTTTATAACGAAAGCACAAAGGGAAAAATAATTCTAGTGAAAATTATATTACTTACACTAGTTAGAAGGTATTCTTGAACCTCTTCATTATTCGAAGAACTATTTTTTCGACCAGTGATAATCTCCAAAACTAATACGCCGAAGCTAAAAACGTCAGATTTAACCGAGAAGTGTCCATGCAATGCGTACTCTGGAGCCATATAGCCACTGAAGTGGTAAATTAACAAATTTTAGTTGAAACGGTATGTATTATGTGCACTTGGTATTCAGTATTCGCCACTCTTTCATTATTGGTAGAAATTAAACTTACAAGGTTCCTGCGATCCTAGAAGCAACATGTTGCGTTTGATCAATTTCAATTAACTTTGCCATTCCAAAATCTGAAATTTTAGCATTCATTTCTCCATCTAACAGAATGTTACTAGCCTTGAGATCACGATGGATAATCCGGAGCTGAGAATCTTGATGAAGGTACAGAAGTCCTCGAGCTATGCCCTCCATGATTTTGTAGCGCATCTCCCAACCTAAGAGTAAACGCTTGTTTGGATCTGCAAGTTCATAAAATCACAAAGCTTGAGGGAATTGTAGAAGACTTGCCTGGAATTAACTATAAGTTATTCTTTTGCAAACGTTCATTTGTCTTGATCACTGAACAATAAGGAACAAGTTTAGTAATCTATTGAAACAAGCATTGCAATTGTTATTGATCTTAAGCGAATCTAGATTTAAGGATTACCAAATATGAATGGTTCGAGACTTGAATTAGGCATAAAATCATAGATTAGAAGCTTTTCTGTTCCTTCCAAGCAGAACCCCAGTAACCTGACTAGATTCCTGTGCTGAAGTTTCGCTATTAACCTGACTTCATTCTTAAATTCAACTTCTCCTTGCCCAGAATTACTTGATAGCCTCTTTACAGCTATAGTTTGTCCATCTGCAAGTGTACCCTGAAGCATATATCCGTCGGAAAAAGAAAATAAGTACACAAAACATTAAATATCAATTAAACTTCATGGTTCTTATTTTGTATACAAACTTGGGATAATTTCTTTACTACTTGTTAACACTAACGTACCTTATAGACAACACCAAATCCACCTTGTCCAAGCTTATTATCATCGGAGAAGTTGTTCGTTGCAAGTCTGATGGTGGAAAATTTCAATTGCCAGCATTCGGTGCTGCTATTTTCATCGATATCTTCACAAAATGGAATAAGTTAATGCTTATACAAGTAAGCATCACTAAATTAATTTACTCTACAAAAAAGGTGGCATATCAGTCCTTACACTTATCATGTTTTGTTTTCAAAGTTTGTAGGAGTTATGAAAACAAAATTATTAGGTGAATTTGTTTCAAATTTAACGACCCCTAGCTGTTGTTATGCAAGGGCCAATAAAGAATAACTTACTTTTTACCTCTTTCTTTGGCTTCCTAAAACGGAAAATGGTGAAAGTAGTTAGGATAACAAGTGCCAAGAAGATAACTGTTGGGATGACGGTGACAATAACTGTCCGAGAAGCAGTATTCTCCTTCTCTGCCAAGCACAACAATATTTCATATACAAATTACAGAAGCTGAATTGTAACACTGTGAAACGGACGAAATAATCTTAGTACAGGAAAACAAGCTAGCCTACCTTTCTTGACTGTGGTATTAGTTGGTGAAGGAGAACTAATAATAAATGGAGGAGATGGAGATGGAACTTCAGGAAATAAGTTGTAGAAGGGATACAAATCCCACCGTAAAACACAGTTTGGTTTCTGTACATAACCTCCTTGCTTCCCGTAGCAACAACTTTTAAAGTTGGCTACTGATTCTTGCAGGCAATAGCTGCAACTACTCTGTGATATATCAGGAGTGCACTGCATAAATACATAAATTTTTTGAGTGGATGTCAAGTCTGCTGTCTCAGCTGCAAACTTAAGCCTGCTGGAAGAGCCCATGGAAGCTCTTGTTACGGTTTCCGCCATCAAACCACTCCAGATTTGACCAAACTGTGTCAGATTTGTTTCCAAGTTACCCAGATTAAATCCAGCGTCAGTAGGAGATAGCGCAAGTGATCCAAAAAAATAACGATTGGCGTAATGTACAATGCATGGAACAGGATCCCCTCCCCATGAAATTGCTTCTTTTTGGGCAGGACATGCTTCTATGAGACTTTGAATAGCAGAATTGACACAGCTCGAACAATCTTGAGCTGATGGGTCTGACATACAAAGAACAAGACCATAAACTGTGTCATTGCCAAAGCCTATCGTCGTATTGTAGAATCCCCTATTGGCTGTGACATTGGAAGCAAGTGAACGGAGAACTAGGTCTCGGTTTTTTGCATAGGTACTATTGGATGTAAAGTTTCCTGTGGTATAACAAAACGAAGCATTGGTAAGATTGACCATTACGGTGACAGCATAAAAAAGAAGATGAACCGTAATTTTGGAACCCATTCCGTAAAATGAAATTTAAACTTTCATTCTCAATTTCTTCAAATCAATAGTGGCTTCCAGGTATAAATCTTCTTTTCAACGAAAGGCTTCACCTCAAAGTAGGCCGCCTTTTAGTTTTATGGCACAAGTAGTGGGGTGGTAAATGATCGCTATCACTGTGTCAGGTGGCGTCTTTAATTACTGTTGGTCCAACATTTGACTGCTTAATTGCCTTGAAAAGAGAAGAAGAAGAAGAAGAAGATTGATCTACCCCTTTTCCGTAAAATCAAGATGTTCAAAATTCTACAAAGACTTCGTGGAAGACTTAAAACAGATTGGCTATGACTGGTCAAAACAAAATTGCCAATAGACGATTCAGTCACATACAACTTCTTGTTTGGTTTGAAGGCCTGTCTACCTGAATTAATATCCATGAAGAAAGACGGAATTGTTTGTTGACTTCCACATAAAGATTGGACCTACAAGATGACCTACACTAGTGTTGGAAATTCAAAACTTGGAATTCGTTGGAGTAACAGAACCGTGTCATTAATGGTCACCGTAAGCAACACGTTAGAGAATTTCTGAATCATTAATAAACCTAAAAATTATGGAAACTAGAGAAATAAGAAGTTAATTGAGCCCAACATTTAATTCTGACCCAACATTGGATAAATGTCCAATGAGAATAGATGCGGGGGTTAAGGAAAATAAGTATTTTTTTTTTAATTGAAACAATTTTTTCTCGATTTTTGATAGGAGCTTCAATATTGAGGATATTGATAAAACTTACATTTATTTAATTTATTATTTTATTTTTAATAAATCACTCAGACATTCTGACAATAATAAATTTTTTCACTAGTAAACCCATCCTCTTAACCAGTTTTTTTGTTTCATAAAATTTATCTGTCATACAATTATGAGCTGATCATCGATTTCTTAATCAACTCATATAACTAGTCGAAACATTTTTCAGGAAAACAATACTTAGCTTTTAGATTCACCATTCGAGCAACTTAAATTTTTGTGTTGAATTGGTAAAAATTTCCAATATATAAAAATGTGCAGAATCCATAACCATTATCGAGGATATAACTCTGTAATTAGAGCCTCATTTTCCGACAATGGGATAGCCTCAGATAGAGAGTGCGAATTATGTTCCATTGTAGAAGAAAAGGCTAATTGATTATATGTACTTCTGCTCATAAAAAAAGCTGGTTGAGAAGATGCTTGCAAAGAAAGAGAGGAGTTGCTTAGCATCAGAACTACTGAAGCCATTGTCGGCCTGTCAGCTACATTTTCTTGAACGCACAGCAATCCAATATGGATGCATCTCATCATTTCAGTTGTTGAGCCACTCCTCAAAATGGGATCTATAAGCTCTAAAGCAGTCCCTTCCCTCCAATGTCTCCATGCCTACAAAATGTATCCAAAGTGATTTCACAATATTGAAGAGCAGATTTCCCAAGAAAATATCGTTCCATAATCTGTTTGATATGTAGATATTGGTACTTACATGGCTCATAAGGTGCTCTATGTTATCTCCATTGCGGAATCTATTTTTCTGACCACTCAAAATCTCAAAAACTAGCACGCCGAAGCTAAACACATCTGACTTGACCGAGAACTGTCCTGTCCTTGCATATTCGGGAGCCATATAGCCACTGGAAGGGTAAATTAACTAATCTTAGTTGCATTGGTGTGGATAATGAGAACTCATCATTCACCCCTCTTTCATTATTGCTATAAATTAAACTTACAAGGTTCCTGCGATCTTAGATGCTGCATCTTGCGTTTGATCAGTTTCCATTAACTTTGCCATTCCAAAATCTGAAATTTTAGCATTCATGTTTTCATCTAACAGAATGTTGCTTGCCTTGAGATCACGATGAATAATCCGGAGCTGAGAATCTTGATGCAGGTACAGAATTCCTCGAGCTATGCCCTCTATAATTTTGTAGCGCATCTCCCAATCTAAGAGTAATCGCTGGTTTTGATCTGCAAGTTCATAAAATGAGAGCTTCATGAATTGAAGAAAACTTTTCTAGAATTTAACTTATAATTCTTTTAAAAACATGCATTTATAGAAAGGTAATTTGGAATTCAGGATTACCAAATATAAATTTGTCAAGACTTGAATTAGGCAGAAACTCATAGATTAGAAGCTTTTCTGCTCCTGCCATGCAGTACCCCAGTAACCTAACCAGATTCCTGTGCTCAAGCTTGGCTAGTAGCAGGACCTCATTCTTAAACTCAACTTCTCCTTGTCCAGAATTAATTGATAGCCTCTTTACGGCTATAGCTTGTCCGTCTGCAAGTCTACCCTGAAGCATATATCCATGAAGAGGAAAAAAAAAAAAAAAAAAACCTGAAAAATTAAGTACTTCTATGTGAAATATGAATTAACCTTCAAGGTTATTAAAAACAAAATTGATACCATTTTGTTTCTACTTTTTATACTAAATTACCTTATAAACAGCACCAAATCCACCTTGTCCAAGCTTATTATAATCGGAGAAGTTGTTTGTTGCAAGTTTGATGGTGGAAAATTTGAATTGCCCGCATTTTTTGCTGCTATTTTGGTCGAAATCTTCACAAAATGGTAGTTATTGTTTTGTTTCCAATGTTTGCAGGATGTTTGAACAAAACAAATTATTAAGTGAATTTGATAGCTGTTAGTATGTCAGAACCAATAAAGAACTTACCTTTGACCTCTTTCTTTGGTTTCCTAAAACGGAAGATGGTGAAAGTACTGAGGATAACAAGCGCTAAGAAGATAACTGTTGGGATGACGGTAACAATAACTGTCTGAGAAGCTTTACCCTCCTTCTCTGCCAAGCACAGCAGTATTACAGAAGCTGAAATTGGAACACTGCCAAACAAATGAAATAATCTTAGTACAGGACATCAAGTTAGCTAGCCTACCTTCCCTGATTGTGGTATGGCTTGGTGAAGGAGAACCAATAACAAATCGAGGAGATGGAGATGGAGATGGAGATGAAACTTCAGGAAATAAGTTGTAGAAGGGATACAAATCCCACCGTAAAACACAGTTCGGTCTATTGACATAACCTCCTTGGTGCCCGTAGCAACAATTTTTGTAGAAAGCTACTGATTCCTGAAGGCAATCGCTGCAATTACTCTGTGATATATCAGGAGTGCACTGCATAAATACATAAATTTTTTGAGTGGATGTCAAGTCTGCTGTCTCAGCTGCAAATTTAAGCCTGCTGGAAGAGCCTATGGAAGCTCTTGTTACAATGTCTGTCGTTAAAATACTCCAAATTTGACCAAACTGTCTCCAATTTGTTTCAATATTATATCCAGCGGCCCCTGGAGACAGCTCAAGTGATCCAAGAAAATAACGATTCGCATAACGTACAATACATGGAACAGGATCCCCTCCCCATGAAATTGCTTCTTTTTGGTTAGGACATTCTTCTAGAAGACCTTGAATGGTAGAATTGACACATCTCGAACAAGTTTGAGCTGATGGGTCCGTCATGCATAGCACAAGACCGTAAACTGTGTCATTTCCTAAGCCTATCGTCGTACTGTAGAATCCCCCATTGGCTGTGACATTGGAAGCAAGTGAGTGGAGAACTAGGTCTCGGTTTTTTGCGTAGGTACTATTGGCTGAAAAGTTTCCTGTGGTATAGCAAAACGAAGCATTGGTAAGATTGACCATTACGATAATAACATAAAAAAGAATATAAACCATAATTTTGGAACCCATTCCATAAAATGAAATATAAACTTCCATTCTCAATTTTTTCAAATCAATAGTGGCTTCGACGTATAAATCTTCTATGCAACGAACGGCTACACCTCAAAGTAGGCTGCCTTTTGGCTTTATGGAAAAAGTAGTGGGGTGGGAAATGATCGCTATCACTGTGTAAGGTGGCGTGTTTACTATTGGTCCAATATTTGATTGCTTAATTGCCTTGCAAAAAAGCAAAAAGAAGAAGAAGAAGAAGATTGATCAAGCCCTTTTCCGTAAAATCAAGATGTTCAAAATTCTACAAAGACTTTGTGGAAGACTTAAAACAGATTGGCTATGACTGGTTATGACAAAATTGCCAACAGACGACTCAGTCACATGCAACTTCTTGTTTGGTTTGAAGACCTGTCTACGTGAATTAACATCCATGAAGAAAGACGGAATTGTTTGTTGACTTCCACATAAAGATTGGACCTACAAGATGACCTACACTAGTGTTGGAAATTCAAAACTTAGGAAGTCGTTGGAGTGACAGAATCGTGTCATTAATTATCACGGTAAGCAACACGTTAGAGAATTTCTGAATCATTAATAACCTAAAAATTATGGACACTAGAGAAATAATATGTGATCAAGCCCAACATTTAATTCCAATCCAACATTGGATCCATGTCCAATGAGAATAGAGAAATCTATAAAGTTGTTATACATCTCTTGATGAGCAATTCGTAGGCTACAGACTCTTAAATCACGTGCACAAATAGACAAGTACAAAAGATAACAACCGAATAAACAAGAAATAAATTGATGGCTTGTAACTAAGAAATAATGAGGAATTAATATCAATGGGTGTTATGGAATTTTTTATGAGAGATTTAATTAAGATAACTTTGAAATAAAAAAATTATGAAATGATTGAAAAACAGTATGCAAGATAGTCTATTTCCTAAACTCTAAATTAGATGACTAAAATCATTAAACAAGGTTAATCTACTATTAGTTCTAGAAGAAACATTAGCACATCTTACACTAAAATGCAATGACCTAAGAATCCTTCGAGAAGGATTCTGAGGCTGCACAATTGGAATGCAACTATGTGAAAAATATAATAACTGAAACTAATATTAAACACTTGACAACAATATTGCAATTCAAAACATAAATTAGCTTCTATATATTAGCAACAAATATGTGAATTACAAATTGCAAGATTGAATAGAAACTGAAATTGATAAGTACTGAATTAAAAATCTTTACAAACAACAATAACTTAGGAAATATAAAGACTTATAAACATAGAAACCGATGAATCGATACTAATTAGAACTCTAAACTTTAAGAGAGAAGATTTATGTGTGTTGTAACAAAAGTGACAATCGAATAAAAAATGATCTATCAACCTATTGTTATTGTTAGCTTGATTACTATCTACAAACTATAGCCTATTATGTTTCACGTGTTGAAACGATTTAAGAGATAATGTTGATAATTTACAGAAATATTATTGTTATATTATGTTTGTTGTGTCATGTTTTTTTATTGTAGTTGATATTTATAGTCTATCCATCCTTCTACATCCTCTTTTATTAGTTACATTCTTGAATTGCAATGCTCCATAACTTCCTTCTTTAGGTGGCAATGCTTTATATTTGCCTTACGCTGCAATATTTCATGTTTTTTGGTATTTCTACTCATTTATTGCAACATTCTCACATCCCTCTTATTTTTTGTTCTAGTAATTCAAATCAGTTATCTTCTTGTTAGTATTGCTTTTTGAACAAGACTTCACCTTTCATATTTTTTGCTTATGTTTTTGTTTTTCGAACATAAAACTCCTTTCGACCTCCACTTCTAATGGGCCTATTTTTTGTGGATTTGATCTTGGGTGCGCCAGCAGCTTTATAGAGCCATATATATGGACTTTGTGACCAAATCCTTTATGGGCCTTAAATTAATTTGTTAGGCTGCTGACCCCAATCAAATTTTGGATATAACATCTGCCTTTAAATTTTTTTTTTTTTCAAGTGAAGTCACTTCTCACATGCAAAAAATAAATAATTACTTTGGTGCTCATTCATTTTTCTCTGCTTCAATTTCCACTATTGCAATGAATATTTGGAACTAGTACATCTCTTCACTCTACAATGGTTACTTGAATCCATATGTCTCTTAAATTTGATGCGTATTGATATAAGAGGACTTCAATTGCCACTCTACTTGTTAAACCAATTTCCATTGAAACTCTTTAATCTTTATTCTCCCTTAATTCTAGGTTCCTAACTTTATGCATCCTTTATTCTTTCGATATGGTTCAACATTCTTCTCTTTCCTCAATCTTTCATCTTTTCGATCCTTCATCCTCATTTTATTTCAATGGCTTCCAAATCCAAATCTCAAAGGTCTTTTTCTTCCTTTCAATCTGTGTTTGGTTTTTCTCTATAACTAAATTGTTACTTTAAGTCCATTCCTTTCCATCGTCATTTATTGATTCATATCACTGTGTTATTTCCCCTTAGTGAGTTTTACGGGGACTCCGCTTCTGATCTCCTTCATTCTAATATCCAACGTCACTCTTTAGGACCTTCTTTATTTTGTGGTTATGGGTTGAAAGACGATGCTCAAAGAGGATGGGAACTCTTCAGATGTTTGATCCCTGACTAGAGGTCCATGTTCCTCTACCATTCGGAAACTACATGAAAGGTAGTATGGAGTAACTTTAAAAGTTATTCCAAATGCCTAACTAGGACATTACCCAATGCCCAACCCAATATCTATGCCTTCTATTTTGAGTTACGAGGCCATTCCAACATTTGGAGGAAATGGCATAGCATGAGGGTTTCTAAGGTGTTTAACCTGACCATAAATCACATTCCCAACCCTAATCCTCCTGTCTATGGTGTGGTCTTTAGCCTATAAGATATTAGCAACAATTGTATCCATACAAAGAGGGGTCCTATTAGCATCACCTTGAAGGATGTGGTGTCCTTGACTAGCTGTTCCTTGGTAAGAGTGGACCTCTATACTGCTATAGCATTAGCCAAGTTAGATATAAGTCCCCATAAATTTACATTATCAAATACTTCAGGCTGCCTCATTTTTAATTTATATTTCTTTTGTTTATGGAAATGGATGAAGAAAATATTGGAACGGAAATGTAAGTTGTGGGACTGATCGAAACAAATCAAGATAAAATTGAAATATTTCATAAATTTAAGAACAAATTAAAGTTTATGCAATTTCTTTTGATTACTTATTTGGGATTACTGTTCTAACATGTAAAGTTGGTGTTTAATAGTGTAATTACAAGTTTACATTTGTCAAACAATTATTCTAATTAAAAAATTTAAACTTTTCATTGAGATTATAAAAATCATTTTATATTATTTGTTAATAGACTTCTTTAAATAAAAATTCCTTAGGTTTAAAACTATTTTAATCACCCAAAAATACTGTTTTCCGATAAAGTTACCACGTCTATTTTAATCCTGAAATTTATCTCTTAAAAATTCTTATTTTTGCCAAAATCGATCCTAGGTCAAAATTCTAAGTTTTATTTTCGGAGCTAAATTAATTTTTTTTATTTTTGTTTATGGTATCATATGGAAGCGATAGTCGGACTCCTTCGTCAAGCATCCCATTGATTCAATATCGGATATAGTTTAAGTCTTGACATGATTGTTATATCGAAAAACGACCTAATTACTAAGATATGATTGATTTGAGTCAACATCGGTCTCATGATATAGGAGGCTTTGTTAATTTTTCTCCTAGTGTTTTCTATATTTTGCTTTTTTTTTTTTATTATCTTTTTATCTAGCATCCTCCCCCTTCTTTTTATTATTTTTTATTTATCATTTTATATTTTATATTTTTTTATTTTAATTTTTTTTTTATTTTATCCCCCTTTTTTATTTTTATTATAATTTTTTTTATCTATCTAATCATTTTTTATTTTCATTTTGTTTGTTCTTTTTATTTATTATTTTTTTGTAACTTTTTTATTGGTGGGGAATTGTCACTCAACTATTCATCCACTAATTACCTAGCTTAATTATTGACGTAAAACCTAAAATTAAACAATCAAATAAATAAATAAATATAAGAACTAAGAAATTTCAAGGTGATGCTATAGCATTATAGAGGTCCACTCTTACCAAACACACAAACCCCTTTTACACTATAAGAACACTCAAACAATCAACTGATTTTCTTTCCTTATGGGTTCGATCCTTATTTGCTCTAATTATATAACCGTGATTGAAAGCTTTATAAGAACAAATATAAATTACAAATTTATTGGTGGTATAACGCACCATCAAGAATAAAAACGAATAACTAATTTGTTAACGGTACGACACATTAACGAGTAAGCATAAAAAAAAAAAAAAAGTGTGATTTTTGTTTGTCATATAAAATAATAAGTGTGTGAGTGAATTGTGAGTACTTGGTGAGCTGTACTTCAAAATTATTGTAATACATTATTTATGTCATAAAATTCTTGTTGTTTCAATTTGGTCGACCACACATTTTCATTATGCTGAACTATTTTTCTTCCATCAATTACTCTGTGATATATCAGGAGAGCACTGCATAAATATATAAAATTTTTGAGTGGATGTCAAGTCTGTTGTCTCAGCTGCAAACTTAAGCGTGCTGGAAGAGCCCATGGAAGCTCTTGTTACTGTGTCTGTCATCAAAGCACTCTGAATTTGACCAAACTGTCTCCTATTTGTTTCAATGATACCCGCATTATATCCAGCGTCAATTATTTTATATATATTTACAGAAAATAAAAAAATTTCAATTTGGTTTTTACAATCAAAATTAAATTTATCATTTTGTAATTAAAAATCAACAACAGAACATACCTAATTTTTAGTCAAATATTGATGGAATGGTCAAAGATTAGCAAATATTGCTCCACTATTCTAAATGTTTATTGAGCCGAGATTATATATTAACATATGTAGCTAATTAGCCATGTATAGCTACTGCTATAACTTAGATAGTTGACGTTCCATGTTTGGTATGTTTTTCCTAAACTAGAAGTATCAACTGATGTATTTATAAGCTTAACAGTAACGAGAATATGCACTGGGGCATTAAATATTTCAAATATTGTGTTGCTTATTAAATCAAAACAGTCCAAGCCCGACTCCACTAAATGATTAGAGAATTTTTTCCTTTTTGGTTATAATAATAATATTGAACATGTAAATAAAAAATGACACATTTCACTCTGCTGCAGCAGTTTGCATAAAAGACATAATATAATTTTGAGTTCTGAAAAAATGGATACAAGAGTTGTAGAAGCGGAAACTGATATCCCTTCATCCGTCAGCAAATGTTGACCAAATTAATATGTATAGATAGCAAAATATAAGAAAATGAAGGCCATCCTTAACCGTTATCTAGGATATAATTCACTAATTGACGCCTTGTTTTCCGATAAAGGGATAGCTTCAAATTCGGGCTGCGAGGACTCAGTCACCCTTGACTTATTGCCCATTGAAGAGGACATATCTGATTGATATGTGCTGCTGCTCATAAAAAATGCTGGTTCAGAAGGTATTTGCAATGTGATGGAAGAGCTGCTGAGCATCAGTAATACTGAAGCCATTGTGGGCCTGTCAGCTACATTTTCTTGGACACACAGTAACCCAATATGGATGCATCTCATCATTTCTGTTGTTGAGCCACTCCTCAAAATGGGATCTATAATATCTAGAGCAATTCCTTCCCTCCAATTTCTCCATACCTGCAAAATTTATCCAAAGTGAATTCACAATATTTAAGGGCAAATATCTCTATAAATCTTTCAACAATGCGTTTGATTCGTAGATAGTTGTATTTACATGGCTCATAAGGTGCTCTATGTTATCTCCATTGCGGGAACTATTTTTTTGTCCACTCACAACCTCCAAAACTAGCACCCCAAAACTAAACACGTCTGACTTGACCGAGAAATGTCCTTGCGTTGCATATTCTGGAGCCATATAGCCACTGCTTATTAACATTCACAAGTTCAAACTTGTTAGATTAGATAAAATTTAACTGGTTTTATATTGTTGGGATTTTTTTCTTATACTTTTTTCACCTAATTTTATAAGAAAATATGAGCTGAACTGGTAATCATTATCTCCATAATGTTCAGGTCCATACTTACTAGGTTCCCACAATTCTGCTTGTATTGTCTTGAGTTTGATCCACAACAAACAACCTTGCCATACCAAAATCGGAAATTTTTGGGTTCATCTCTTCATCTAACAAAATGTTGCTAGCTTTGAGGTCACGATGAACGATTCGAAGTCGAGAATCCTCGTGAAGGTAAAGCAGCCCTCGAGCAATTCCTCCAATAATCTTGTAACGCTTTTCCCAATTCAAATGTACACGCTTGATTGGATCTACATTTGGAGCAATCACAAAATTCAGTTGCATAGGGTAAAAGTACATGAAATATTCATTTGTATTTCATATTTTGAAGTAGCCTTACCAAATATGAAGCGGTCAAGGCTGGCATTAGGCACGAACTCATAGATAAGAAGCCTTTCAATTCCTTGCAAGCAGAAGCCTAGAAGCCTAACTAAATTCCGATGTTGGAGCTTTGCCACCAATAAGACCTCATTTTTAAATTCTAAATCTCCTTGCCCAGAATCCTTGGAAAGTCTTTTGACTGCTATCTCTTGTCCATTAGGAAGGGTTCCCTGAAAACGTATCAATTCATTACTCCCTACATGCTCCCTGTAGTATCTTAAACAGTGTGATTTAATTACTTGCAATAATCAATGTATTCTTTAGTACCTTGTAAACAGCACCAAATCCACCTTGTCCCAGCTTATTCTGCTCTGAAAAATCCTCTGTTGCAACACAAATAGTGTTGAAGGAGAATTGCAATGAATCTGCAGTTTCTATTTCGTCCACAGCTTCAAAAAATGAACAAGTCAGGCTGCGTGGAAATATGATACATTGCTCTAAATTGTTGTGTTAATCAGTATTGTGATACATAGTATACGGTAGAGTTCTATTATTTCTTGTACTCTGTTTACACAAGCGTTAGACATATTATAGAATACTTGTATATAGAGTTTAGATATAACAGGAAACTAGAAACTGATGTTGGAGAGATGGAAAAACAAATTAAGAGGGTATAAAAAGAAACTAAGACAGTATTTAAAAGAGTTGGGAATTCTGAAGTGAAAATAATTATGTCTAAAGGCATGAAATAATTTGATGTGAGAAAAAAAAAATTGAAAACTCTAAGAACTTAAATTTTAAAAAATATAAATATCTCAAAAAAAAAAAAAAAAAAAATTCAATCACCTAGAGGCAAGGGTACTCTAATTAGAAAGTTCAACATTTAGAAAATAAGTTAAATTCATAGGTCTTTTCAAATAGAAACGTAGTATGACGTGGGTGTAATGTTTCCTAATGAAAAGTATGAGATAACTTTAACCAATTATATATATATATATATATATATATATAATCAATAAAAATTAAAAAAAAAACTATTATATGGATCTGACTAGTTAATTTTATATATGGACTAAATTTAACTCGTAGTTACTTTTGAAAAAACTTTAAACTTCGACTTTGATATAAGTGCGACGAAAATCTTTTCGTACAAATTAATAATGTGATGTAAATATAATATTTTCTAACCTTTTATTTTTCTTCTTAAAAAAAAAAACAGTAAAAATTAAAATATTGTTATATGGATCTAACTGGTTTCATTAATATGGACTAAAATTATCTGATTGGTTGGTGGAATGACTTGACACTCCTATGTTATTACTAGTTTCTATAGTAGTGTAGTCATTTAAGTTTTGGGTACACAACTTTATCGTGTTGCATCACTTTCTGTTTATCATAAATCCCTTGAACCTCCTGCTGTCCCGCACAACACATTAATATATTTTGGTACGAAAATGTGAAACTCATCACTACTCAACACATTAAAAATATTGTACCACAGGAAAAAAAAAAGAATGATTTCTTTTTTAGCAGTAAACCTAATCCTATAATATTTATCATTATATAATTTATAAACCTACTTCAATCAACTCTGAAAAATATAATAGAAAAAAATTAAAAAATGATGTTTTTTCAAGTGTGTTTTTATTTTTTAAATTAATATATTAAAATCATCTAAAAATACTTGAAAAAGACATCAAACACTTCCAAATACTTTACCAGACACGATCATAGTAGTTCCACCGCCAAATTTATTTTTGACCAAAACTCACAAATCCATTAAACCATGAGCTGTCGTCCACAAGTGTGCCAGATCACTATCATAAGGCTAGGGGGATCATGCAAAGAGCTGAAGGGTAAACTTGAATTTGTCCCCCAACTTTAAACTTGTTCTCAATGCAGTCCCCAAATTATCATTCTCTTTTCAATTTGGTTCTTAAGGTTTCATGTATTAATTTCTCATATGATTCTTTCATTTAAAATCTCAAGAGACTTAAATTGTCGCCTTAGATCGTTGACCAAGTCAGATAATCAATTCATCGACAACCTAACAACAACGAACTCAACCATTATAATAAAACATCCAAGCTTTTACTTACTTTCAACCTTTTCCTTTGGCTTCGGGATTCTTAAGAAGATGGAGATGCAAATAATAAGTATCACAACGCTAACCGTTGGAACAACTATGATAATGATAGTTCGTGCTTTGTTGCTCTTCTTTCCTGCAGAAATTAACCAATGAAAGTTGAAAAATGGCCTGGTATATTGACATTTCTAGTATAGAAAATTAAATTGATGATCCCAACTACGGACTTAAAGATAGAAGGGGACGATTTGGGTGACATCACTCATTCTTATTTTCCTGTCCATGCCAAACAAGTGACAACTTGTCCAAAATAGAACTGAAAATAGAATGGAATCCATGTAAATTCACAATTTTTCAAGGCGTACCTTCTGCTGGTGGAGGAGGAGGAACTGGTGATGGTGGAGTTGGAAGCGGTGGTGTGGCTGGTGTAACTGATTCAAAGAAACGAGAGGTTTCATATCTGAGATTGCAGCTTAGTGTTGTAATTCTTGCTCCAATCAATCCGCTACAACATGATGCAGCCTGATGAAAAGCCTCAGCAAGGCAACTATCACACTGCTCCAAAGATAAATCAGGCGTGCATTGAACAAGTCCATATATTCTATCAAATCCAGCACTTTCGTTTCCTGTCGCAAACTTTCGAAGAGAGTTCCCTGATACAGCTGTGTCTCGAAGTCTACTGAGTAACGTTTGAAGAGCCTGATTGAACTGATTCGTATCTGTGGCATTTTGCTGGATCGAAATGATGAATACTGGATAACCTTCCACGACACCAAATATGGATTTGTTGGAATATCGTAGCATACAGGTATCATAAACTCCACTTCCCTCTTTCTGGTAAGGACAAACCTGCAAGATCTTACGCGTAGAGTTTCTAATACAACTTCGACAATCATCTACTCCAATATCTCCTCTGCAAAGTCCAATTGCATTTGCTTGGTCAGGGCCAGTTTGGCCAACAGATAGATTATAAAATCCATAATCGATTTGTGTATTTGAGTACAGCGACGACAGAAGGCTGTTGAGATTTCTTCCGAAAGTGCTGTTAGCAGTGTAGTTACCAACATCATTTCGACAGTAAGGGTGCGTGAAGTTAGGTTGAGCAACGATTAGAGAAGGCAGGTGCAGAAGGATGTAAGAAAATAAAAATAACATCATTAGCCTTAAAGAATCCATTGAAGCTATTGCTGTCTCTTCTCCCCACAATTAATTAGTCTTGTAGAGGATGGATAGCAGTTGAATCCGTGCAAGATGGGATTTTGTCTTGGAGTGTTTTGGAATAAGAGAAATCTATGATTTTTCAGGATCGAAAGTTCATAACCATGAAACAAAGACTTTGTTTTTGAAATTTCAGCTTTTGAACAATATTAGATTTCCACAACGTACCTTTATAGATAGAAGAAAGATGATTTTTGCTGATTTTATTGTCTTGTTGACTAAAACGGCGCAGGGCATGCTTTGTTGATCGATATGGGGAACCTAGCTCGATATGGCGACCATGAGCTACGGTTTAGACTTTTAAAACGTGGAGACCAGAGACCTGGGGAGCATTGTGGTAAGAAACAAATGAGGCTAACGCGGATTTGAATTTTGAATATATTATATATAATTCAAGTTTCCTAAAGACATACTACATAAATGGAAAGTAATATATCATACATGTAAAAAATTGAAATAATTAAATGATCTTTCATGCACAATACATGCTAATATTATTCTCCTATTAATTTTAATTTACATATCTTTATAAATCATATTTTTTGTATTGCTAAAAATCAATGTAACAGTTTAAATTTTTTATGGAAGACTTATAATTAAGTTTATATTTATTCAAAAAGAAATATTTTGCCATTCAAGGAACAGTAAGGTGGAAGACTTGTTGATATCACTTTTCCTGGTCTACTCTCCAAATACAAAGCAACTTGGCATGATGTCACTTTCCCTGGCCATGTAGGTCCAGTAGTTGGCTAAACCAAATTAATTGGGGATCACAGGAAACGTGTATAGCCTCTACACATCTTAAAGGTTCTCTTACTTTTATTCACTCGTTGTTTATTTTTATTTTTTTTTAAATTCATCATGGAGAAATTTATTATGATGGGCATAAAAATTTAAAATTAAAATTTAATTATTTTTATTGAATCCAAAAACATTATTATTACGTATCTGGCATGTTTTTCTTTTTCAAAGATCAACATATATCTTGCTTTATTATAGTGAAACTTCAGATGAATTTTATTATTATTATTATTATTTTAGCTTACCGCGAGTGTTCTATCTAATCAAATAATTGATCAGTCATATGCGCTTTTTTTAATCATTTTTTGTCCGCCAACCACTAATTCTACTATTTCCACACCAAAAAGTTTATCCACGCAACCAATTTTTCTGAAAAGACAAAACTGACCTTTGTTTTCAAAGGTCTTATTTTTTCAAATTAAGACCTAATAAAAGCAAAGTTTTCATTAAAAAAATTTCGTGGTTTCACTGAAAATGAGCTTAAGAATAGATCTTTTGATTAGTTAATAACACTTACCTTAATATTACATTATCACCACAAAATTATTATAATTTTATTTACGAAAAATCAAGTTCATGTTCTTTTTTGTAACTGAAATTGAGTAAAAAATGGCATCACAAGGAATACAGTGTCTCACTCCATTTCTCCTAACTTTACTTCCAAATTCCGTAACAAGAGTGTATACATCCAACATGCAATGTTATAAACTCAGTTAAGCTAGTAAATAATAATTGTCAGCTAAAATGAAGAAAGTGAAGCAGACCTTTGGTAAATCCTCCGGTGAGACGGGAATAACTTCAGGTTCGGCGGATCTCTTAACAGCCGCCACCACAATTTGAGTGTTCCTGTGAGAAGAAATGCTGCCAATTTTCTTCTTGCCATGACGTGATTGTACTATTGAAGAGAACGTTGAAGGTTTGATTAGTTTCTCAACTCGGTCCTGTAAGGATCCAGAGGAAGGAGATGATAGGATGGAGTTGTGAATCGATCTGATTTTAGAGCTGTGTCGTGATAGTAGTTTTGGAGAGAGTGTTATAAACTCAATCGATCTGATTTTAGTAAACAAAGGTCAGTTTTGTCTTTTCACCAAAATTACTTGCGTGGATAAACTTTTTGGTGTGGGAATAGTAGAATTAGTGGTTGGCTGCCCCCGGGGGCAAAAAAATGTAAAGAACAAGACATGAAAAGAAAAAAAAAAAAAAAGAGAGAGAGAGAGAGAAGAGAAAGAAAGCGCATATGATATGACTGACAATAGGAGATGAGGTGTAATTAACAACCAACACCACCACCACCTGTCCTGTGGCTCTATTTTGTCACCATCAATAGTCCCAAGGGGTGAAAAAGAGAAGGCTTCATACAAGGCGTGGAATGAAAGGTGGTGAAACCAGTTTCAGAAAATCGTACGAGGCCTGGAATGAAGGGTGGCTATAATTACACGTTATCTCCTATTATATTGTCTGAAATAATTAGTGAAATAGGAAAACCACAGTCAAAACACGTACAACTTGACAAGCTGATAATATAATGTAATGGTAAAACTATCGTTTCCAGCGATAGAGATAAAAATTTATGTCTCGTTAGTCATGCTCCTTACTGTTTGATAAGGAGAAAGAGGTAAGGAAGCGCATATGACGGTTTGTTGGGAAATTTAATTAGGTGGCATTGACAAGGAGAATCTCCTCTGTTTAACTACCCCATCGCCCCTTCCTTTCTCTACCACTCTCTCTCCCTTCCTCTCCTCGAGTCTTTTACTATTCCCACTCTCCACTCGTTTGAAAGGGTCAATCATGTCTCTTCTTAACGATCTCATCAACACCAATCTCTCTGATACTACAAAAAAAGATCATAGCTGAATACATATGGTACTTTCTTTCTTTTTCTCTTTAGAGTATGATCACCAAGTTGTTTCATTTAGGATGAAACTTTTTCGTTTCCTTTCGGTGTGTAGGATTGGTGGATCTGGAGTGGACTTGAGGAGCAAAGCAAGGGTGTGGTTTTTTTTCTTTAATTTTCTTGGGGCTTTAATTTGATCATTTTGGGGTCAGTGTTTCACATTCAATTTTGTTATGTTTTTAACAGACTCTGTCAGGACCAGTTAGTTATCCTGCCAAGCTTCCGAAGTGGAACTATGATGGGTCTGGCACAGGTCAAACCCCTGGTGATGACAGTGAAGTCATTTTGTAGCATGTAACAATCTTTTTCATCACTTTTTTTTTTCCTGTGCTCTCCCTATTTCTCCCTCTGTTACTTCTCTTCCCTTTCTCTCACTCTCTGCTGTTCCCTCTTTTTCTTTTTCTTTCATGCCCTATGTTTCTCTCTGTTTCTCCTCTCTTTTTTTCCCTTGCTCTCTCTCTCTGTTGCCTGTTGCCTCTCTCTTTTTCTTTTTTTACTGCTTTCTCACTCTTTGTTCTTCTCCCCCTTCTTCTTCTCCGTCCCCTCTACTACTATTTATATGTTCAGAATGGTTATAGAGAGTGGAGGTCCTGGTGACTTGCAGGAGTTGTGGAGAGTGGAGAGTGTGGTCGTGGGTATGTTTTGTGGAGAGTGGAATGGTGAAAAAATGGAGCAGGAGTTGCCGGAGTTTGTGGGGAAGGTGGAAGTGGAAAAGTGGAGTAGGATCGAGGGACGTCTGTGGGGAAGGTGGTGGATAGTGGAAGTCGTGGGTAAATGAAGAAGAGGGCAGTTTGTTAAACTCTGTAACAAACTGCCTCATGCCACTATTCCTTTCCTTCGTTAAAGGAGGAGGAGGAACAGTGAAATATACCATTTAATTCAAGGGGTGGACGATAGGTCGTCAGTATCCAAGTTGGTTCTGTCGTTCACTTCTTCCTTTCGATTTGGTCCTTCCTAGTTTTGATTTTTCTGCGATTAAGCCCTTTTTGATAATTATTTTAGTCCCTTTAATCTCAATTGATTCCAATCCCCTCTTAATTCTTTTCAATAGTTTCCCTACCTTCTGGTATTTATAAATTGATCCATAATACTTTTAAAATAAATCACAATTAAATTCTTATAAGCAAAATTGATCACTTTTTTTAATCATTTTTCTTTTTCTTTTTCTTTTTTTTGTTTTGAATTTTTTTCTTTTTTTTTCAATTTAATTTTAATAATAAAAAGTAAAGTTTGTATTAAATTAAACAATAAAAATGTAACCCAAAAATTTGGGTTATGAAAATATGTATAGATAGCAAAATATAAGAAAATGAAGACCATCCGTAACATTATCTAGGATATAATTCGCTAATTGAAGCCTCATTTTTCGATAAAGGGATAACTTCAAGTTCGGGCTGCAAGGACTTAGTCACCCTTGACTTATAGCCCATTGAAGAAGACATACCTGATTGATATGTGCTGCAGCTCGTTAAAAATGTTGGTTCAGAAGGTATTTGCAATGTGATGGAAGAGCTGCTTAGCATCAGTACTACTGAAGCCATTGTCGGCTTGTCAGCTACATTTTCTTGAACACATAGTAACCCAATATGGATGCATCTCATCATTTCTGTTGTTGAGCCACTCCTCAAAATGGGATCTATAATATCTAGAGGAGTTCCTTCCCTCCAATTTCTCCATACCTGCAAAATTTATCCAAAGGGAATTCACAATATTTAACGGCAAATTAATATCTCTATAGATCGTTCAATAATGTGTTTGATTTGTAAACAGTTGTACTTACATGGCTCATAAGGTGCTCTATGTTATCTTCATTGCAGAAACTATTTTTTTGTCCACTCACAACCTCCAAAACTAGCACCTCAAAACTAAACACGTCTGACTTGACTGAGAAATGTCCTTGCATTGCATATTCTCGAGCCATATAGCCACTGCTTATCAACATTCGTAAGTTCAAACTTGTTAGATTAGATAAAATTTAACTAGTTTTATACTATTGGGTTATATATATATATATATCATTCAATTTTATAAGAAAATAACAGCTGAATTGGTAATAATTATGTCCATCATGTTCAGGTCCATACTTACTGGGTTCCTACAATTCTGCTTGTACTGCTTTGAGTTTGATCCACAACAAACAACCTTGCCATGCCAAAATCGGAAATTTTTGGATTCATGTCTTCATCTAACAAAATTTTACCAGCTTTGAGGTCACGGTGAACGATTCGAAGTCAAGAATCCTCATGAAGGTAAAGCAGCCCTCGAGCAATGCCCCCAATAATCTTGTAACGCATTTCCCAGTTCAAATGAACATGCTTGATTGGATCTACATTTGGAGCAATCACAAAATTTACTCACGAAGGGTAAAAGTACATGAAGTATTCATCTGTGCTTGATATTTTTAAGTAGCCTTACCGAAAATGAAGCGATCAAGGCTGGCATTGGGCACGAACTCATAAATAAGAAGCCTTTCAATTCCATGCAAGCAGAAGCCTAGAAGCCTAACAAAACTCCAGTGTTGGAGCTTTGCCACCAATAAGACCTCATTTTTAAATTCCAAATCTCCTTGCCTAGAGTCCTTGGAAAGTCTTTTGACTGCTATCTCTTGTCCATTAGGAAGGGTTCCCTGAAAACGTATCAATTCATTACTACTTGTATGCTCCCTGTAGTATCTCAAACAGTATGATTTAATTACGTGCACTAATCAGTATATTCTTCACCTTGTAAACAATACCAAATCCACCTTGTCCCAGTTTATTTTGCTCTGAAAAGTCCTCTGTTGTAACATGAATAGTGCTGAAGGGGAATTGCAATGAATCTGTAGTTTCTATTAGCTCCACAGCTTCAAAAAATTAACAAGTCAGGATGCATGGAAATATAATACATTGCTCTAAATTGTTGTGTTAATCAGTATTGTGATACATAGTATACTATAGAGTTCTATTATTGCTTGTACTCTGTATTTACTCAAGTCTTAGACATGTTATAGAATACTTGTATATGGAGTTTAGATATATCAGGAAAGTAGAAACTGCTGTTGAAGAGATGGAAAAACAAATTAAGAGGGTATAAAAAGAAAGTAAGACAATATTTAAAAGATTTGGGAATTCTGAAGTGAAAATAATTATGTCTATAGGCATGGAATAATTTGATGTGAGAAAAAAAAATTGAAAACTATAAGGACGTAATTTTTAAAAAATATAAATATCTAAAAAAAAAAAAAAAAGGAACTTCAGTCACCTAGGGGCATGGGTACTCTAATTAGAAAGTTCAACGTTTAGAGAATAAATTAAATTCAATGAAAACGTAGTATTACATGGGTGTAATGTTTCCTAATAATGAAAAGTTTGAGATAACTTTAACCAATTATATATATATAAGAAATCATTAAAAATTAAAAAATATTATATGGATCTGACTAACTTTATATATAAGAACTAAACTTAACTCGGAGTTAATTTTGAAAAAACATCAAACTTCAACTTTGATAAAAGTGCGATGAAAATCTTTTCATACAAATTAATAATGTGATGTCAATATAATATTTTGCTAATAAAAAATGTGGAATACATATGTAATTTTTTATTTTTCTTCTTAAAAAAAGACTGTACAAATTAAAGCATTGTTATATGGATCTAACTGGTTCATATATTATTACTAGTTCCCATATACCGTGCAAAGTCAGGTCAATCTCAAGAGACCTAAATTGTCGACTTAGATCATTGACCAAGTCAGATAATCAATTCATCAACAACCTAACAACAACGAACACAACCATTATAATAAAACATCCAAGCTTTTACTTACTTTCAACCTTTTCCTTTGGCTTCGGGATTCTTAAGAAGATGCAAATGCAAATAATAAGTATCACAACGCTAGCAGTTGGAACAACTATGATAATGATAGTTCGTGCTTTGTTGCTCTTCTTTCCTGCAGAAATTAATCAATGAAAGTTGAAAAATGGCCTTGTATATTGACATTTCTAATAGAGAAAAGTAAATTGATAATCCTAACTATAGACTTAAAGATGGAAGGGGAAGATTTGGGTGACATCACTCATTCTTATTTTCCAGTCCATGTCAAACAAGTGACAACTTGTCCAAAATAGAAACTGAAAATAGAATGGAATCCATGTAAATTCACAATTTTTTCAAGCCGTACCTTCTACTGGTGGAGGAGTTGGAAGCTGCGGTTGGTGTAACTGATTCAAAGAAAAGAGCGATTTCATACCTGAGACTGCAGCTTCATCCTGTAATTGTTACTCTCATAAATCCGCTACAACATGATCCAATCAGGTGAAGAGCCTCAACAAGGCAACTATTGTTGGCGTGAGTCAGTAGAATCCCTGGTTTATAGATAGAAACTACAGCCGTAAAGAGATTCCTTAAGTCAAGGGTCAACCATAAGTTTAGCCTTAGTCATTGCATAGGCCAAATATAGCTCCTAATTTTTCTCTCTTTGTACCTATATACAGCATGTAATTGAACAAAATTAAAAGATGAGAAAGAGAAAAAGAGACACGGTCTGACATGGTATCAAAGCATGTGGTTTTGGGGTTCCTGTGAATTGACTAGAAAGGAGACCCAAACTACTTGAAATCCATGGCTGACTCTCACCAACTGATAAACCCACCAACTACCTCACCCGAATCCATACTTGACAGCCTGACAACATAGATGACAGAAGCTCTATCATGAACCCAGACCTCCTCACAAATACCCATTGCTGACTCTACGACAATACCAACAAATATCAAGTTAGATGATTCTAATTATGCCTTATGGTCCCAGATTGTTGAGATGTATATGTTAAGTAAGGACAAACTGGGGTACATCAATGGAGATATTCTGCAGCCACCAGAGACAGATCCTTCTTTTTGAAAATGAAGAACTGAGAATGCTGTTGTGAAAGGATGGTTGATTAACTCAATGGAACCTTCTTTGGCTGGAAACTTCATCCGCATTCCAACAGCCAGGCAGGTTTGGGAGTCCATTGCAACAACATACTTTGATGGAACTGATTCATCACAAGTATACGACCTACGACGACGTGTAACTCGTATGCGACAAGGGGGTGGATCTATTAAGAAATATTATAATGAGTTACGGGGGTTGTGGCGTGAGACTGATTTTCGTCGTCCCAATCCAATGGAATGTGCAACCGATATACAGAAGTATAATTCTATTCAACAAGAGGAAAGAGTTTATATTTTTCTAGATGGATTGGATGACAGACTTGATAAAATCAGAAGTGATGTTTTACACATAAAGCCTTTCCCTACTATTGAACGAGGCTTATGCACATGTTCGAAGGGAAGAGATCCGCCAAGTAGTGATGACATCCGGAGTGGAAAATTCTTTTAGTGGTGCTGCTATGGCTACTAAAGGAGCAAAACTTGGTCAGCCACAAATGGTAAAGTCGGGACCATCAAGCAAGCCTAAAGGACAATCGATGGGGGTAAGTGTACTCACCTGTGGAAACACAAAGCACACCCGAGATTCCCGCTTCAAATTACATGGGCATCCGGATCGGTGGCATGAATTACAAGCCAAAAAGAAGCGAGACACTACACTTTCTATAGAAGGCATGGGTCGAGCTGCTGTGGTCACTCGCCGAGCCCCAATTATCTCTCATCCCCATAACCGATTCTACTCGCCACAAATCATGCTCAAGGTAACCATGGCAAAGCTCTTTGCAGCTCTCACAATCCTAATAATGGTGATTGGATTATCGACTCGGAGCTACGAATCACATGACTTTTGACTCTAATGACTTCTCCCATATAACAAAACCACGACGGAGTTGCATTACTAATGCAAACGGAGTTGCATATCCTGTCACAAGTGGCTGGAACCGTACCCTATCACCCTCTCTATCTTTATCTCACACTCTCCTTGTTCCATCTTGATCAAATAAACCGATGTCAATAAGCCAAGTTACTCGAAGAATTAAATTGTGTGGTACTAATGTATTCTACATTTTGTCTTCTCTAGGATATTCTCGAGCAAAGAGATCATTGGGCATGGTACTAAGAGAGGGGATTATATTACTTGGATGACGACGAGTCCGGGGATGGCAAATCGGGTGTAGCATCGAGTCGGTAGCAAGGAAAGGTTGGTCCGGCTTTGGCACGGTCGGTTGGGGATCCATCATTTGGCTATTTACAACACTTATTTCAGATTTGTTTTCACATTTAAAAACGAGTAGACTTTAAATGTGAAACATGTATTATGGCTAAGAGCCATAGAGTTTCCTATCCGAGTAAGTCCGAAATAAAGTAATGTCCCCTTTTTGTTAATACATTCGATGTATAGGGACCCTCCCCGATAACTACACAATCCGGTTATCGTTGGTTTGTGACATTTATTGATGAGTACACTCGAATGACATGGCTCTATCATATGAAGACTAAGGATGAAACTTTTGCTATATTTCAAGCATTTCATGCCATGATACATAACCAATTTTCTACCCGCATTCAAGTACTTCGATCGGACAATGGTGGAGAGTACCTTAATAATCGATTTCGAGACCTATTTCCAACACCATGGTCTTCTCCATGAAACATCATGCTCTCAAACTCCACAACAAAATGGCATTGTCGAGAGGAAAAATCGGCATATACCGGAGACCGCACGAGCTTTACTTGCTTGGCACACATGTTCCTAGTCGTCATTGGGATGATGCCGTTGCTGCTGCTCGTAAACTTGCTCAATCGGATGCCGTCCGAGTTCGAACTTCAAAACTCCTTTACGAGTATTAGCTACTCATGTTTCATTACCTATGGTCCTTATGCTTCCACCTAGGATTTTTGGATGTGTTGCATTTGTCCATCTTCATAAGAATCGGCATACCAAGCCGTTAGGTGCTTGTTTTTGGGCTATGGACTACATAAAAAGGGCTATAAGTGCCTTGATCCAATACTAATCGCACCTAAATCACAATGGATGTGACATTCCTTGAATCCGAGCCTTTTTTCCATCACCCGAGTTATGAATTCAGCTCTTCGGGGGAGTCTAAGGAAGAAGAGCAAAATTGGATGATAACTCCGGAATGGTTGATCGCTCCAGAAGGTGATGGAAATGGGGTACCACCTCCGAATATTGGAGATGGATCTATTAGTGAGGAAGTGATAAATGTCGAATCCGTCAATAAGAAAGTGGTGAATGCCGATAATGGACCCGATAGTGAAGAAGGTGCAAATGAAGACACTACAAATATAGAACCCCCTCTCACGTCGGTGCCCGGATCTTCTCCTGTCGAGAATACTCTTGAGGTAAACTCACCTACCACTCCTCCATATACTAATACTTTGGATATCTCTTCTAGATATGATTTACCTTTCGGACATAATCGTGGAAAACCACCAAATAGATACTCCCACGATGAGGAGGAAAGAAGATCCAAGTTTCCAATTGCAAATTATGTGTCCACTCAAGAGCTATCCGAACCTATCAAGACCTTTACTCAAACTTTGTCCACTTGTCATATTCCAAGTAATGTTGCGAAGCTCTAGCCGACACAAAATGGGCACGAGGCTATACAATAAGAGTTGGAAGCTTTACGGAAGAATAATACTTGGAAGCTAGTTCCACTACCGGAGGAAAAAAACCCGTGGGGTGTAAGTGGATATTTTCTATAAAATACAAAGCCGACGGAACAGTTGACGAGTATAAGGTAAGACTTGTAACAAAGGGATTTACTCGGACATATGGCATAGACTATTGAGAAACCTTCTCACCAGTAGCTAAACTAAATATCGTTAGAGTACTATTATCTCTTGCAGCAAATTTAGATTGGCCATTGCTTCAACTCGACGTGAAGAATGCTTTCCTCCATGGAGATCTTGAAGAAGAAGTCTACATGGACATTCCACCGGGCTATACAACTTCTTCGAAACCAAGTTTGTTTGCAAGCTGGAACGAGCTTTGTATGGGTTGAAACAGTCACCTCGGGCATGGTTTGGCCGATTCGGGTCAACTATGATAAAATATAGCTACCAACAAAGTAATTCAAACCATACCCTCTTCCTAAAGCACCGATAAGGGAAGGTGATCGCTTTAATTGTCTATGTAGACGACATGATAATTACAGGAGATGATGCGGAGGAAATTTCAAGACTACAAAAGCAATCGTCCATGGATTTTGAAATGAAAAATCTAGGTGGACTTAAGTATTTCTTAGGGATAGAGGTGGCAAGATCACGAAAAGGCATATGTCTTTCTCAAAGAAGATATGTGTTGGACTTATTGGTCGAGGTGGGATTACTGGAGTGCAAGCCGACGGACACACCAATAGTTCAAAATCATGGGTCGGGGATGTATCTAGATCAAGTACCAAGTGACAGAGGAAGGTACCAAAAACTAATAGGTAAGCTCATTTACTTATCTCATACTTGCCCGGATATAGCCTACGCCGTGAACGTAGTAAGCCGGTTCATGCATTGTCCTAGTGAAGAGCATATGGGTGCGGTTCTTCGAATTCTTCGCTACCTAAAATCCTCACCGGGAAAAGGGTTGATGTTCACTAAGAATGGCCATTTGAACATTGAAGGGTATACTAATGCAAATTGGGCGGGGAACATTTCGGATAGAAAATCCACTTCGGGTTACTTTACCTATGTGGGAGGAAACTTAGTTACATGGAAAAGCAAGAAGCGGAAGGTGGTAGCATTATCCAAGGTCTGAAGCCGTATTCGGAGGTATGGCTAAGGGACTTTGTGAACTTCTTTGGCTTAAAAGGTTACTAACGGAAATTGGATTTGGTCCTAGCATAGAGATGAATCTGTTTTGTGACAACAAGGCTGCCATTGATATATCCCACAATCTCGTCCAACATGATCACACAAAGCATGTGGAAGTGGATAGACATTTCATTAAGCGGAACCTTGAGGATAAAATCATTCGATTTCCATTTGTCAAATCGGAAGATCAGCTAGCGAGATATACTTACGAAGGCAGTTTCCAGTAAAAACTTTCATGACTCACTTGACAAGTTGGGCATTAGAGACATTTACACACCAACTTGAGGGGGGTGTTGGCGTGAGTCAGTAGAATCCCTGGTTTATAGATAGAAACTACAGCTGTAAAGAGATTCCTTAAGTCAAGGGTCAACCATAAGTTTAGCCTTAGTCATTGCATAGGCCAAATATAGCTTCTGATTTTTCTCTCTTTGTACCTATATACTGCATGTAATTGAACAAAATTAAAAGATGAGAAAGAGAAAAAGAGACACGGTCTGACAACTATCACACCGATCCGAAGACAAATCAGGCATGCATTGAACAAGTCCATATATTCTATCAAATCCAGCACTTACGTTTCCTGCCGCAAACTTTCGATGAGAGTTCCCTGATACAGCTGTGTCTCGAAGTCTACCCAGTAACGGTTGAAGAGCCTGATTGAACTGATTCACATCTGAGGCTTTTCGGTACCATTGGTCCCAAATGAAGAATATTGGACTGTCTTCCAGGACACCAAATATGGATTTGTTGGAATACCGTAGCATACAGGCAGCATAAAATCCACTTGCCTCTTTCTGGCTAGGACAAACCTGTAAGATCTTACGCGTAGAGTTTCTAATACAACTTTGACAGTCATCTAATCCAACATCTCCTCTGCAAAGTCCGATTGCATATGCTTTGTCAGGTCCAGGTTCGCCAACAGATAGATTATAAAATCCATAATCGCTTTGTGTATTTGAGTACAGCGAAGACAGAAGGCAGTTGAGATTTCTTCCGAAAGTGCTGTTAGCAGTGTGGTTACCAACATCATTTGAACAGTGCATGTTCGCGAAGTCAGGTTGAGCAACGATTAGAGAAGGCAAGTGCAGAAGGATGTAAGAAAATAAAAACAACATCATTAGTCTCAAAGAATCCATTGAAGCTATTGCTGTCTCTTCTCCCCACAATTAATTAGTCCTATAGAGGATGGAGAGCAGTTGAATCCATGCAAGATGGGATTTGGTCTTGAAGTGTTTTGGAATAAGAGAAATCTATGAAAGTAAGGTGGAAGACTTGTTGACATCACTTTTCCTGGTCTAGTCTCCAAATAAAAAGCAACTTGGCATGATCTTCGTAGAAAGTAAGGTCGAAGACTTGTTGATATCACTTTCCCTGGCCATGTAGGTCCAGTAGTTGGCTAAACCAAATTAATTGGGGATCACAGGAAATGTGTATAGTCTCTACACATCTAACAGGTTCTCTTACATTTATTCACTCGTTGTTTATTTTTATTTTTATTTTTTAATTCATCATGGAGAAATTTATTATGATGAATATAAAAATTTAAATTTAAAATTTAATTATTTTTATTGAATCCAAAAAAATTATTATTATGCATCTTGCTTTATAATATAATTGATCAGTCATATGCGATTTTTTTTTTTTTAATTTTTCATTTGCATGTCGTTCTTTTCATTTTTGGTCACCCGCCCGGTCAACCACTAATTCTACTATTCCCACACCAAAAAGTTTATCCACACAACTAATTTTGGTGAGAAGACAAAAATGACCTTCGTTTTTTAAGGTCTAGTTTTTTCAAATTAAGACCGAATTAGAGCAAAGTTTTCATTAAAAAAAATTTCGTGGTTTCACTGAAAATGAGCTTAAAAATTAGATCTTTTGATTAGTTAATAATACTTACCTTAATATTATATTATCACCACAAAATTATTATAATTTTATTTACGAAAATTCAAGTTCACGTTCTTTTTCGTAACTGAAATTGAGTAAAAAATGACATCACAAGAATGCAGTGTCTCAGTCCATTTCTCCTAACTTTACTTCCAAATTCCGTAACAAGACTGTATTAAGCTAGTAAATAATAATTGTCAGCTAAAATGAAGAAAGTAAAGCAGACCTTTTGTAAATCCTCAGGTGAGACGGGAATAACTTCAGGTTCGGCGGGAATAACTTCAGGTTCGGCGGATCTCTTAACAGCCGCCGCCACTATTTGTGTGTTCCTGTGAGAAGAAATGCTGTCAATTTTCTTCTTGCCATGACGTGATAGTAGTTTTGAAGAGAACGTTGAAGGTTTGATTAGTTTCTCAACTCGGTCCGGTAAGGATCCAGAGGAAGGAGATGATAGGATAGAGTTGTGAATCGATCTGATTTTTGAGTTGTGACGTGATAGTAGTTTTGAAGAGAATGTTACAAAATCGATCTGATTTTAGATTTTTAGTAAACAAAGGTCAATTTTGTCTTTTCACCAAAATTAGTTGCGTATGAACAAGACATGAAAAAAAAAAAAAAAAAGGCAAAAGCGCATATGATTGACAATAGGAGATAAAAAAAAGGAGATAGAGGCAAGATGATAGTGTAAATCTAAAAGGAGATAGGGATAAAAATTTGTGTCGTCAGTCACGCTCCTTACTATTTTTTAAGGTTACCGTTGTTTGAAAGTTAGATTCAAACACAAGATAGGATGGCATCCTCAGGACTCCATCTTTATATTTGAAATTGGGTTAGCTTGTTTTACCAACTCTCCTTTATGTACTCTTTTATGTAACACATGAGAATTCAATATACAAAACCATATTTACATGGTAGCAAAGCCCTAAAGGATTTAATTAGTCACCCTTTGTTTTGTCTAGCTCCTTCACGTTTTTATTTCTTCCCTTTCCCGTTCATCATGTCTGACCTATTATAATTATATAAAAAAAAAACTAAAAAGAGTAAGGGTGTAACTATTCATTTACTATAGTTACATACCGAGAGTCTCTATTTGTGTAATTTTTTTTGCATATTGGTCCCTCATTCTTTAAAAGATAAATTAATTAGTCCACTTGGTTTGAAAATTAATTTTTTTTTGTCATTTTCAACATTTTACTATTTTTATTTTTTCTTTTAAGAAATAGAAAAAAACCAAAAAAAAATAATTTTTGGGGGAATAAATTAATTAGCCCATTTGGTTTGAAAACTATTTTTTTTTGTCCTTTTGGCCATTTTCATTTACTCGTAGCAGTTCCCCTCTTTTTTTTTTTTTTTTTTTTGACACCGTCCATTCTTTCGAATCCAATCATATATATTAACTTCTTCACTCATGCATCGTTCGCCATTCTCTAATGAATAGACTCCGCAATCTTTATTGCCTTTGAGATAATATAATTTGTTGACTAATTTGTCACCTTTTCCAACTATTAAAGTATTCGTAGAACTATTATTATAGTTAATAATTATAATATATCATTATGTTTTACAAAAAAAATAGTGTTTTTTTTTTTTTTTTAACATCCGGCCTCCTTTTTTTTTAGTTTCTATATTTGTAAAACTATTATTATATGGTCAAATATATTATTTAGGTCCTTATTTATTAGAGATATATTTTTTTAAATAATAAAATTATAATACATTATCATTATATTTTAAAAAAATATATCAAATAAATATAATAAAATATTTATTTGTATTTTGATTGTGAATATCGTATTTATGTAGTGCGCTTTTGTTTTGTTTTTTTTTAACGTCCGAACTCATTTTTTTTTTCAGTTTCTATATTTGTAGGACTATTATTATATGGTCAAATATATTATTTAGATCCTCATTTACAAGAAATATATTTTTTCTAAATAATAAAATTATTTATAGTTAATAATTATAATATATTATCATTATATTTTACAAAAAAATATCAAATAATTATTATAAAATAGTTATTTGTATTTTGATTGTGAATATTGTATTTATTGTACAATATAATACTTTTTATTATTTTATATTATGATATAAATAATATATTGATATATTATTTTATAAATTTGAATATATATAAAAATTGATAATTATTTTAGTAATATAATATATTTGATAATTATACCATATAATTAAATTAATATTACATTGTATTAGTTAAATATTATTTTAAATATATTGGTATAACAATATAATATTTATTAATAAATGATTTATTTAACTATCAAATGACAGTTGTTCCCCTTCTATATAAATAATTTTTTTATATTTTTTATCATGAAATTAGGTGTAAAAATATAAAAACAAATCGTTATTTTTTTTTATTTTACGTATAGTTTGAAAGTAATAGAATATATATGATATATTTTAAAATTTTAGTTTGAACATATATATCCGATTATATTATTTGTATTATTTAAAATTTATTTCTTCAATTGGTTGTTTCTTATTAAAATTCTTATCGAATTAATTTTTAAATTTATATGATTTTATTTGTTAATAAATTTGATTTTTTTATACATGGCTTTTGAAGTAAAATTTTAGAACTTGATTGTTTTATTTTTTTAAGTATATTATGATAATTTATATGATTGATTATTTTTACAATTTTTCAATGAAAATGACGTTGTTGCATGTATAAATTCCGATGAAAAAAGAGAGCTAAAAGTGTATTTTAGATATTATAATTATTCTGAAAAAACTAAAAGAACTAGGGTTTTTTCTGTTCATTTACTCGTAGCGCTTTATTTGTTTATTTAGTGCTAGCCTAGAGAAGCAGTGCTCCAAGAATCGGCATGGCTCATTTTACTATAGTTTTTTTTTTTTTTTTTGGTTGGCTTGGAAAAGCATTTCCTTTTTTTTTTTTTTTTTAAGGGCTAGCCTTGAGAAGCATGTTCAAGCGAGGCTCGCACAAGTAGTCCCAACTAGCGTTTGCCTTCTCTCTTTTTTTCCTTCTAATAATTTATTTTTATATTTTTTATCGTGAAATTAGGTTTGAAAATATAAAAAAGATCATTATTTTTTTTTTAATTTTGCATACGAGTTTTATGGTAATAGAATATATATAATACTTTTAAAAATTTCAGTTTAAACATATATATCCGATTATATTATTTTTATTATTTAAAAGTTATTTCTTCAATTGTTCCTTTCTTATTAAAATTATCATCGAATTAGTTTTTTAATTTTATATAATTTTATTTATTTATAAATTTGATTTTTAAATATGGATTTTGAAATAAAATTTTAGAACTTGATTTTTTTTATTTTTTAAAATATATTATTATAATTTATATGATTGATTTTTTTATGATTTTTAAATGAGAGTAGCGTAATTGCATATATAAATTCCGATGAGAGAGAGAGGCTAAAAGTGTGTTTTAGATACTTTTACTTTAAAAAATAATAATCGGTTAAAAAATTAATTTGACTCAATTTTTTTAATTAATATATACACCAACCATATGCGACCACTGCTCTTTTTTTCTTCCTATAATTTATTTTATATTTTTAAAAGTAGCCACCAATCTCATGACGAACAAAAAAAAAAAAAAAAACGAGGCTATTTATTTTAAATCTTGATGTGTTTTAGGGTTGGATCACAAAGAGGCGAAAGAAAACCCTTAAAAGAATATATATATATATATTGTCATAACATAATTGGATCTCTAGCAAGTGATGTACGAGTTAAGCGATCATATATAATTAGTTCATTCACCAGGAAAGAAAATATATATATTATTGGTCCCTTTAATGTCCCTAAACCAATATTAATTATATCTTTGACGTTGATGGTGGTAACATACATATCCGATTATTTTATTCTTATTGTTTAAAATTTTTTTCTTCAATTATTTGTTTCTTATTAAATTTCTCATTAATTTTTTTAAAATTTTTTGATTTAATTTTATTTGTTAATAAATTTGGTTTTTTAATATATAAATTTTGGAATAAAATTTTAAAACGTCAATGTTTTATTTTTTAAAAATATATTATTATAATTTATATAATAAATTATTTTTATATTTTTAAATGAGTGTTATACATACATACATACACACACACACACACACACACACACACACACACACACACACACACACACACACACACACACACACACACACACACATATATATATATATATATATATATATATATAGAGAGAGAGAGAGAGAGAGAGAGAGAG